TTTTACTGACAAACAAGGCACACATAGTGAGACAAAAAAGGGGCTTAGAGGAGGGCGCTTGACAAGTATTGGGTCCGTAACCAAGCCTAAACAGCCCCTGAACCAACCCTGGGTCCGATTCCATATGCACCTAAATGTTGTTTCTAAGAGCGGATAGCTTTGTGGGTCTACCAGCCTTGGGGGGGGTCCAGGATTTCACCTGGCCTGGCTGTGTTTTGCTCATTTTGCTCAGGCTGGCATACAGGGAGGAGAACAAGATGATCGACATCTACGACCCCATGACAAAGAGGAATGAGCGTCTAGGTTTGACTGGATATCAGACATCTCTCTCCCTCTCTCTGTCTCTCTCTCTCTCGAGCCTTGCACACCTCGTGGAGGGAGAACGGGGGTCTGTTTGGGACCTTTCTTGACCACCATGTTACATTCCAAGATTCACTAATATGCGCTGGAACCTGGGCAGAACGGATCTAAAGGAAGAGGAAGCTGTTTATCATGTCGGCCTGAGGTATGTCATGTGGAACTTCTGCAACAACCACGACAACTGGCGCTTGCAGAGCATGACGGGCAGGCGGGGCGACGCTGGCGTTTGCTAGACCTAGGATTCATTGATCCTATGTTCAAATGACACCCCAAGAAAGGCCAAATAAAGCTTTAGCACATGAGAGGTGCCTTTGGGGGGCGCCTTTCGGGGTGTTGGGGAGACCACAGCGAGAGCGCAAATAGAATTCGTATTGTGTGCGTGGGTTGACCCGAGGTTGCATGCCCTGGTCAAAATTCCTTTCTTCCCCAAAAAGAGCAATTTCCCGCAGATTCCCCAGAGTTTCTTTTCAGAGGGGCTTCTGGATCAGGAGGTGTAGGGTGTTCCAAATGCATTTATTTTTGTCATTGCAACCGTCCCTTTGGGAAACGAATCCATTTCTCATCTCTCACTGGAGCCTTTTGCCCAAAACCCGTGCATTCCCAGCTCTCAAAGGGGAAAACCATGCCCAGCTCCCAAACAGAAACCCCCCTCTCGTCTCTTGCATTGAGACAGGCCTCAGATGCGGATGTGCCTGGTTGTCGTTACCTTTTGGCCCGGCGTCCCACTGCACTACGCAGGCCGGGTTCGATTCTGGTGCGGCAAGGGGTCGGGTGTGAAGGTGGGGTGCGCCCGCCTTTTCAAGGCAGGCCAGCAACAAAAAAGCTCAACTGTGTGTGTTGTGTCGGGGTAGTTGACCCTCAAAGCAGTATTGGTTTGCTTTTACTTTCCTTATAAGCCAACAAACACTTTGTTGACCCAACTGAAAAAGGGTACCCTTCCTCTCACATAGGGTATGGAATCTCCAAAAACAACAATCTTTTCAAGGGGCGCTTTGTGTGAGGCACTTTTCACGTGGGAGAGAGGGTACCCTACAGACACCACAACTTGCCAATCAGACTCGTTTGGAATCACGGTGTTGTTTTGAGTGCGGGTTAAGTGCTTGGAAGCCGTAAGGGGTGCCCGGGCCCAATGCTTCCATGGCACCTCGATACCCAGGGTACATCCCGCAATCGACGATTATTATTGCTCATCCAATTATTCTTATTATTACCATAATTATTGCATTATTTATAGCCACCCTCAGACAGACACTCATCCTATTATCATTGTAACTATCATCATTATCATTATCAGTATTATTACCATTATTATTATTACCATTATTATTGTTGTTATTATTATAACTATTATCATTATTATTATTGAATCTATTACCATCTTCTTGTTGTACCATTCACCGCCCTCAAAGCGACCGCCTCTCAACGCCCGAGCCAACGATTGACGGCGCGAGCGCGCGAGCGCAGGGGACGAGCAGGACTTCGACACCCCCGGCAGCGCGCTGGACGGCTGGGCGCGCGAGGAGCTGGCAGCCTCCCTGGCGTGGAGGGCCGTGCCCACCCAGCCAGGCGCGAGTCGCCTGAGCCGAGTGTGGAGGAATGAGTCGAGTACGTGGAGTCGACGTCAGCGGGCGAGTTTTTTGTTTTTCTCCTTCTCTTTTTTTGTTTTTGTTTTGTTTTCCCCCCCCCCCATCGTTTTTTTTCTTCCTCTTTTTTGTTCTTTGTTTTTTGTTTTGTTTTTGGGGTTTGGGGTGTCAGAAGCATGGGTGCCTAGTTTTGGGTCAGTTTGGTTGAACTTAGACGCTTTTTGGGTGAGTCTGGAAAACAATTGGATGGGTTCCACTGGTTTGGTTTTACGCCCCATTCACCAGGGAAGTTCATCTATTTCCCCAAAAGGTCACCTATGGCTGTTAGGGGAACCCAGTTGATGTTCATTTGCCCCCCCCCCCAACAAAAGCCAACAAAAACACAAAACAAAACAGCAAAAACAAGCAAACCAGCATGTTTCCTTGAGTTGTTTCGCAAAATTAGGACGCTCTTGCCCAACCAAGAACAGACAATGTGTATTCTCTGTGGAGTACCGCGTGGTTGTGGAACATTGGGCTTCCGGGTGCCACTTTCTGCACCAAGGGAGCCTAAGTGATGAAGTAGTCCTGGGGATGGACATCCCTCTATGACAGAAAGGGCTACTGTGGATGGTTGCGAAATCCATTTCGCGCCACCTAAGAAACCATAGAATGATGGCTCCCCTGTAAATACCAACAAACACTAGTTTCCCATGGTTTCGAAGTGGTGCAGGATTTTCTCCATCCACAGTATCGTTTGAACATGGGCACCCAAGTTTCATGAATGAGCCGCTGGTCGAGTTTGATTCTAGTCGTGCGGCTCAGTTTGAGAGGGAATCACTGTAGGCAAAACCCCCAATCCGCCAGAAAACAGATCCGCGCAACCGGGGTCCAACCGGGGAGCGGTCGTGGGTTGAGGCAAATAGGGGGAGCCCAGCAGAGTTGATGGGGTTCCTTGAGGCTGAGCCAGGGTTCCCTTGGGCTGAGTTAGTTTTCCCACTGGTCAAAATCAGAAGACCTTTCACCCACTTTGAGTGAAATGAACAAGTCTTCTTTTCGGGATGTTGACCGGGGCCCCAAAATGGCGCAACGGGTTTTCCTTCTGGCTGGGCCTTGAAACTGCCAAAAAAGATGGATACCCCAGAGACACCCAAATCAGTGCGATCCCTGCGGGTTTTTGCGGTCTCTCGACGAAGAGCTTAGAAGTTCCTGGACCTCAATCCAATCGCCCCCCCGGCTATCAAAAAGACACGAGCAGAAGCAAAGCCATTCGAAAGCAAGCTAGCTTTCATCAGATCGTCAAAACTTTTTTCTCTGAATCATTGATTCCAGGATTTTGTCAACTCTTTCAGGGTACATCTTTCCCAAGTTGGCAGTGGCTCAAGTAAATTTGCTAAAATGGCACCTTGGTAAATGAACGAAAGACTAGAACCTGCGTAACCCTAGCTCTTGAACAGGGCTCCTTAAAAGATCTCCATTTTGCCAGCATTTGAAACATGGCTGGCTTTTTTCTCTCCACCAAAATCAAGAAATGGAAGCCACCATTTACAAGTTGCAATGTTCGATCTGTGTTTTTCATGTAAGGATCCCTACATAGGGCCTGCGAAACTCGGGGGGGTTTCATGCATCCGTCATGGGGGCTGGGGAGGGAGGGAGGGGAGAGGGAGCCCAAATAAGCCCGAAATAAGGCCTTATTAAGCCCTTATTAAGGCCTCCCTCCCCCCTCCCCTCCCCAGCCCCCATGCATCCGGATCCCTGCGAGAACTTTTGCGCCATCTTTCAGTTGTTGTGCCAGGCGGCAACCCGGCGGATGTAGACAACTTCGCAGCTCGACTTTGAAGGGAGGCGAAGCTTTTGGTCAGCGCGTTGGGACCCGTGTTCATGAAAACTTGCCCCCACGGGTGCTTTTCTTTCTTCTTTTTCTTGTGGTGTTTTGCTTAAGGAGGTACCAACAATCAAAACCTGGGTAGATGATGAAGGTTAGTAAGGGATACTCCCCTTGCCATAAATAGCTGCGGATATCCGCCTTCTTAATTCTTGAAGCATGGTTCTGGGGTTACGACCATGTTAATACCGGGTTTTGGTTGTGACTCAGCTGGTGCAACCCTTTGGTGCCTGCGATCCATGGGGCCAATGTATGCTGGGCGCCCCTGCTCTCCCCTTTTCACAAATCCAGCTGGCGGTCCTCAAGACTTTGGTTCATTTTGTCCAGGCAGGTTTTGAGGTCCTCAAGATGGGCCGTTGAAAAGCCTAGCGTTTCCCATCCGAGTTTTGAGGATGTCGCTTTCATGGACCCAGACTTCGCAACGGAAACAAAAGAAGAAAAACCCGCTCCGCCCCGAACCTTGGGCTTCGCGTCGCCCATTCCAAGACGGCACTCGACGTCCGCAAGGTGTCTGTGTGCCATGTTTCCTGGGAGACTATCCCTACTGTGGATGGACGAAATCCATTTCGCACCGCTCAGAAACCCTAAGATGAGTCCACTGTAAATTCCAACCAACAATGGCTTCCAATGGTTTCAAAGTGGTGCGAATTTCTTTCCGCCAGGCACAAGCTCCGGTCTTGCGATTTTCATTCGTCAGAACCTAGGGGAATGTTGTCCAGAACCCTTTCCGGGATGGTTCACGCTTGGGGGTTCGCCCCGCTATCCAGGTGCTCGTTGGTACCCAAAACCCTTCTTTGGTTGGGAGGGTTCCCCTACAATCGCTAAAATAGACGGCCAGAAAAAAGTTGGTACCAACTTATTCTAACCTCTCAAATCTGGCGGACCTGGGTTCATTCCATCTCTCACCTTCCCCGCCTCTGGCGCCGATGGAAAACAGGAATACCGAGGAAAAAAAAAAAAAACAATAGAAAAAAAACGGCAAAACAACAGCAAAGAAACAACAACAACAACAAACCAAAAAAAAAACAAAAACACGGCAGCAGCGGCTCCGAGGACATGACTGCGGAGTCCTACCGCTACATCGCCCGCCTCAACGGCCTGCGCGAGGCCTACTTCGGCGACTTCGGGCAGGAGACCTGCGACGAGGCGAGACATGAAGCGCGCGCCTTTCTGGGAGGAGAACGGAGGGACCGAGGGCCAAGCCGAAACCAAAAACACGGGGAAAAACGACGGCCACGAAACGCTGGTTGGTGGGGTCTGTCTTTGTTTGACAAAGTTCTTTTTTTTGGGGGGGGGGGAAATCAAAAGGAAGACATGGGGGTTTGCTTGCATGGAGACCTGGTTTTGAATGGATCTTCAGGCAGGCAGGTTGGGGCTTTTGCTGGCAAAACGGGGAGCTAAAACTTACAACTGGACAAAGCAAAACATGCTTCTCAGAAAAAAGCCGCTTTCGCCCAAACTTCTACAATACGGTTTGGATATGGCCAATTTGTGATCCACCCCTACTAAGACAGGACTAACAGTAGAGGTGAAATCCCCCACGAAGCGCATCCAAAAAGCTTCCTAGAAGCCTGGGATCGCTCCAATCCATCCGCCGTGCCGTTCCTTTGCCGTTCCTTTGCCGTTCCTTTGCCGACAGGTGGTCACTCCCGAGCCGCAGATCCCGGACGTCTTGGTCTTCGAGCGCGGCTGCAGTGCGGACCCGCAGCGCCGGATCCTGGTCATCGCCAGCTTCCACCAGAACAGCTCCCCGGAGGATTTGCGGCGCGAAGCTCTACACGTTGGGACCCGTTTTCATTAACTTGCCCCCATGCTTTTCTTCTTCTTCTTTTTTTGTGTGTGCAAGGAGGTACCAACAATCAAAAGCCGGGTAGGTGAAGGTTAGTAACGGATACTCCCCTTGCCATAAATAGCTGCGGATATCCGCCTTCTTAATTCTTGAAGCATGGTTCTGGGTAGACCATTTCACACCAGGCTTTGCGGTCGGTTTTGATTGTGACTCACGTTGGGACCCATTTTCAACTTGCCTCCATGGGTCGGTGTTCTTATTCTTGTGGTGTCCCTTAAGGAGGTACCAACTCCAAAAAGGGGGAGGTGGTTGATCAAAAGGTGAACATGTGATGACCATTGCTTGGAAAATGATTTTTGATTTCCACTGAATGGGAACGGATACCCTTGGTCATTTGGGGTCATTCCCACGTGAGATCTTTGGGACTTTGAAACCCCCCCTCAACATGGGTGGGTCTTCCAATTTTTCCTGTAAATGCAACCTGACAAAAAGTGCCTTGAGTGGTGTAAACATCACCTAATGGCCACGTTGAGACGAGTGTCCCAACTGGTGTTCAAAGAAGAGAAAAGTGGGGCTGCCTTGTTTGGTTCTGGGGTAGCCGAAAAAAAGAACCACACCCATATCGGGACCCGTGAGAAATTGTGGAGGAAGCCAAGGAACAAATTGGGGATCGTTTGAGAAGGCCCCCAAGGGGGTTGGCTGGCCCGGAAAACCAAAAGGACTCCGATGCCCATTTTTCGGGGCTTCCCAACTGTGATTTCTATTTTGTTTGATCCCCAACCATTTGGGTGTCATTTTTAAGGTTGGACCTGGACCCAAGAGCAACATGGGTTGCGTTTTCCCGGTTTCCCGAAACAAACCTCAAAAAGGGAGCCCTCAAAAAACAGGACAGACCCAAATATGGATATTCCTTGCCCACTTCTGGACTTTTGGTTGACGATGATTTTGCATGTTGGGTTTCACCACCTCTGGGGCCATCAACCTTGCTCCAAAACTCCCCCGTAGCGTGCTATTTCCTTGGGCTCGCCACCAAAAAAAAGAGGTCTGCTCAGCAAAGCTGCGCCGGGCAAAGCACCAGAAAGTGAGATGTGTCCCAAGGGCCCTCAGGCAAAAGGATACATCTTTGCGGTGGCAAACCCCCTGGGCCCTCTCGCCCAGGGCCAGCATCAGTGTAGAAGCCTCTCTTCCGCCATCCCCTGCATATCCCATTTTTGGAATCCCGAGTTCGGCACAATCACAGCCCCGCCCAGTTTCACACCGACATCACCCGCATTCCTGCCTTTGCCTGGCCAGCCCCATGACTGCCCAATCGCCCAACCTTGACCGCAAGGTCCAAAGCAACAGCTAGGGTTGCCCTGAACCTCAAATCAACAACAACAAGTGGTATCGTTTCCAGGGATTCCATCTTTCTTCCTGCTCATCGATTCGGTCGAACAGGAGCACCCGTCAATTGGTGGGGAGTGATAATCCCAATGTTTAGCTGTCAAAATTCAAAACCATTGGTGGCCTTGGCTTAGTTTGGTTAGAAATTGATGGATGGGTTCTAGTTGAGATTGGCTTTATTATCCACTTGCCAGGGATTTCCATCTATTTTACCAAAAGGACACCTATAAACAAACACTTAAACCATCGGGTTCCAGTTGGAGGTAAAGTCGAACCCAGCGAACGAGCCGTACCGCAGCGTCTTTTGATGGAAACCAAAGGGAGCAACACGAGGTTTTTGGGGTCTGGCGCATTTGTTTCTCGAAAACACACCCCTACAAACGACTGTTGATTGATTTCCTTTCTTGTTTTTCCTCCCTAAAGAAAAGCAATACCAAAAGAAAACGAGCGGCTTCTCCTTCTTCCAAAAATTACAAACATGACTCTTCTTTCAATACGCATGACTCGTATTTTCGGGGGGGGGGGAGAGGGAGTCCACGCGCTTTCCTCCAGACTGCTGGCCTCGACTCGGGGGACGGTCGGGTGACGCATCGCTAGGCTCCAGCTCGGTGCTGGTCTCCACGCCCTGGGCCGCCGGCACGGAGCTGCGGGACGCCGTGCAGGACACGGACCCCGTGCCGCGGAGATTTTTTTCGCGGATTCGGAGACGCCGCGGGCTTCGGGGCGTGTTGGGGCGTGGCGTCTCGTGTTTTTTTCTTTTGTTCTCTTTTGTTTTTGGGGAGGCGGTTGGGAAGCGTTTTCAAGCAAAAATGATAAACTTCGGGAAGAAACGAAGAAATGGGGCGGAGAATGGGGTGGTTTGAGTGTGTCTATTTTTCGGGTTTTACCCCCCTTTTTTTTGTTGGGTGGTTGCCAGCCATCAGGTTTGTTAGGTTTTTAGGTTGGTTTAGTGGTATTTCCCAGCCAACCCTGAGGACGTTTTTTGGTGGTTTAAAGGGAAACCGAAAGGAACAACCAGATATGGGGGTCCGATTCCTACAAAAAGACAAACACAGAAAGCTCAAAAGCAAAAAACATGCGGGGACATTAGTTCCCACTTGACAACCTCAGAAGTGGGGGGTGGCACCGAAGTCTGACCAAACTGTCCCTATTTAATTTTCGCACCCATATTTCCCTAAGGCAGTGATAACATCACCTTCTGTGCCCAATTGCTTCTTATTTTTCCTGGGGCATAACTCGAGAGGTCTGAGCCCACTCTTCTGCGCGGGTCGCCCTTGCCGGACTTTGGCTCGGTTTCGAACGGTCGCAAACGGAACCCAGCGGTGTAGAGGATCACAGTCATCTCAGTTGTTCAGTGGCACCCTCTTTCCCTTTTTTTTAGAGGCTGCCCCACTAAAACTGGTCTTCCCCTAAGAAGGGTTCCCTTTTTTTCCAGGGTCACTGAACAACTGAGTCATGGTTCTCTTCAGAATTCATTGCGATTTCTGCATCACCGGGCACAATGTCTCCGATTTTTGTCCTCAGGAAACCCAAAGGTTGGGTTGCTTAAACAACGGTTGGGTTGCTCTGGGGGTGGAAAATGGGTTGTTGGAGCTCAAGATGGGTTGGTTGGGTTGGGTTTATGCAATGGGTTTCAGACAACCCCCGCTGGGGTTTGGTTTCAGCATTTTCTGCTCAAAGCTTTCTGGTGGGGACGGATCAGCTCTTTCTTTTCTCGGGCTACGAGCGATTTCCGGGCTTGACTTTCTGGGGCCCTTGGTTTAAGTGGTGTTGGTTCGAAACCCTGTCGCTTTTCCAACTTTCGTTGGAGTCATTCTTGCTATCGTGCCAGAGGTTTCGGAGCAACACGGTTTTGTGCCAAAACAAGTCCACCAGATGGCTTCAAGTCATTTGCTAGATCTAACTTTCCAAAAGGACACCGAGAGTTTCGGCGATTTTTTGTTTGTGGAAAGGCCAACGTTTGAGTTTCCCTTCGGCGTGGATGCATAAAGGCTTAGGGGCGGGGGGGGGGGGGGTACGTCAACCGCCATGGGTCAAGGGGACGGTTATAGGATCTTCCGGGCAGAGCCCTTTATTTCAGATTTCCACGTTGGATGGGTTTGGGGATTTGAAGCCGTGGTTTGTGAGGTTAAAGGGAAGGTACTTTGGAACCATGGAACTACCAACCCAAGCCATTTTGGGTGTGTCTGTGTCTTTTCTAGGCCTCCCCCCCCCCAACAAAAAGCAAAGAAGAAGACGTTTCTTCTTTTGGTTGCCCAAAAAAGGATGCCACCTCCAAAAAAGAGGCACGGGGAAAGATCAACGCTTGGCCTCCTGCTTTCAAGTTGGACTCGCGACCCGTTTCCTTCAGAGCCTGACTCAGGTGGAATTTTATTGGGCTGCACAAACAATTCAGCGGACACTTTCATGTTTTGAGGTCAGGACCAATTCAAGTGCACAATATTTCTATGCTATGCGACCGGTTCCTGGCCTTAAGGATAAAGATGATCCACCTAGTAAAAATCCTCAGCCAGAATGATTCCTAAGGGAACCATAGTCCATACTGTGGATGGACGAAATCTATTCGCACCACGAAATGAACCCTTGGCTGAAACCATCCGTTTGTTGGCATTTGCAGGGAATCATCAGAAACCAGGGTTTCTTAGTGAGTAAGAGTTTGACCATGGCACACGTGAGCAACTAACAACAGAGATTCTACAAGTTTGGGGGAGCCAAGTTTTGAGCCCGCCAGTTCGGGCTGCTGAAACAAAGGTTTTCCGAAGCCTGTTTTTAGTCATGCGCTCGAAATGGGCAAGAGGAACTGTGAACATCTTTTTGCACGTGGAGCAAGGTGTTATTGGAGAATGTCGACTGCTGATCAACACCCCCCCCAGTCCGCCCACCTCAGAAATGAAATGGGGGCTGTCTTCTTTTCGAGGCTCGAACCCCTGCAGGGGTTGGTTTTAAAGGGACATCACCGGGTCCCCCAACTTGGACACAGTTCACATATCCGTTTAATCGGAAGGTTGGTATCACAGAAGTAGGAACCAAGCAAATATTTCCTTCAACCCATCCCCAACCCTGTGGAGACACAAACCAAATCGAAACTGGATACTGTGGATGGACGAATGAAACCATTGCTCTTTTTTTTGTAACAAACACCAGGGGAATCAGAATCATGAACCAGGTTTCTGGTCGCTCGGTGGGTCGCTGGGTGGCAGCCACCGGCCACAGCGAAAACCTCAGGTGACGCTGGTGGTGGATCTGCAAGGCCGGGTGGAGTACCAGCTGGCGCCCCTGCAGGCCTTGGTGCTGGCACCTCGGAGAAAAGATCTCGGGCCACGGGAGAGCCTTGAATTTTCCAGGCGCATCGGTTTCGGGGTTCAAGTTCCCCAATTGGTTTTTTCCCAGTTGGTATCCACCAATCCGAACCACCAATCAAAGGTATCTCCTTAGTCGCTGGCTTGGATCGATGGAAGTGAGTCGAGAGTGTCTTTCTTTGAACATCCCCTTTATCAGGTGGCACTTAGTTTGGTGGTGTGGATTGGTGGTTTGGATTTGCATGTGAACCCTTGGTTCTTGTACCCTCGTCCCGATATTTCCCGTTGTGGATGGTTTGAACACCACCTTTTGGGACCGTTTGAGGTGGATTTCCTTTTGGCGGAGGAAGTTTTCGAGAATTTCTTCATACTTTTCGGTATGTTCTTTGTTTGGCGGTTGGGAGCCGAATCGGTGGTTTGGTGGTAAAGCATAGGGATTCAAATCACTAACCCAAGGGTTGCTTGAGAGATGTGTTGGCTCGGTTTTGGGGGGATGAAGGACCCAGGTTTGTGATGTTGTCTGGTGGTGGTGATGCTGGCGATGCTGGTGATGCTGGCGATGCTGGCGATGCTGGTGATGCGCAATGCTGGCGATGCTGGCGATGCTGGTGCTGCTGGTGATGCTGGCGAGGTTGGTGATGCTGGTGATGCTGGCGATGAGGGCGATGCTGGCGATGCTGGTGATGCTGGTGATGCTTGTGAGGTTGGTGAGGTTGGTGATGCTGGTGATGCTGGTGAGGTTGGTTATGCTGGTGATGCTGGCAATGCTGGCGATGCTGGCGATGCTGGTGATGCTGGCGATGCTGGTGATGCGCAGTGCTGGCGATGCTGGCGATGCTGGTGCTGCTGGTGATGCTGGCGAGGTTGGTGATGCTGGTGATGCTGGCGATGAGGGCGATGCTGGCGATGCTGGTGATGCTGGTGATGCTTGTGAGGTTGGTGAGGTTGGTGATGCTGGTGATGCTGGTGAGGTTGGTTATGCTGGTGATGCTGGCAATGCTGGCGATGCTGGCGATGCTGGTGATGCTGGCGATGCTGGTGATGCGCAGTGCTGGCGATGCTGGCGATGCTGGTGCTGCTGGTGATGCTGGCGAGGTTGGTGATGCTGGTGATGCTGGCGATGAGGGCGATGCTGGCGATGCTGGTGATGCTGGTGATGCTGTGGGTTGCTGGGTGCTGGCGATGCTGGTGATGCTGGTGAGGTTGGTTATGCTGGTGATGCTGGTGATGCTGGTGAGGTTGGTGATGCTGGTGATGCTGTTTTTTTGTTGCAGCAGATTTTCGTGGTCAAACATCGGAATGATCCGTAGTGGTAAACAATGGGTGTTAAAACATGGTCAGAAGAATCAACACCCACTTTGTTGATTGAAGATATATCACAGAAAGGATGGTTTTCCCACGAGGCCCAAGCAACGCCTCTGAGGTGCCGCGACCCGTGGTACTACCACCCGCCGCTTTGCTTTGGGAATCTCTGGGTGACACTCTTGCTGGTCTGCTGTTCCAAGTGGTCATGGAGCGTCAGATTTGGAACCGGCCATTTCCCTAGAGTTCTTTTAGGTTTTGGAGGTTTAGCGATGGTTTCACCAAGCCACTAAAAGTTTGGCAGGGGATCAGTTTGCTCAGAAAAGGTAGTCTACTGATGGTTTGGGGTTCCCGCCCTTCCCCGTTTCGCTTTTCACTTGCCTTGTTTGACCATTTGGACACATGGGGTGGATTTCTGGACTCGTGATTTAAGCATGACATGATGGCACCCATGGAGGATGAACATACACATCTTCTTAGATTTCGGACACCATTGACCCGCAACCTGACACCATGTTCCTTTTAAAGGGACCGGGTCCCAAACGTCAGGTTCCGGCGGTTAATTGCTGGGAGGGTAGATGAACCCCTGGTCTTGCTTCGGTGGGAGACGCCCCGAAAAAGAACCGGTGGGGTGTTTTAGAAAAAACAACAACAACAAGCAAACACACACACACACACACACACACACACACACACACACACACACACACACACACACACACACACACACACACACACACACACACACACACACACACACACACACACACACACACACACACACACACACACACACACACACACACACACACACACACACACACACACACACACACACACACACACACACACACACACACACACATACACACACACACACACACACACACACACACACACACACACACACACACACACACACACACACACACACACACACACACACACACACACACACACACACACACACACACACACACACACACACACACACACACACACACACACACACACACACACACACACACACACACACACACACACACACACACACACACACACACACACACACACACACACATGTATTTGGCCATAAAAAAAAAAAAAACAAGAACACACACACATATTTGAATGCCATGATTTGTTTGATGGGGACGCACTCCAAAAGTAGTCGGTGATTCGGCAGCGCGGCGCGCGGCGAGGTGGTGGTGTCTGTGTCCCCAAAGCACGGCTCCAGCATGGCCTGGCCTGCGGACGAGGCCTTCAAGGCAGGTCTCCGGGCCGAGGCCTCGGCGGGGCGCTTCACTGCGCGGTTGGCCGGGTGAAGCGAGATGATCAAAAATCGGGCTGTGGTTGTCAAAACCAACGGGATCCCATTTCGGTTGGTAGGTGAATGCACCAGGTTAGAACCTATTTTGGTGGGGATTGGGATGTTCACTGGGGGCACGATTTGGATTTTGACCCATGGCCATCTGACTTAGTTCCTCAAGCCACATGGGTGTATCTTCACCGTTGTTCGCTTGGCTTTGTTTGGTTTTCATACTTTGGTGTTCTCTTCATTTTTAAGGGGCTGCGAAAGGGAAAACAAAGCAACATCATGTTTTTTTGTTTGCGAACGTTTGAAATCAGGGTTCCTCAACCCTGATACCCCCCCGTGTTTGGGTGCGTGTGCTTTTGAGGCTGCCAATTTTCAGCCTGCTGTTTTTGGATTCGGAACTAGGAAACCACTCAGAAATGGACATTCCCCGTTCACACAGATCGTTGACCCGCAAAAATCAACCCACAAATAGGAGGCCTCCAAAAGGGATGACTTCCCACGATTTCCCAGGAACACCCCCTATTGATAAACGGGGGTTGATGTCAATCCAGGGCAACTCCCATATTCTTTTTTTTATTCTTTTTTTTTCTGGGAACCCCAAAAACAAACGCCCGTAAAGACCACACGCACCCAGAGGCGGGTGTATGAGGGTACCCTCTTTGTGGCTGGGTTTAAAGGGACTCATTCTTGGGTGCCACAAATTCTCCTTGGTGCCCTTTTGGGCCGCAAACATGTGAGGTGCCTTTTGGGTGATGTTTGGGAACTTTGGCTCCGGGTTTTCCCGTTTCGGTCGCCTGGGTTGAGGGTTCGAGACATCACTTTGGTTGGATTTTGTTTGAAGGCGTCCCAAAGAAAAAGTTTTGATGACCAGGTTTGAGGACTCACTGTATTTCTGAAAAAAACCCAAGACCACTCTTTGGCGGGTGTCCCAAAAAGAGCGCAGAAGCTGGCAGGGGTCGTCTTCTTGGAGGGTACCACTTTTTTGATGTGAAGAAATACCAAAAAGAAAACCATTGAGGGGGGGATGTCCCAAGAATATACCAAAGAAACATGTTCTTTTTTGGGGGGTTTTATTTTGAGGGGGAGGGGATGTCCCAAAAAATAACGCACTCATCTAAGGAAACACCAGGTCCACCTTCTCTATCAATATCCATGAATGGTATATCCTATTAACCGCGGTCTATGGAGAAGACTCAATGTGTAGTCCAAGACCCTCCAGTGGCCAAGGTGAAGCTATAGGATGGAGGATTTCCAACCCAAAAGTGGAACAAAGGAAGCGTTGCCGGGAGGTTTGGCAGAATCAAAACAATAGGGGAATGGACGAACTTTATACGGGTCTGTCTCCAAATGGCGGACACACCAAAATTGGTGTTTTCCTTTGAGCGTCCCTTTTAAAACCCACCTCAAACAGGGTATCCTGAAAAGAAGGATACTCTCTCATATCCCTGAAAACCAAGGTTACAGAAGGTGGACCCACCACAATTGTTATTTTCCTTTGAGTTTCCATTGAGACCCACCTCAAATATCCCTAAGACCCACCTCAAATATCCCTAAAAACCAAGGTTACAGAAAGCCGGAGGCCAAATCCTCGGGTTTTTCGCTACGCCTCAGGTCAAGTTCGACCGCGCAATGGAGCCCACAGTCTTGCAATACCTCCGCCTCAATGGCAAGGAGCGGCCGGTCTTCCGTATCTTTGCGTTTATTGTATGCGTGTTTGTGGCTATTCAACATATTCTGACAAGCAGCTACCAGATATCTTTCTGTTTCTGGTTCCAATACCGTTTTCCCGAATGCATGGCGATGGTTTTCGCGGCAAAGGAGATTTCAAAGAGGAATATCACCAAGAGATGCCCCGAGGGCTTGCGCCGAGAAACGTCACCAAGAGATCGCCCAAGAGATTGCACAGAGACATGTCGCGCAGAGATCGCCCGAGAGATTGCGCTGAGACGTGTCACGTTTAGATTGCTCAGAGAGATGGCGTGTGCAGATTGCTCAAAGGGATTGCTCGGTGAGATTACGTGTGAGATGCCCAGAGAGATTGCGTAGAGAGATTCGCCGGAGTGATCGCACGTGAGACTGCGCTGGGTTTTGCGTGAGATTGCGCATGAAGGCCGCGGGGTCCTTGGAAGACGATTTTCCTTTCCATGGTTGTTGTTGGGAAACATTTGAATCATTTTTGCGCAAGTTGTGGTGTAGTGGTTGAAATCCAACCACTGAACTGCTAAAAATTGAGAATTCTTGCTCCCCTAACCCAACGTCAACCAGAATTTCAAGGGGCTCTCTGGGTTCCGTGTTGGACAGGAAATTCATTCTTGTCTAAGTTGCGGATGTCAGTCTTCTGGCGCGAGCCTTCAATCTCACGCTCAAGGCAACCTGAGGCGGCGCGTCCCAATTTGTTTTAGGTGGTTTTTTGGGCCTCACTGGGGGGTCCCAGCGCGGTGGATTAGGAAAACTCCCTGGGCTGGCCCATTTCTCCACAACATACCCGCCTTTGTTCAGGGCAAATTTTTGGGGAAAACCCGGTTTTCCATGGAAAATGCCTCCTTTTTTAGTAGAGGGTCAACATGATACTCTGAACAAAAGAGGGTATTTGGAGCTTTCGGGGGTGTCCAACAGCAGTCAGCTCTTGGTTTCTATCCCTAGGCCCTCAAAACCATTCGGCGAGGACACCGCCGGGAGCAGCGAAAGCTTCAGGTGTTTGAACCCTACGGAGTGCGGCTCGGCCGTTTTTTGACGCTGCTTGGGGCATGGTGCTGGGTCCAAAATTCGGGGAGACGTCCAGGGGATTGGGTGCCCTCCAAACAAATTTGGTGCCCTCGAGAAAATTTGGTGCCATCAAAAACAATTAGGTGCCATCAAAAACAATTAAGTGCCCTCCAGGGGATTAGGTGCCATCCAGTGGAGACGTCCGAGACCAATACGCTCTTTGCTCGGGTGGCCCTTGCAAACGCAAGTGAATGGTGTACTGCCATGCCTCGTGACATCCCGTCTCTTTGAACCAAGCTCAGCGAGGGATCCGCGAGGGATCGCCCACCTGGTCTCTGCGAAAAGGAACCAGGCTCAGTACCTGGTCTGGTACAGGTGGAAAACGCGATGTCCAAGCTTTCGCTGAGTCTCTTCAAGTGCTGTTGGGTTTTTTGCCAGAGCGAAGTTTGTCAGAACAAGATGCTGAGCACCAGGTTCTCTTGGTCGCCATTTTTTAGGATTTGGTCGCTTAAGGCCCCCTTTGACCCCCCAAGTAAAAGTTGAGCCCCTTTTGGGTTTGAAACTTTGAAACCAAAGGACACCGAACCAAACACGTTTGGTCCATGATGGTGTAAGGGAAGCCAGCAGTCTAGGGCTGATTCACAATCTGGTCAATCGTTCTGTTCAAAACCCTCCCTGCACGTCTCCGATCGTCTTCTAGAAAGATCCCTGTTGGGTGTCGCTTTTTGAGCGTACCCTGTTTTTGGGGCTTCAAAGGCAACCAAGAGTATCAGGGGGGGTGGGCCTAGTTTTGAGACACACCCCGTTGGCCCAACATGAACCTGGTGAAACCAGTGAGGAAATGCCGGGACGTTGGGTACCTCCCTCACCAGGTTCCTGGACTGGCGCCACTTCTTGGGCTACCATTTGGCGAGCAAGATTTTTGTTTTTTTTCGGGCCAAGCTGGATCGGAAGGGATGCACCAGCCCGTGTTTTTGGACCCCCACCCACCCACCCACCCCCCGCCAACCCCGCTCCAACCCCGCCCCAACCCCACCCCACCCCACGACGTTTTTTTGGCCGTTGAAGGAGGGCCGCTTCCCGGGGCTGAAACTTGGTGCAGGGGTTCTCCAGTAGAGAGGTTAGAATCAGGGCGCCAACTTTTTTCCTGTAGTCTATTTTAGTAGGGGAACCCTCCCCCAGAAAAGTTGGTAAAAGGGCGGTACTGGGAAACCTGGGCGGACCACATCCCGAACGTGGGCCAGGCGCGTCCCGGACCTTGAGTTTTTGGTTTGCAAGGTGGATGTCAGGTACCCGCCCCTAGTTGGTGGTTTGGAGCCCGGTGGTTTGTTTGGATTTGGATTAAATATTGTGAGGATGTGCAATTCATCTAGCATCTAAGTAGGTCACAACCAATGGCGCCTGTCCGCATGTGCAGCTATGTGTGGGTTGAACATCCACGGGACCAATTTTCTACTCTTGTGCCAGAGTCTTTGAACCATGGTCATCCTCTAGCCGGTGGTTGGCAGGAAGGCAAAACTGGCTGAAAGCTATAGGGGTTCTAACTTCTAAAGAAGGGAAAGTGATGTTTTGCGAGCTTGACAGCCGGGTGCTAGGGGGCATCCAGCTTGGGCTGCTGGTGGAGGTGCCGCTTTGCGAGATTGACGGCCGGGTGCTAGCATGCAGTTTGGGGTGCTTGGTGGATGCCGTTTTGCGAGCTTGACGGCCGGTGCTGGGGGGCATCCATCTTGGGGTGCTGGTGGAGGTGCTGTTTTGCGAGAGTGATGGCCGGGTGCTAGGGGGCATGCAATTTGTGGTGCTAGTGAGGTGTTGTTTTGCGAGCTTGACGGCCGGTGCTACGAGCCATGCAAGCTTGACGGCCAGGTGCTGCGGGGCACGCAGTTTGGGAGGTGCCGCATGCTAGGGGGCATGCAGTTTGGGGTGCTGGTGGAGGTGCCGCTTTGCGAGCGTTGGGAGAGGTGCTGTTTTGCGAGAGTGATGGCCGGGTGCTAGGGCATGCAATTTGGGGTGCTAGTGAGGTGTTGTTTTGCGAGCTTGACGGCCACGGGTTTGGGGTGCTAGTGGTTGCAAGATTGGCGGCCGGGTGCTAGGGGGCATGCAGTTTGGGGTGCTAGTGGATGCTGTTTTGCGAGCTTGACGGCCGGGTGCTAGGGGGCATCCAGCTTGGGCTGCTGGTGGAGGTGATTGACGGCCGGGTGCTAGCATGCAGTTTGGCGCGCTTGGTGGATGCTGTTTTGCGAGCTTGACGGCTGGGTGCTAGGGGGCATCCAGCTTGGGGTGCTGGTGGAGGTGCTGTTTTGCGAGAGTGATGGCCGGCTGCTAGGGGGCATGCAATTTGGGGTGCTAGTGAGGGGTTTGACGAGTTTGGGGTGCTAGTGGAGGCATGTAGTTTGGGGTGCGGGTGTAGTAGGGGGCATGGTGGTGCTGGTGCAGCTGCTGCTCTGGGGTGTTGTTTGAGGTGCTGGTGAAGGTGTAGGCGCATTTTTGCCAGATTGAGGGCTACATGCAGTTTGGGGCGCTGATGCAGGTGCTGTTTTTGGGGGTGGTGCTGTTTGAGGTGTGGACGTAATTTTCCGAGATTGCAGCTTGGGGCTGTGTCAGGTGCTGTTCTGGGTTGCTGTTTGAGGTGCTGCTGTCCGCGCTTCTTTCCCAGACAATTGAAAGCCATAAGGGTTCTGACAGAAGGCGCGGTTTTGGGTTGTGAGGTGCTGGCACAGGTGCTGCGTTGGGGTGCTGTTGGGGCTGCTGTTTTGAGGGCGGGTGCTGTTTGGGGTGTCGCGGTTGTGGCAATGCTGTCTGCAGCATCATGATGTTGTCAACTCAATCCGTTCGGACGGTGTTGCTGCCCTATCTGTGGCGCGTAGTTGTTCGTGGCTGGTGTATCATTAATGTTGTCAACCGCGTCATGATGCTGCTGGGATCACTGCGATGTTGCGTTATGGTTCGTGGGTGCGGTGGCGCCATGATGCTGTCAAGATCAGGATGATGCTGAATTTCATTACGCAGTTGCAAGATGATTTGTGGCTGTGGTATCATCATTCGCCTGCCTCTACCATCACAATGATGCCGCGCATCACCATGATGCTGCCGGCATCATCATGATGCTGTCGAACTCGGACGTCGTCTCTGCCTTTTTTCTGCCAAATATGTAACGCGGAATCGTTCGTGGCTGGTGTATCAGCATGATGCTGTCAACATCATCATTCTGCTGCTGCGCTCAGTAGGACGTTGCCTGCGCGTCTATTTAGCGCACCATGCTAAGTTGCTGTGGTATCATCATGATGCTGTCAACATCATCATGGTGCTGTCAACATCATCATGATGCCGCGGGAGCCATTATGATGCTGCGTCATGGTTCGTGGCCGTGGTGTGCTATCTGGGGTCTATGCCGGTGTATTTTTTTAAGCAATAAATAAATAAATCCAAATTCGCTGGACAGAGCCTCTCGGAGCCTCCCAGAGCCGATCGGAGTTCTGGTTGGGGACGCCCGAGGCCGAGAGGTGCTGCTGGAGATGAGCGCGGCTCGGACTGTTGGGAGCCGGGTTCGGGAGTGCCGGAATGGGGTTTGTCTCAAAATGGGAACGCGAACAATCCTAAAATGCCGTGGTTTCCTGTTGGTGTCCTTTTCAAAGCCGCCCAAAAAGGGGCACCCTCGAAAAAAGGAGAAACCTATATATATATATATATTTGTTGCTCCCCGCAAAGAGAAAAAGAAGCGATTCGGTCCTGGTTGCTTTTCCAGGACCAACCCAGCTTGTTCAGCACGGGTAGGGGGCTCCCGTTCCCCGAGTGAAGGACCCCGCCACCCGGGTCAGGAGCACCTCCGGAATCCCAGCGGGTTTTGGTTTTGATCGGGAGGCGCGGTAGGTTCTCGCTTCCGGTGGTGGGTCCTTTTTTTAGGGCACCCCCCCCCCCCGTTTTTTGCTTGGGTTTCAGGGACACACAAACCGCACCATGTTGGGGTCCCATCAGATTGAGACAGAACACAAGTGGAGGTGCGCTGCGCATTTCCGAAGGGTGTGTTTGAATTTGTGCGGACCATTTCGAGGGGAGCCAATGGAAGTGGACAGACACCTTCCAGAAGTCAGCTTTCATTCGGAGGATGCATGCATCACCCCTGCATGTGCGATGGACGCTTGCGGGGGACCGAACCCTAAAATGATATCATATGGCCATGGGTCAAAATCCAAATTACCCCAAGTGAACATCCAAATTCCCACTAAAATAGGTTCTAAAATGGGTGGTGAATTCACCTACCAACCAAAATTGGATCCTATTGGTTTTGACCCACGGCCATATGCCTAGACCTCTCGCGGAAACCCATTCCCTTGAGTTCAAGTGAGACCGAGGCGGGTGCGGCGGCGGATGGGTTCTACACCATCGAGGTTGGTGATGGGGAATCGCTGCTTTTTTGGAAGCTGGGGGGGAGGTTCTCCTACGGCATCTAGGTCTCCCAGCTAGGTGCCCTTTCTCATCCCTTTTGTGGTTGGGAGGGTTCCCCTGCTCAAATAGACAACAGAAAAAGTTGTTACCCTTGTTCTAACCTCTCTACCGGTGGACCTAGGCATGTTGAGCAAAACACATCCGTCGCTGGTGTTTGTGGATGTTTGCTTGTGAACACACATGTTTGTTCCTCTTTGCTTTGAGTGCTGATCTCTTGGTTTTGGCCAGCTTACATGTTGAGTTGGGGGCTCTTCGTGATCTTGGCAAATGGCCCAGAACGTTTAAATACCGTTTTTGCCAGAGTTTTCTGAGGCAAGCGACGGGTTTAACAGACCCAATTGGGTGTGTCTTCTGTTTGAGGGTGCCTTTTTTATGGGTTTTGAAGGGACACCAAAAGGACAACCACCATCGGCTTCCCCAAATTTCCCACGACTTCTCGAATGTTGAAACAAGTCCCATTTCCGGAAATGAAGCCAACTGCCCTCCGATGGGATCTATCGGCCCCGTGTTTCTCTTGGGACCTGCTGGGAGTTGAACCGAACCGGACCAGCCAGTTCGCTGGCCATCTTACGGTAGGTTCGTGCTGTGGATGGCCGAAATTGGCTTCTCGCACCACTTTGAAATCATGGCAAGCCATTGTTTGTTGGTATTTGACATGGAAATCATCGTTTCAGGGTCTCTTAGGTGGCGCGAAATGGATTTTGTCCATCCACGGTGGGACACGGATAAAAAGCGCCCATGAGGCCCCTCTCCCGGGAATTCGTGCCGACTTTTGAGTCGATGAATTGGCGTTTCCACAGGTCCCTGTGCCAGAAGGGCCTCACAGGGGGTCTGACATGGGTGGTGTGTGTCTTTTGTTGAGGCTCGGTACCCCGCTTCTTGTGGTTTTTGAAGGGAAGCCAAGAGGAAACAACGTCCCATTCCGGGGGTCCATCCTGAAAAAAGAGACGCACCCACATAAAGACTCCATGAGTATGGGGGTTGCCCTAGTGGAAATTCATCTTAAAGGGCTCTGTAATTACGGTGACGGGAGATATTGGAAGTAAACCAAACCTACTCAACCACAAAAACCATGGCACGTTGCTGAACTTTCGTGGGTGTCCTCGTTCCTTTGCGAAACAAATTGGGGGCATCCGCCGTTTTGACTGACCCCTGCACAACCCCTGAAAACCCCAACTTACTTTGGGGAACCCGGTGCCCCTGGAAAGGAATTCCCCACTAAAAAGGGACCCCACTTGATAAGTGGAGGGTTACTAGACCTTAGGTGCCCTTTTTGAGGTTAGTTTGGTTAGAAATTGAGGGTTGCACTGGTTTAGTTTGGTGTGATGCCTCATTTACCAGGGCCATCTACCCTCCCTCCAATCATGAAGCTGGCGATCGGAGGGTTTTGGAAGACTACTTTCCTTTTGGAGAAGCCCCACTTCCATGATTCATGGGTCGGTCACTGGATTTCCCCTGCACAAGTTGCAATTTACTGGTGATGTCCATTGAAACGATCGCGACTTTTGGAGGCTCCAGAACTTCAATTGGCTCGTCTTTCGGGAATGGAACTTTTTAAATGGACCAAGCAGTTTTCCCTTTGAAAAAACCCCTAAACCAAGGGAAACCAGTCCAAGTTGCAATTTACTGGTGGTTTCCATTGAAACGATCGAAAACCACTTCTGGAGGCTCCACAAAGGCAAACGGCTCGGACACCCCGTATTTTGCTAGGGGTTGATTTCTCATTCTTTTCAGCCATCGTAATTTTCCAAAACCGGCCATTTCCCCAGGATTTTTTGCCCTTTTTCTAGATTGATTTGGATCCCTGGAAAGAATGGGGAAGTTACCCTGGAATCCTCTTAGGTTTCTAGGCCTTTTGAGGGCTGTTGGATTTAGCGGCAGTTTGACTCGCGACTCGGTGCCGAGTGGTTCAACCGCAGGTCCTGGAAGGCGCCTTGTCGCTGGACGGCCAGCGGCTGCAGACCACCTTCCGCCCCTTCGCCGGGCGTTTGGTGGGGTGGTTTGGTTTTGGTAGTGAGTCGTTTTGCTATGTGTTTTTTCCTTTCTTTTTTTTCTGCTTTACTATGTTTTACTTGTGGCTTTTCTTGCCTTTATTTTTCTTGCCTTTCTTCTTTCTTGCCTTCCTTTTCTTGGTTTTACAATGTTTTACTCGGTTGTTGCTTTCCTCTTGCCTTTTTCTGGTTTTTGTTTTGTTCATTGCTTTCATTCTTGGAAGTTCCAGCTGTTTGTTTGAGAGGAGTGCTTGTCGGGGAAGCATGCCCTGAACCTGATCTCCATGATCTTGTCTGGTCTCTGGCTGCATGCCTGCTCCTTTTGCGTTGAGGGATACGTCATTTCGTCCGTTTTCAATTCCTTCGAAAGGCGAAGTCCTTTTGAGGGTGGCCTTTCATGTCCAATCCGAGCGGTGCCACAAAAAGAGAATTGGCCGCAAGTCAACATTTGTTGGGGCTCACTTTTCGAGCAAAAGCACCCCGGACCCGCGAACCCCCCCAGATCCGTAACTTTCAACCGCCCTGACTCTCCCCCAACACCCCCAAGCTCCTAACCCAACACCCTAACCTCCGAACTCCCCAACCCCTAACCCCCCTAGCCCCTAGACCCTAACCCCCTAACCCCCTAACCCCCTAACCCGCTGACCCCCTGACTCCCTGAGCCCCCGGCTCTCATTTGTTTGGATTTCCTGATTGGACAAATGTTTGGGCCCAGCAGATCTGCTCTTGGAATGCCAACTTGGCCCTTAAAGGAAGGTGAGGGGACCAACACCCCCATGCGAAAGTGAAGGTTCAATATTCACCAGGCCGAAGGTACAACCGGTTGCTACTGGGGATGGTTGCGAAATTTGCTTCTCGCACCACCTAACTCAGAAACCCTGGTCCATGATTCGATTCCCCAGACGTAAATGCCAACAAGCAATGATTTGAACCATGGTTTCAAGCAATTCATGGTGCGATTTAACTGGATTTCGCAAGCATCCACCGTACCTCCTCTTTACTTTGTGGCTCCCCCAGCCATCCCCTTAGCTTTCTAGCTTTCTAGCTTTCTAGCTTTTCTTTAGTGTTTAGTGGTTGGGTTTCCGAATTTAACCCACAAGTTAAACACTTTTGGCAAAAAATGGCTGTGGGTCAAAACCCATGGTACCATTTTGGGGTAGGTGCACCACCCATTTTAGTCCATTTTGGTGGGGATTGGGATGTTCACTGGGGGTACGATTTGGATTTTGACCCATGGCCAAATCTGAAAACGTAGACTTGGCCACCCCTTGGCTTTTTAGTGTTTCAGTGTTTAGTGGTAGTTTCCATTTCACCCACTAAAAGTTAGTCACTTTTAGCGGGGGATCTGAGGGCCGCCCAGTAGAGGCCATCGATTTTTCTCCGCGCGGGTTTTTCTAAGGCTCCCACTTCCTGCTGGATCGCACCAAGGGCGCCATCAGCCACCAGCGCCCCAGCTGGCAGATGTCGAGCCAGGGTTGGGTGGTGTTTGAACAACCGAGTAGGTGTCGAACCGCAAAACGGTCATGTCGGTTTTCCTGAAGGTTTCCCCTTTTAAACCAAGGTGAAATGGTCAACTTTTCAGCTTGGTACCGCCACTTTGAGCCATAGCTATGCGTTTGAACAACAAGACCAAAAGGAGGTTGTTGAAGCACGAGGTGTTTCGACATTTGAACGGAAAAGCGGCGACATACCAATTGCATTTGTTAGTTTATTGAAACAATCATTACCGTACTTGCACTGGAACTTAAGTATTCATCCAGGAGTTTGCGTGCTTATACCTCTTTCCGGGGGGGTTCTCGAGGAAGGGCCGCCACAGATAGGTTCTGAGCCAAGACCAGTTCCAGCAGAGGGTTGTTTGACCAGGCATTCAGTCACTTGTTCAATGACATTGGTTGCACTGCATCCCGAGATGAGCAAATTCTACGAATGGTTCTTATGGATCCAGAAAGAGTTTCTGAGCTCTTGAAGCAGTGAGCTATGGTTGGTTGGGTCTTTTAAGCGGGGATGGCTGCAGGAGCTTCCTTCATGAGGGGGAGTTCCATCAAGATTTCTTTGTTGCATTTTGCCTGGATGTTGGGACTTTAACTTTTTGCCAACTAGAGGGTTTTCCATCAAACCACTAAAAGTTAAACCTTTAGCAGGGGAGCAGAAAGCAAACAAGATTTGTCACGAAGGTGTGGAACGCCATCATTCACCAAATCTATGCGCGGGAATGGGGCTCAGGCAAGCCAGCACACAATCCACTCGAGAAGGACGTACTTGTGTAATGTTCAGACGCGTCTGCTCTGCTGCTCTGCTGCTCCTACTGCTTCTCACACTTAGTGAGCCTCATGCAGATTCGAATTACTGGAGTCAATGGTTCTAAAACGATTTCTTTTGGAGAGGAGCGCATCCCTGTGAAGAAACTGGGCTTGGTGAAGGTACCTACCATGCCAAAACAGGCGGCTTTTGTATGTGGAAAGGCTCAGTGGCTGTTGACCTTGCCCAAACCTTCCAAAGACCTGCTTAGACTGGATTGTTGGTGGAAAAACCAACTGCCTTACCCCTTTGGGTGTCCTTTTCTTGGGTGATTATCTACGGGGTTGCGGACTGGCCGTGTCGGCTTTTTTTCTTTGGGCGCCCCTAACTGGCTGGATGCGAAGAAGGAGAGCAAAAGCACACCTTTTGAACTCCATCCGCTTGGGGTCCGGGGTCCTCATCTCGAGAGCCCATCGACTTGAAGGAAGGAAGCCACCGGCCAGGAGTGGAGCCATGGAGGGCCTCATCTGCCAGAACCGCACGCGGCGCCTTGGGTTCCCGGGGCCCGCGGAGATTTCCGCGGGGCCGATTTGTCGCGGCCCGCCGCGGGGCGAGGGAAGGGCGGCAGGAACTGAAGAAGCTGCAAAGCTGATGGTCTCCATGCCGTTTTATGCGCTCCTTCTTTCTTTCTTTCTTTCTTTCTTTCTTTCTTTCTTTCTTTCTTTGTTTTCTTTCTTTCTTCCTTTCTTTTCTTTCTTTCTTTCTTCCTTCCTTCCTTTCTTTCGTTGGGAATCACTCTTCAAGAACCGTGCTCTAGGTCAATCCTCTGCGTGCTCTAGGCGCTCCTTCGGTTTTTTTTGGGTTGGTCAATCCGGGAGGACCCACAGAATCGCTCAGATTCCCTCGGCTTTGAAGTTCTTTGCGGGGCTGCAAAATGTCAAGGGGCGATCACCATTCCCGCGATAGGTTCTTGGTGGTTCCCAGCTCTCCCCTTGGGTTTTGAGGCCTTGTTCGGGTTTTTGGATTTAGTGGTAGTTTCCACAAAACCACTAAAAGCTAAACTTTTAGCAGGGGATGCGGGAACAGCCCAGTGTTGCCAGTTGTTACTAACAGTATTTGATACCATCCGGAAAAATTGGACGACTGGGTTCTTGGACAATGGAACCCCTCCAACGTCTTAGATTCCTTTTATTCAAAGCTCAGAGACACCTCTTGCCATAGGTGGCCCCTTTCTGGTTTGAGTTCGGTTGAACAAGGATTTGGGTGTTTCTCAAAAAGGAAGGTTTTTAAGGGGAAACCACAAGGACACCAATCACCTGAAGGGTCCTCACATTTGACAAACGTCCATTTGAGGGAAACCAGGGGGACCCATCCAATGGCTGGTTTTCGTTTGGTTTCTTTGGTCCGTCAGTCTGAAAAGACATTTGGGTATGGGTCAAAATTCAATCACCAGGGGACCGCAGGTTTTAGTCCATGTTTCTATTTACCAGAATTCCATTTAGGGTACCAATTTTTGACCCAGAGCCCTATGTCCACGAGCCTCTGTTATCCCATGTTCATTCGTGGGTTGAACATCCAAGTATTCTACAGGGCCGACGTGGGGGAGTCTCAACTTCTTTGAGGTGTCACCAAACTCAAAGGAGTTTACACGCACCTTTCAAAAATCTTTCTCCAGAAATCTGCGCCTCACCCGACGATCGGGCCTTCGGAGCACCTGAGATCAGGACCTCACGGAAGTTCCCCCCCCATGACCTCTGAGTCAGTTCCACGTTAATGGACAGGAGGCTAAACAAAGGAACCGCACCCGCCATAGGTAACCTTTTGGACGAAAAATCGTTGGCCCCAGTACATCCGGCATGAACCAAATCATCTAAACCGGCGGAACTTTTCCATTTCCAAAGGACACCTATGCACACCAGGTTTTTTTCCGGATTGAACGCAGCATCCCAGGCTCTGCCACAGGGCCACGGGCGCTGAATGGATGCGGATCCAGAACGTGGGGGACGGCGCCGACTGGACCGAGTGGCGGCCCTACGAGAGCGTCACCTCTTGGGTGCCGGCCTCAGAGCCCAGGTGAGTCACTTGCTCAAAGCCCGGTATTGAAATGGTCCAAGCCCAGAACCATGCTTCAAGCATTAAGCATGGTTGTTGTTGAGAAACATTTTACATTTTTGCTTTTTGTGGTTTAGTGGGAACTCCCCACTTAACTGCTAAAATTTAAATCTTTGCTCCCCTTCCAACGTCAACTAAGTAAGAAGGCGGATATCCGCAGCTATTTATGGCTACGATTGTCCCTTACTTGTCTTCATCTACCCGGGTTTTGATTGTGGCTCAGGAGCCGAGGGTTGACGATGCATCCTACGGATGGGGGGCGCGTCTTTTGTTTTGGAATCGGACCCCCAAAATGGCGGTGTTGCTTTGCCTTCCCCCCAAAAAGGGGTAGACCAAGATTGCACGGGGTGGACAAGAGACACCAGCTGATAGGAAGTTTTAGGGTTTCATCCATAGCTGGTTTAGTTCTTGTATGTTTTCCCACCCATAGTGCATTGCCTGAATTCGTGAAATAATTCCGTGGATCAAGCTTTGCAAGGTTGCGCCTTTCTATCCAAGCAAAGGTGTATGTAGTCCAGCTCCTTTTCAGGTTCTGAAAGTGCTCCAATCGATTCCTGGCAGAAGCAACAAGTCTTACGTGCAATGCCGAGCCCGAGTTTCCCAGGGTAACTCGATTTCCGCTTCTCATTGTGAAGATCACCTTTTAAAAAGGCCTCCATTTCAAGCGGGCTTCCTTTTTGCTGAGCTTGTGCTGGGGTCATTATGTCCCTTTCGTTTCTGGAAGTCAGACACCGCGGTAGTTTCTCTTTACCCTACCATTTGGGGGTGACTTTGATACTGATAGAAGCATGGGGCCAGTTGTGTAAGGGGAAGGTTTTTGTGGGATGGGATTCTGAGACTCTGAGCTAGTGGCCCCTAAGATTCCTGAGAGATGGGTTGAGTCATTTAGGGAACCTATGGCCATGCGTGAGTGTATGGTCCCTGGAGAAGCTCGAGAGAAGTTCCAGGCCTTTGCATCAAAGAGTAGGGGGCAAGAGTTGGTTGAAGCAGTGGCCCAATTTGCGAAGCCTCACGATCCCTCCCACTAACATACTAACCTGGCAACTGACACAGGGTAACCCGAGTCCGGGTCCCACAGGTGCCAACTCGTCGTTGGGAGTGCCGTCCAATGGCCTCGGGCAAACTCCCCCCTTGGATGAGCAACAGGAAACCGAAAGAAACGCGCTCGATGTCAGCCAGAAGGACATGGCGCAGTTTGTTGGCATCTGGTTTCCGGACACTGAAAGCAAGAGTCCTGATCTACCCTCTTTTGGGGTGGTTTCAAACATCACCTTCGAAAAAGGCCGATTAAAAGTGAGTTCCCTGGTGGAAAGTGTGATGTGTCGAGGTTGGAATATCGGACAGGACCCCTCTGTTCGGGACCTGACCAACCCAAAAGCGAATTTGCGGACACCGGCTTTCTGGATTAACATTCGGCAACAAAGTCGTTGGGCCGTTCATTTTCTTCCGGCAGTTCAAAACCGGGGAAGCACGCAGCCCCCAAAGTAAACTATATTGAGTGAAATCAAAAGAAATGGATATCCATTTCTACGAAAGATGAGTCACAGGTGCACTAAAATTTTCGTCTGATCTTTCGCTCGAATCTTTCTTTTGGTTTCCTTCTTAAATCCTTCCAACTCTTTGGGGGATTTAGGTTGTGCCCAGAGTTGGGCATGGGTATGGGTTAACCTGAAGTTGGGATGATGGAAACAAGGAAAACCACCCTCAAAATAAGTGCGGGGCCATTGGGAAGGCTTAGTGGAACATTGTCTATAAAGGGGCTCCGAATGAGTGGTTTCCTTTGGTGTCAGCAGAAACCAAGCCCAAAGCTGTGGTGGCCTCCGGGTTAGAGGCGTTGGCACCTCTTGATGCTTCTTTCCCGTTAAAGCCATCCGAAAAGGGGTAATGTGAACCCCGGATTCAGCAGAACCCCTGGTTGATTTTGATCGGGGTGTGTCCCCTTTTTAGTGGTTGGATTCAGACCACTTTTGGAGGGAACACCCCCGTAATAGTGGGACGGGTTTATTAATCCTGGGTCAACATTACCCTCAAAAAACGACACACCCCTGTCAAGTTTGGTGTCCCGAATAGAAACCAACCCTCAGGCCAGCCAGCCTGGTGTGCCGGTGCTGGTGCAGTACCACGCGGCCCAGAGCGCCAGCTTCATGGTGGGGGACTGCGTCGGAGGCATCTGAGGGCAGCCCAGGTCGGTGATGCATCCCCCCCCCCCCTTAACTTGCAATCGGTTTGACAGGCAGGGAATGAGAAATGACCCCGAGAAAACACATTCCCCATTGTTTCCTTTGAGGCAACTCCCAAGTTCATTCCCAAAACCCGGAAGGTCGTCCCTACTGAGCACCAACAAGTTGAGAAATGCAAGGGGAGGGCGGAAAATGGAGATCTCCATTTATGGCAACCATTGAAGACTGAACAAATGGAATTGGGGACCGGGTCCCCACCCCCCCCGACCCCTTAAGGTTTGGGGGTATGTTGATACAAAAGACATCCTCCGTGGGCGTATGTTTTTTGAGGGTACCCCTTTTGACGGAAACCAAGAGGAAAGCAGCCGTGGGATTTGGGTCACACACTCTGGTTTCAGTTTGGGCAAGGGATGAGTTCGGACAGCAGACCCACCCCTCCTTCAGTGGCCTGATTCAATTTGTTTGGTTCGTTTAGCCAGTCCCTTCCCACCGGCAGGCAGTTTGGAACAGGTGTTGAGGGGAGCGAGCACCTCGATACCATTAACATGAGACCTGGCAAACTCAGCTCACTTTTGGGGGTCAAAGAGCAACTTCATTGTTCCTGGCATATAAGTAAAATATTTGGTTTTGGGTTTTGCCCATTTGCAGTCCTGTCTCTTCTTTATTGCCAGGGGTGCAGCCCCAGATAGCGACTCATCCTTTTTACATGCGGTGGATTTGTGCTCGCGCGTTTTTGGCACCGCCAGACGGCTTGAAGCCGTGCTATGCCAGCTGGCACGGGCACATGCCCCCCGGCAAAGGGGCGGCCGGAGCCGACGGGTGGAAACCTACTCAAGCAGACAAGCAGACAAGCAAGCTGTCCGTATTTTTGAGATTTGAGGGAGCCGAAACCGAGATTGTACAAGCCAAGTGGTCGGAGAAGGGTGATCTTGGGGTTGCCACTTTCTGTTTTTGTCGCGGGAATCTTTTTAGTGATCAAGCGCTGAGGAATTTGGACCACCAACTGATATCACAGAACAGGGTGAACACTTCCCGCCACGATCTAAGCTGCTTTCTGTTCGCACAACCCAATGTGCAGAGGCGAATTGCTGCATTTCCCCTTGCAGGACTGCCAAATTAGGGCGAGGAGAACCCAGGATCTTCCAACTCTCCGATGTCTGAAAGGGGCGATTTTTGTTGCAGCTAACTTCCCGTCAAGGCCACCCTGAGTTGATTCAACATTTTGCCTCCACAGTGGGGTCTTTGCCTACAAGGGAGGAAGTAAAATCACCGAGGCTTGGCCTTGTCTGGCCTTCTTTGACCCCTATTTTGGGGCCTCGGTTTTGGGGCTCATTCTCTGGCCCGTACTTGGGGGTTTTCCACCCGTTTTTGGGGCTCAGGAGCTCGGATTCGACTCGGGATTGCTTAGGTTCCTGAGAGGCGAGTGGAACGAGTGGGGCCAAGGGGCAGATGCTTCCCGGCGGCACGGCGAAGATTTTTCGGGGGCCAGCGGACTTCTGGTGGCGAATTGCCAGCGAGGGGCTTGTGCAAAAGCGGAAAGCTCGCTCCGGGCGCAGGAAGCTCATTCCCGGAATTGTCGGGAATTTCCCAGACCGTCCCAGTTTGGGACTCCTAGTGTCTCCAGATGTGCGGCCATCCTGTTGGGTGTGGCTCAAAGTTTAAGGGCTAGGGTTACGCAGGTGTTGGTCTTTGTTTCCGTGCAAGGGGCCGGAACAAAATGGGCTCCACTTTTTTCACCCACAGCCTGACTTGCCCCTTTTCTCCCCGAACCTTTTCTTCGGACCGGGAGGCCAAGTCCATAGACCCCCAAATGGCCAACGACCCCTTGAGCCCGCGAGAGGGAACCCGCGAGCCCCCCGCGAGCTCTCCACAGGGGTCCTTTTTGGTTTTAGGTTGCTTAAAAAGTCGCGGGCGATTCCTGGGTTCGATGGGTCTATTTGTATGGGGTTTGTTCCTTAGACTTGGCCGTGGTTTAGATGGGGTTTATTCCATTTAGATGGGGTTTAGATGGGGTTCATGCCCAATTTCCCAGGGGAAACCCATCGATTTTCCCCAAACAGGCCACCTACGCACTCCCCTTGCCTCGCCTTCTCCTCGCCTCGCCTCGCCTTCTTCTCGTTTTGTCGAGGGCTCCATGGAGAAGATCGACCACTTCACCTGGGCCTCCAACGTGTCCTTCACGAAGTTCACAAAATCCAAGTTGGCCCCCTACCCAGGCGCGGAACGAGCGAACCCCCGAGCATTGAGCATGGATGGGGGGTGTTTGTGTTTGCCTTCTTTTATTTGGTTCCAGATCCATCTGAACCATAGATTGCCCCCCCTTGTAAATGGATGGGGCTGGATGGGGGGGCCATGGACTTTTCCCCTTGTAAAAGGTGGTTGAAACAGAAAACACAACCAATTTGGAGAGGCCAAGGTATTTGGCGAGTTTCTTGGGTGACGTTTGAGGGGGGAAATCCAGGCACGGCTTGCTTTGGGGGTACCCCGTTGGGTTGAGGTGAGTCATATTCAAAGCTTCCCAAAGAAACACCGTTCGGAGAGGACCCCAAAGGCTCTGAGGAACCAAAGGGAACTTGGGAGGTTTCCATCTTTCGGAGACAAACCCAAAAGGCTGAGTTGATGCAGATGACTGGGGCAGACTCACTTGCCCAAAAACGGAAGCGACCTTTCAAGCTTTTGGTTTCCCCATATTTAGTCCAGGTTCCAAAAGGTCATGATGACCAGGTCCCCCAATAGTGCCCTTTTACCCTTATCTGGGGGGAGGGTTCCCCTACTCAAATCGACTAGAGAAAAACTTGGGTACCCTTATTCTAACCTCTCTGGAGGACCTAGATGACCCTTATGGTTCCTTACTTCCCAAATTCCTGAACAGTCGGCTTACCTTCACCTACCTTCAAGGCTCCAAAGCTACGGTTCCTTCGGGCTGAGTGGATCCTCAAGAGGTTAGCCCTCAAAATCAATGGGAGCAGCCCCAAACACATTGAGAGGGCGTGCCCTCACTACCAGACGTTTTCGAACCCATATCAGCATTTCCCCCTTACAGGAAAATAAGAAAACCCCGCGTGGGGAGGAGCCAGCGCCCCACGCATCTTCAACCAGTTGGTGGTTGAGAGTTTGATTCAAAATGGCAAACCCAACCGAAACAACTTGTTTTTGCCGGGGTTTCTCTTTAAAACACACCTGCTGCGAAAGGCGACCTCTATGGATGTTTGTTGGGGAACACCCTCTGGACATTGAAAAGGAGGTATCAAAACCATGCAAATATGCCCACAGATTTTAGGCATCGGGTTTCAACAACCATTACTTGCTGGTTCTCAGCAGGGAATGAGGGAATGACCCCTAGAAAAACCATCCATTCCATGTTTTTCTGGTTTTGGGACTCCCCAAAACGGGTTCATTTCCAACACCCGGACTCGTTGTCATTCCCTACCCACTGAGCACCGACCAAACGGACACCGTGCAGGCAGCTGGGAGAAGTCCTATGGCGGCTCGGGCTGCAACAAGTCGGATGGGAAAGCGACATACGTGTCCACTTGTGTCCATTGGGGCTTGGGGGGGAGGGAGGGGGGGGAGGGAGCGGCGGGGAGGGGGAGGGAGGGGGAGAGAGCTTGACATAGATATGGATGGTGGCGAAATCCAACTCGCTTCTCGCACCACCAAACTCAGAAACCCAATGGATTCTGATTCGATTCCCCAACGTAAATTCATTCCGATTGTAACTCATTTTGGGGTGCGGTCTCGGATTTCGCTTTTCCGTCCACAGTATGTACGTGTTAATATTTGAGTGCACTTGTTTTGCTTCTTGAAGAGAGGTCAAAGAAGTTGTTTTTCCCGGGAAACCAACCATTTATATCACATCAGTTGGTGGTTTGGATTGCAGGGCACTGGATTTGGATTTGAAGCCTTGGTGTGAGGGAAAACGGGAAGCCTCCTAAACCGATTCGATTGGCTCCAAACCAATAGGGTTCCTTGCCAACAGGGGCACGAAGCTGACGGCTGGGGCGTGTCCTGGTTTGGACCATTCTCCTAGGGACCCCCGGTCAGGTTCCATGTGAAAAGGGTGGGAGGGTATACTAGATAGGAAATCCACATCTAGATATAGATGTGCCTCAAAATGATAGAACCGGCCCAGAATGCATGGAACCGGTCCAGAATAGGGTGGTTTCATCTTGCTTTCCCTTTTATTTCAACCCCGAAAAGAGCACCGACTGCAAAAACAAGGTGCTACGGATATGTTTCATGTGGGGGTCGATTTCTTCAGCTGTTTGGTTCGCGCTTCCTTTCCCAGCAAAGCGTCCCAACTTGGGGGTTGCTATTCCGTGGCCACCCAGATGGCGATGAACTGTTTTTTGGGAAACCCCCGGAACCTGGTTGGTGGATATAGATCCAACCAGGTCCCCACCATGATGTCCACCAAAGCGTCCCAAATCAAACTCATACCCAGATGAAGTTGGTTTCAACATGACGGCTTCCGGCTTCTGGTCGATGCGAACTCGACACAGAGAAGCTGCCGGAGTTTCCCGCGCGCCACACGCCATTGTGCATTTGTTCCCGCGCCGGAATTATGGCACCTGCCAGTTTTTTGTTTTTTTTTTAGTTTCGAGGAGCCTGATCCGAAGCAGAGACATAAAAATCTTCCATTTGCTCCAGAATATGTTTTATTTTCCCACTGGTACCCTCCCGCAGGTGCCGTGTTAGTAGGAGGAAGGGTAGTTTCCATTTGCTGAAATGAATATATATATATATATATAATTTTCCCCTCTTGGTTTTAAAGGGAATCGATTTCACTACTGGACTTTTTTTTTCCAGGGGTCTTAACCTTATGGAAGTTATTCATGTTCCACGTCTTTTTTAAGTGGAAGTCTAGAGGCTGACGCCGGAATTTTCTTTTTTCCCCGAAGCCTCGAAGTTTCCAGCCTCGACACCTCTGAAGTCTTACGAGAAACTCGGACTCAGTTCATCGGGTCAGCTCATATACCCTGAAACTAGGTTCAGGAAGGAATCTGCATTCAGCTTGACTTAGAGCATCAGCACCTAAGAACGCTTGGTTCATGATTTTGATTCCCCAACGTGAATACCAACAAACGTTGTGATTTCAACCATGGTTACAATCCGGGGTGCAACATGGAGTTTGTCCACCCACAGTAAGGATATAACTTTCTCACTTCCACGGATGGGTGTTTTTTTTTTTGGCCCTCCCCCAAATCAATCTGAACCCGAACAAAAGTCTCCTTGTCAAATATGGTTGAAACCACAGCACAACTTTTAGAGAGGCCAATATATTTGGCGAGTTTGTTGGGTGATGCTTGAGAGGAAAATCCAGGTGTGGCTTGTTTTGAGGGTATCCGGTGGGTTGTTTTAAGGGAAAGCCAAAGGAAAACCAAATTGGAAAGTTGATACACCTTAGCCTCCCTCCAATCATGGAAGCTGACGATCGGAGGGTTTGGGAAGACGAAAGCTTTCCTTTTGGGGAAGCACTTGGAGGGAGGGTACATTTGATGATTCAAGAAGCCCCAGGCTTTCAGAAAAGCCAAAGGGACACCAATTGAGGTGAGGTCAGCAAATGGGTTGCCACAACCCCTCAATTTTGGGTAATTGCACCATGTTTGGAGGGTCAGGGTTTATTGGCCAGTCATGGTTTGGTTTATTGGATCAGATGCCCCCAAGCAGTTTGGGGTTGCTTTTATTGACCCCAAGCAGTTGGGTTTTGGGCCATATTCTGATCCAGTTAGCTTGTATTGAGGGAACCCTGGCTGTTTTTTGGGGAAAGGGACACCAACCCATTGAGGCGAAGTTTTTTCCACCCAGTTGGGTTTTGGGAATGAAATCCAAGGCCTGCACCCGGAGCGGGAGCTTCTGTACAACCTCCCCAGCTTCGACCCGCGCTCCCAGACCTTCGCAGTGGAGCCGTACCTGCGAACTGGCCGAAAAGCAAGCCGATCGAGCTGAACCCAGCCGGGAACACGAGTATACACACATACATACGTACGTACGTACGTACCTACATACATATATATATATATATACATACACATACACAGACACAGACACATACACATACACATACACACGTACCTATATATATATATATTCCTAGCGCTCTGTAGCTTTCCTTTGGTAGGGCAAGGTGTCTACAAAGCTGTAAAGGCTCTAGGCCTTGATGTAGACAAAAAAGGCCCCCTCCCAACCCCCCACCCCGGAGCCCGAACCCTGCGCCCCCAATCCTGAAGCGTGAGCTGGAGGCAACACACGCCCCAGTAAAATGCTGACTCAATGGGGACTAGTGGCCTTAGTTGACAAAATCCACACGCCTGTCACGAGGTTGGCGAACGTTTGGAACATGTTGAAATCAATGATGTGTCACTCTTGTGATTGGGGTGAAGTAAGCGGTGTAAGCCATTTACCAGATCGCTTGCTTTCGAGGTTTGTACGACTGCCGGTGTGCCACGAGGGCTTGTGTGTAGCAATCCTTGCATCTATTCTCAGCTGCAATCCGTTTCTTGTGCAGCTATAGCCGCTCTGCAATACAGTTCTCAGTGCAACCAGGTTGCCCAGCAACCAAAGTTGTATCTTACCCAATCATTTGTAGCCCATGTTGAAGGATGTACTGATGCAGCCTTTGCCTGAGAGGCGCTGTAACTTCTAGACTGTAGCTTTTATGTAGACGATCTTCTGCAATGTTCAGAATCCTGTTGATTGGCAAGATGATGTGCTGTACCACGTGCCCAGGAGGAAGGTGACGTGAGCTGACACTTTGTACACCTGTCCCGGACATTTCTCAGATTCTGCAAGCTCTGCTTGTCGATGACTTGTCCAACTGCAAACTCTGTTCACTGTATCCACCTTTAAAGGCTGTAATGTGCTTTTCGTACATTTGTTGGAACAGTTCAGATGTCTGCAAGTAAGCCGTGCCTTGTAGCATCATGTTTGCCTTGTAGCAACCAAGCGATATGGCCAATGGCATCGAAGATGGAGAACATTTGTGGCAATGAACTCCAATGTCGGGCTTCGAATGTGGCCAGGCAACTTGTTTGGGACTCCAGGTGTAGAGGTTGCCTCTGGAGTCATGTAGGTGTGCCGCTCCATTGTCAGACCATGACCTCAGATTAATCCTGAATCCTTGCAGGCGGTTCCTTCGTGTGGGCCGGCAACTCTTGCATGCTGTATGCATATGGCACAACCGTAGGATCATGGATCGTCTTGTAGGCTCGCGAAGCCATTGCGTCGCAAATCTGGTGCAAACCGTACAGGGGCACAAGATGCAGAAAACGGCTGCAGAACGTACCAAAACAGTGGCATTTGTCACGCAGAAACCCCGTAGTGGTTGTAGAGCCCAAAAAGAAGATGTAGACCATTCCATGGGCACGAGTTGTACCTGAGAGTTCCTCTCAAAGCCCGAAAATTATATGGTGCACGCTTTAGTTGTATAAAGCAAACGTGACCTGTGTCACTTATGTTTAACATACTGTGCAACACACTGTGACCTGTGTATTTGTATTGGCCTCACGGGCCAACCGTGTGCAGGTGCGTCATGATGATTTTGCCTTTGACAAGTTGTTGCATGAAGAGGTGTTTTAGCTCAAAGTGTGTTGCTTTTTTTGACGTACCCTCTCTCATCGAGATGGATTTAGCTGCGCTGCTGTCTGTGTGCATCCTGATGCTGGTGCGTATTTCGATACTGATGTAGAGACTTTCTTGCGCTGCTGCACCGATTGCATACAGTTCAGCGCCTGCTTGTGTCCTGCTGCCATAGTGTATCATCGTTCCAACGAACTGTGTCACGAAGCCTGCGGTGCTCTTTCTTGTCGTTTCGCATGATGCCCAGTGGGCATCTCTGTAGGTGTTGATGTGGAGTGGAATGCGCTTGTCCTGAACCTTTATCTTTGGTCTCAAGTCGTGTCTTATGCGTCTTGTGGTACTGAGGTACCTGATCTGCTTGAGCTTCTTGTTGTCAAAGTGTGTTGCCGCCTCCTTGCCTCCATAGCCAACCTGGTCAAATGAGTCCTGTGCGCTCTAGCCATTGTAGCTTGCCAAGCCGCATGTGTTTGTGTTGTTCGTGGTCAAGTTGTGCTTCATCTGCTGTACCTTTGGAGTGTGATACTCCAGGTGTTGGTGCTGGGTCGCAGGTTGTCAAGGTCAGACTGGCATGATGACGCCGACTGCAGCACTCGCAACAAATGGCGCTGCGGACACATGATACGCAGGTGACAGCGTAATAAGCGGTACGGGGCTGAATCAAGAGGTCTCTTTTACTGGACACCGCGCTGCGCATAGAGCGCGACGCCACACGATGAACAGCAGAGCCAACACCACTGCCACCTTCGCGAACACTTCAGAACCGGCCAGCACTACCGGCTCCACCGCCCACATCATCAACAAGAAAAAAGAGAGATTGCGCCATAGCAGCAGGAAGCACAGGCAAGCAACAGCGGGCAAACAACGGAGCGACCCCTCAGCAATAGAACAACCAAAAGGCAAAATGAGAATCAATGCCATCAAGTTTACAACAAGAGATGGCACCAAAATGGGTTTTTAAACCTAAACAACAACACAAGGCACGAGCAAGGTTGTCGCAACGGGTTGCACAGGACCCGTTGCAGACCACGACCTACTCTTCGCAAGCACACTGCTGTTTTGCATTCTCAGAGTGCTACGTACAATAGCGCTGGTGTACAACTGGTCGTGCATTCTTACTTTCCACAGCAACGCATCATGTGGCGGCTGAAGAAAGCCACACAAGTCTTAAGGTTATCACCTAAACAACGGCAAGATTACACGGCGCACATTCTCACAGTCACACTGCATCTTGATGTACAGCGCAAAGCAACTGCTAAGTCTGCATCGTGATTTATGTAGACGGCCTCCTATTACACGAGTACAAAGCATCATCAACAGGTTGTTCAGCATGATGCAGAAGAGAAAGAGTTGGCTGTGTAGCATCACAAACGTAGAATGGCATGACAACCTGTTGTCATTGTCCATTGTGATTGGTCATGCGCAGCCATCTGCGCCTGCAAATCTTGATGTGTTGGTTGGTCTCCGTTCTCAGCTACGGTCCCGTTCCTTGCTCCAGTTGTTGCAGTGAAAGTTATGTAGCAAACCATGGGCGGACAAACATGTGTAGCCGCACTGCTGTCAATCATAAGACTGATTCATTTGTTGCTTTTGTTGTCGTGCAACTTTTTGTCGTCCTGAGATGGGTGCTGCAGATGGACCTGCTTGTGGAATCTGCGGTACCTGTGTTTTCTCCTGATGATACCAGTTGTTGTCATAGTGGGCATGGTTGTGCCAGTCGTTTGTTGGATCATTGGTGTCGAAGTGCCAGCGTCGCAGTTGCAAATCGCCGATCTGCGTGTCCAGGTTGTCCGCACCTGCCGCAAATGTTTGTTGCATGGTTTCCTTTTGCTCCTTTGCCTGCTTGGTTGTTGCAGTTCCCTTTTGCTTTGGCTTGTCCTTTGTTGTTGTATCTTTTCTTTTTGTCATATCCTTGTCCCTTGAGTTGCCTTGTCCAACCGCTTGATCGTACTGATTTCCTTTTCCTCCTTTGTGGTTGTTGTGGTGGTTGTAGTTCCCGAAGCCACCGTAGCCTTGGCCTTTGCGGTATTTTCTTTGTCTTTGTGTTTGCCTTTCTTGCCTGTGATACTCAATCGGGATATGATTTGTGCATTTGTTTTGATGTTTCCTGCTTGCAGTTGTAGATGTTGTTGTAGCGCTCTTTTGGTCTCGTTGAGCAGTATTACGATTTTGACAGCATCTGGTAGCAAGATGTTGTTGTGTTGTTCGTCTGCCATGTGTTAAAGCTCTCTTCGAACTTGTGTTTGTACCAAGTGGGATTGAGTATCTGAGGTGTAGTAGTCGCCATGTTTCAAATCCGTTGCCTTGCGTGTTTTTCTGCAAATTGTTGATGCTGGTCCATCGAGTGTGTTTTTCCAAGATGTCGTGTAGGTTGTTGCGCGGTTGTACCCATTGCTCTGCTGCTGCTTGTGTAGGTGCTGCGGTTTCCGGTTGATCATTTGTGTGACTGTCTCAGCAGTCTGTTGTGTGATGAATCTTGTAGTCCAAGGTATGAAGTCATCTCGTACTTCCTGAGCTCTCCTGTGAATCTTGGTGGTGCTATCTTGTACTTGTGTACTCCTTCCAACGGTTGCTGCTGCTTTTGAGCCGCCATTCCTGTTGGGTTGCATGGGAAGGCTGCTTGACCTTTCCCGCAGCCCCGCTACCATATTAAAATGGGGGGGCAAAAGGGGGGGCACCTGTTATACCTGTACTACACACAACATACGCAATAATATACACATGTTTTTCGAGGGTACAGTTTTCGGGCTGCAATTTAAAGGGTAGCCAAAAGCAACACCGCCTTCTTTTTGCGCGGGCATTTTTTTGCACATACCCACATGGGTTTAGCCTAAATGAAGGGACCTCAGAATGGGCTTCCATTTCCCTCAAGGAGTTTCCCTTGATTCCCCCAAAAAACCTCACGAAGCCTCGAAAAGGAGCAAATCCACCTTCCTGGCTCTTAAAAAGTCCCTGCCGGCCCTTCACGCGGAACAAGCCATGGATCCCTCCATAGACCCTGGTGAAAAGACCCGTTTACTTGGGGATGGCAGTCACCGACTCCTGAATGGGAACTTTCGACAACGGCAAGAATTTTCTTTTCAGGGACTGACACCCGGCAGAGTTTTGTCCCTGGCACCAAGAGGTCGTTTTTGGAGGGTGCCCGTTTTGGGGTTGATTTAGAAAATCCGCCCCGTGTTGATGTTGCCCTCCAGTTTCTTCTCTTAGGGGCTGAATTATGATCAACATTGTCCTCCCATGATCAACAAGTAATTTGGTGGACTACTCCTGAACTCCGTTCTAAGGGCAATTCCCCTGCGCTGGGAAACCAATCTACTTTCACAAAAGGAACATGCAAATCGTGGGATCATCCAATCCTTTCTGTTCATTCCTTGGTGATTCCCAAGAATTCCTTTCACCTCGCCCCAGAAAAAAACAACAAAACAATGAAACAAATAATCATGTTTTTTCTTTTTTAATAACAACACACACACAACACACAAACAAAAAAACCAAAAGCAAACAACACAACACGCAAACAAAAAAGCAAATACGTGGAGCATCCGATCGAATGCCGCAGGTCGGGCACGGAGGCTTCGGCCGCCTGGATGCGCCGCAAGGACGTCTTTGGGGACGAAGAAACCCGCTGAGTTTGGCCCATCGGCGGCTCGAAGAACCAAAACGCATAGCAGGGCTCCGAAAAAAAAAAAAAAAAAGGCGAGGGCCATGGAGCATTGGAGACCCCAAAGTTCGGATGATCTTGGCAAGCACAGGGCTCCCTCTAAAAGAGAGATCGCCATTTTGCTGGCTGGCCTTCTCAACACCAAAATGAAGAGAAATGGAAACCAGCATTTACAAGTTGCAATGTTCAGGGGTATATTGTAAGGATCCCTGCATAGGGCCTGCGAAACTCGCACGGGGGGGGGGGGTGATCTCGGGATCTCCAAAGAAGGGTTCGTGAATTTGACCAAGCGAGCACTCACTTTCCGCATGGTCCCCTATTGAACACATCCCGTTGAACAAGCAGCATGTCTGGTTGATTTCCGGGATCAGGATTCCCCTCAGGAATCCCCTCAGGAATCCCTTCAGGATTCTCCTCAGGAATCCCCTCAGGAATCCTCTCAATAATCTCAGGATCTCAAAAAATCCTCATTCTGGGAATCTCAGGAATCCTCATTCTGGGATCTCTCCAGGGGATGCCTTCCCATTTCCAGGGGTCCTTTCTTTTCAGGACAGCAGCTGGTTTTCGAAAGGAACGATGGTTGAGAAGAATTTCCGGAGTCCAACCCTGGTTCTTGTGGCTGGATGGGTGTCACCCCCGGAACACCACCCAACCACCGGTTTGACTCCACCAATCAGGGGGACGCTTACAATCTGGTTTCCCTTACTGTAGAGGGGAAAGGAGTTTGTCCAAACAAGTGCAAGAAGACACTGGCCGTGGAATCGGTAGGGAGTTTCTGTGAAACGTCCAAGGAGTCCCCTGTAGCAAGAGCAAGTAGCAAGTAATTGCACAATCTCCCTTACGGTAGATGGGGAATCCACAGGAGTTTGTCCAAAGTGCAGAAAAGACAATGGCCGTGGAAACAGGTTTGTCGGTAGGGAGTTTGTGTGAAACGTCCAAGGGAGTCCCCTGTAGTGATTGTAGGGTGGGAACCCCAACCTCTGAACCTACTCATGGAAAGGGTCTGTTTTTTTTGTTCTAGGGCCACCTGAAACAGTAGGATTTCGTTTGGTTTCTCTTCTATGCAAAAGGCCCCGCTTCCCTCAAGACCAAAAGAACCATCCGACACACCCACATGTGCAATTGTCACTTTGGGAATTGAAGTAATTTGCCCAGAGCCATTGCAATTTTGTTCCTTCCACAATATCCTTGGCATTTCGGGGATTTTCTTTGGGGCGAAATTACGTTTGTGTGTGTGTGTGTGTGTGTGTGTGTGTGTGTGTGTGTGTGTGTGTGTGTGTGTGTGTGTGTGTGTGTCTGCGTGTGTGTCTGCGTGTGTGTTCCATGATGTGAGCCATGGTCTCACAGTAATCGCCATGGTTTTTGTTGAATGTGCAAAATATTGTGGTTTATCCCAGTATTCAGGGTTTCCTCCATCCCAACTGGTGCTGTTTGTGAATTTTGTCCATCCACGGTAGGAGCATTAGAGAGAGAGAGGGAGAGAGTTGGAGAGGAGAGAGAGGCCGTGGAAAATTCGCGAGAGCCCGGGCTGTTGCTGAGCTGCTGGGCCGTTGGGCTGTTAAGCTGGCTGTTGGGTAGTGGGCTGTGGGCCTGTGAACAGCCCCCTTTTTCCGGGACTTTTCCGAGCAGCGCGTGTTCCACGTCCCTCCCAAATGGACTTCCGCCCGCGTCGGCGTCGCCTCTCGCGGGCGGTTTTCGCGGCCGCGCGCGCCGCGAGGAGCGCTGGACGGCGAACCAGGGCATCGCCAGCGGCGCGGAGTTCGCGCAGGAGCTGTGGCTGAACCACCTCTGCCCCTTGGATCGGATGCGGAACATTTAGCAGCCAGCCCTTGGTTTCCTTCGAGAACCCAGAGGAGTTTTTCCAAAGATAGCTGAAAGCTATAGGGGTTCTAAGTTCCAATGAAGAGGGGAACGTGATTTGCGAAATTGAGGGCAGGGTGCTAGGGGGCATGCAGTTTGGGGTGCTGGTGCAGGTGCCCTTTTGAGGTGCTTCTGACGGCTGACGCATATTTGCAAGATTGACGGTAGGGTGCTCGGGGGCCAGTTTGGGGTGTTGGTGCAGATGGTGTTTTGCGTGCTGTTTGGGGTGCTGTTGGACGTGCTAGTGACAGTGCGGGCGCATGTTTTTTTGCGAGATTGACGGCCGGGTGATCTTTGGGGCGCTCTTCGGGGCTGGTGTTGGAGGTGCTGGTGTACAACGGTCGGCATGCTTGTCGCTATCTGGGGTCTATGCTGGAGTATTTTTTTTATAACAGTAGAGTTTCAAAGATTTGTGGGGATGACTTTTAGCCAACATTTACCCTCTGAAAAATCTATGTTTCCCCCAGTTTGGGTTGGGTCTTTAGACTTGAACCTTTTTCATTGAAATCTTTAGGGTTTTCGATTGAACCCGCTTTCAACTTTTTGCCGAGGGGTCTTGCCAGCAACCACGAAAAAAGTGTTGGGCAATGAGGTTGGACGTTTCGCTTTCCCCCTTTACGTGATGCACTCTTCGTTGGATGGACGTTTCAAGGAGTACAGAAGTGGAGAAGGTGATTGCTTGAACCTTGATTTGAAGACAATTTCCCTGACAAACAAAGAGAAGTTTTTCGCAGATGGGCAGCTGAACTAACACTAACCCAGTCATGCCTACTGACTCATTGATAATTTATACCCACACCCGGGTTAGAACTTTTCAACCATTGGCGTCTTGCTATGAAAGCAGACATCAAAGGGCACTTATGCTTTTGCATTCCAAGTGCTCTTTCATTCCCCTTTTCGGATGGCAAACAGTTCTAACCTGTTATAGCCTACTCACCTCGCGCGGGTTAAAACCATGGTTTCTTACGCGAACCGTTTTGCGAATCGCGCGTTCAGGTACTGCGGCACCGCCCAAGTGCATTCCGGAGACCAGGGTTTGCGGGTGGAGAGCCAGCGACGAACATTGAGCTTCAAGCCAATTGGTGCTTGGGAGCCGAATCGGTGGTTTGATGGTAAAGCAGGGTCTCCAATTTACCCTCTGCAAAAGCCAGGGGTTCAAATCTAAATCCAAACCACCAATCCAAAGCACCAACCAACCAAGGGCGTTCAGCTTCTTTGGCAGACCATGTTGTTTTTGGAAAGATGTGTGTCCTTTTTTTTTGCGGTGTGCGTTTTTTAGCCGGGGGAGGGGGGTGGGGATCAGCTGCATTTTGGCGAACATGTTTGGAGTTTGCCATAGACGGTGCTCCACCGGTCTCCTGAAAATCCATCCAGTGTTTTTTTTTGGGGGGGGGGTTAGAGTTGGACATGAACCCCGGTTCGGGTCCTTTTGAAAGGGAGCCGGGACAACATTCATTTTGGGAAGTGGCATTTGGGTGTGTCGAAATGTTGTTTGCTTCGGCTGACGGCTTTGAGAATGAGGGTTGATGATTGACTACTTGGACTTTGCCCTACCCTTTTGGTGGTCTTGAAGGGACACCAGCAGGAAAACCACCTGTTTTCTGGGTACCCTAAAAGGATTGTGGGAGGGAACCCTGTTCAAGGGAGCCTTCGGGTAGGGAGTGTACCTGAAGAATCAGTGACCTTGTGCCCCCAAGAACAAGCGAACGTGGGGGGTGGGGTTGCGGTGGTTGGGGGGGGGGCCTGAGAATTACTTTTGCCGGCGTGGGTGTCAGCTCGGAAAGTGTCAGCCACCCTCGGGAAATGGGTCATTTCCGAAGAGAAGGAAGAGAAGGATGGGTGGAAGCGCCAAGGGATCAAGTTTTGAGAATATTTGGCCACTATGTGAAAAAGAGTACCCACCTGCACCTTGTGGGAAGATAGTTCTGATTGCAGACAAACAGCTTAGACTATTTTTTGGCCAACCCACTCAGGAGGAGTTTGAAATTTGAGAGTGATTCACTGAATGGCCGGCCTTGAAGGACGAAGAAACCACGCAAAGCGATGTTTGCCGAACAATTCCAACGAGCACCGGCCGCTTGAAGGGACGTGTCCAAAAGCCAAACTGGTATCCTTGGTTCACCTGTCCAGTACTCAACATGATTTTGTGATTTTAAATAGCCAACCAATCGTATAGGTTTGTTGTCAAGCGACCGGAATTTGTGCTCAGCCAAGCATTGGTTTATTCGTTGGCCAAAGCTGAGCAGGCACTTTCAAACCTTGATTTGTTCCTTGGCTGGCTTCGCAGAGACATCCTCTTGAAAAGGGTTGTTGGAGAAGGGTGCTATGAGGGCCTAGGGCTAGCGGCTACAAGAACGAGTTGGAGGGGACATTGAGTCCAGATGAAGTCATGAGCGCAAGAGACTGTGCGTAGTGATCCAGCCTCTTCTCTCAAAACTTTTTTTTCGCTTGCGATCAAAGTTGTAGCACCAGACCACTGGAACCTACCCCCCTGCAGAGGACCTTGGGATTGGATCAGTCGGATTGGATCAGTCGGCCTTTCAGTGTGTCTTTCGTAGTTGGGGACCCCCCCAAATGGCAGTTTTTAAAAACAGGGTAGACTCAACACGACAGACACATTCTTGCTTCAGGTTTTATTTTTGGTTTCCCCCTAAAACCTTCAACAAAACTGGGTAGCCTCCACCCATTTTTCTGCAGGAGGCCAACGCGCAGTGGCAGTGCCACGGCTTCAAACCGGGCCAAGACCAAGAGTGGTGCAGAAGCGCCGGCGTGGTGGGCTGCATGGAGTACCAGGTCCGCGGTTGCTCGAGCACCCCTCCGAAATAACAAACCATAGGATCCTTTTTAAAGGATACAAATTTGCCCACACGGAAAAAAAACCGTTCCAGACGAAAGGTCACTTCCAAAGATATACACCTTTGGGCACACGAAAAAGCACCGTTCTTTCCAGACAAAAGGACAATTCCAAAATTCCCGTTTGGGAAAACCTCGCCCAAGGAAAACCTCCGGGAACGCATGCAGCCTGCAGGAGAACGACCAGTCCGCCGCGATGTCCTCCTGCGGGGGCTGCTCGTGCTGTGCCCGCAAGGCGCGACCCCCGAAGCTCAAAGAACTGGGGTACAGAATTCCTGGTGGTTTAACAGGGCTCCTCAAAAGAAACAAAAATGCCCATTGGGTTGCATAGAGGGTCAGAAATAGGGTAACCCCAAAATGGGTTGCCCTGGTGGAAACGTGGACTAAAACCCGCGGTCCAATTCCTGGTGGTTTAATTTGACCCACACCCATTTTGCAACCATTTGAGTTACATGGCTGGCTTTTTCAACAAAATAAAGAAAGGGACACCACCATTTGCAAGTTGCAATGTTCAGATGTTTTTCATGTAAGGATCCCTGTTTAATATTGACCCACACAACTCTGGCTGGCGGCATTTTTCTTGGTTTCTAACAAAACACATCATCATCATCATCAACTAGGTCCACCAGCAATTGGTGCAACCTTTCTCACCGTTTCTTTTTTGGTTGGGAGATTCGGTTCCCCTACTGAAATAGACGTCCTGAAAAAAGAAAGGGTACCCTTATTCTAACCTCCCTACTGGAGGACCTAGATATGGTGTCCTTTTCGGTGGGTTTGGTTACCGTACGACTAACCTGGAAGGTGCAAGAAGGCCCTTTCCAAGAGGAAAGTCGTCTTTCTACAATGGTCTGTGCACTTCCATGTTAGCTGGTGGGTTTGGCTAAAACAGTAGAGGGCGATTCCTGGCTCACTTGGTGGTTCAATCTTTTTTTTCTTCTTTTTTTTTTTTTAACGGACCACCTCTATTTGAAAATCAAAAAAACGGTTACCTATGCTGGGTTCCACCTGAAGCCGTCCCACTTGGCAAGGTCAGAACCAGTACCACCAACGAAGGTCCATTCTCTCCAGGATCAAAACCTGAATTCTTTGGAGGCCGCCTTTTCTCGGAGTTTCGTTTGTCTTCTTTGGCCTTCCTTCGAAACCGCGTTGAGCTTTGACCATGCCACACGTGGGGTAGCTAACAAGGTTGCCAGGTTTATTTTGCTTGTGGAAGGACCCCGCGGGCCAAGTTTAAATTATAAATAATTCACCACGGCCATTTCACTCTGGTTAAAAACTGTGGTTTTGTGATTCCAAGAGTCAGGAGGGATGGACATTTTGCTTCGGTTTCACAGAAGGGGATACTTTCCACCGGCAAAGAAACAAGCCCCAAACTTCCGTTTTGTTGTCTGTTGGGTCGAGGTTTTCAGGTTGGTCTTGGTTTGTTTACTTTGGCACCTTGCCCTTTTGGCTTCGATTGGTTTGGATGTTCTCAGCAGGACCCATGAAGCTCGTAGCCTTCATGGGTGGTGCTTGACCACGTGTGTCGTCCAATGTGTGGTATTGTTGCAGGTCGAGTCTTGCAGGTTGAACCAGTTTATCAAAAACAAGTGCCCAGGTTTTTCTAGCCTCAGGTTGGTCGAGCTTGAGTCGCGCGAAGTCTGTGATTTTTCCCTGTCTTGTTGTTTTTCAAACAGTTTGTGGCCCTTGAACTTACCTCAGGTAACCCTTCATCGGTGGTTTGGATTGGTTTGGATTTGGATGTGAAACCCCTGTAGAGGGTAAATGGGAAGTACGGAACACCACCAAACCACCGACTCGGCTCCCTCTCCCACGAAGAGGCAAGAGGAAAGCTGCTTTCTGGGTGTCATTCCAATATTTACCAATGAAAAACAGGGACATCCACCCATTTTTTCAGCTCTACAAAACTGGGATGACTCACTGGGGCGACTCAACCTTGGGATTCGCATCCCGCAGCGAACGCCCGGCGAGGTGAACTTTGTGGACAGCGGTCCCAACCAGACTTGCGCCTGGGATCCATTCGGGAACGGGGCACGGACATAGCAGGAGACGTGGGCCCTACGAATGGGTGAGATGTGTAACATGAATACAGATAACATAGACAGATATGTTTGGATCATTATGTGTTCACATTTGAATACGGAGATCTCATATATGGCATACATAATCACATCGCATTCCATTACATTGCACTACGTTACATTAGATTACGTTGCATTGCATTGCGTTATATGAATGTATTACAATGCATTGCATTACATTCCATGACATACGCACATACACACATACACACAGACACACATACATACACACATACACACATCCACATATACACACACACATACACACACACACATACACAAATACACATACACACACACACACATACACGCATACACACACACACAGATACATACATACCGCATACAAATACATACACATACATACACATACATATTCGTGCATATTTATACATCTACATGTATGCATATACACATACATACACATATACAGATACATCTACATGTACATGCACATATACATATACATATGCATATACATGTACACATACGTACACATACATATAAATATACATATACATATACATATACAGACAGCGACAGAGACAGAACAGAGAGACAGAGACAGAGACAGAGACAAAGCCAGACGGACAGAGAGACAACCATACATACATACATACATGCATGCATGCATGCATGCATGCATGCAGGCAGGCAGGCAGGCAGGCAGGCAGGCAGGCAGGCAGGCAGGCAGGCAGGCAGGTAGGCAGGCAGACAGGCAGGCAGACAGACAGACAGACAGACATACATACACACATGCGTAAATCAGGGACATGTTTTGAGGGAATGCTTCACAAAATATGGGTCCTCCTTCACCGAAGTGCAACAAATGCAAGCTGTGAATGCCGGATGATTTTGCTGGAATCCATGATGTGTGTAAATTTCTTTAACCATGAGACATTGTATGCTATCCAAATTGGATGAATTTGGGCTGGCGCACGCCCAAAGCGATGATGCTTTGGGGACTCCGAGCCTTTGTTGCCCTTTCTGCACTCAAAGTGGACGTCCTTTCGAAGAGGCTGGCTTTCTTCCAATCCTCACTAGAACCCCCTTTTGCCTGGTTTCTAGTGATGCGAACCAGAAAAGGGAGGGAGATTAGAGGGGACTCCATGAAGCAGGGCGAATCGACCTCAGGCTGCATCCTCTTCAACGACCTGCTGCTGAACTACACCGTGACTTCTGATTTGACGCGCTGCGCCCCAAAGCACGTCCAGGTGGAAGGCGCGTCACGGGCCCCGCCGCCCCGCCACGGTCTGCCGCGGGAGGGGGGGGGGGGTCTCAATCTAAGGGATCCTTCGTGCTTGGTTCCCTGTTAAGGTTTGTTTCCTTCCATCTTTGCGCATTTTTGAGTACTATGTTCTATTATCTTCCCTCTGTTGGGCTTGGGAATTTATTACTACAGGGAATACTTTATGGTGTCCAGCAAACTTCCCAGATGGAGGGATTCCAGTTGGTTTCCTTTGGCTTCTTTCCGCACATTCCACGCACCTCCCATGTCCAGAGGCCACGCAAATCAAGTCCTCCAGTTCCTTTGGTCTCAGGGTGGTTTCAAGCACCAGCTTTTGGCCCGGGCTTTATGGACTCCAATATATATATATATATATATATATTTTTTTGGGGGGGGGTGGTCCGAGAAAAAAGGGGGCTCCAGAAAAAACTCGAACCCTAAGGTGCCCCCAAAAAAGGGCTCTCAACCACCCACCTTGTACCAACCCCCCGGCTGGGATTTTTCAAAAATGTGGGATGGTAATGTGTGCTGCATCCTCGTGGTTTCCTCCACCACCCACCACCCACCACCCACCACCCGCCACCACCCGCCACCACCACCACCACCACCACCACCACCACCACCACCACCACCACCACCACCACCACCACCACCACCACCACCACCACCACCACCACCACCACCCACCACCCACCACCACCACCACCACCACCACCACCACCACCACCCCACCACCACCACCACCACCACCCACCACCACCACCACCCACCACCACCACCACCACCACCACCCACCACCACCACCACCACCACCACCACCCACCACCACCACCCACCACCACCCACCCACCACCACCACCCACCACCACCACCACCACCACCACCACCACCACCCACCACCACCACCACCACCACCACCACCACCACCACCACCACCACCACCACCACCACCACCACCACCACCACCACCACCACCACCACCACCACCACCACCACCACCACCACCACCACCACCACCACCACCACCACCACCACCACCACCACCACCACCACGCTTCCCTTCCCTTTTCCCCCCCCCCAAATAAAAAGAAGGGGCACCAACTCAGAAGCCGCGCGCAGCTCGCGGAAGGCACCACCACCACCACCACGGCCTGGCTGCGGACCTGCAGCCCTCGGCCCCTGACCCTCGAGGCGCCGATGGGAAGGGGCGAAGGCAAAACGGCGAAGGAGCTCCCAAGAGAACTCCCCCAGAAAAGCCGCCGCCGTACAAGGATCTCCTTTTCAAAGGACAAAAGGACACGGGAAAAAAAGGGGGAACAAAAAACGGGAAAAAAAAGCAACCCAACCAAAAGACCCAAAATCATCCGCCTGCAGCGCTTGTTGGGGGAAGCTTTCAGATCAAAGGGAAGCCGCACGTATCACTTCCATCAAGGCGGCCAGGCCGTGCGGGGGAAAGACAGGGCCGGTCCATTGCACCCGACGGTCCGGCCGCCGCATATTCGGATGGACTGCCATCCCCCAAAACACCGAACTTGTTGGTCAGTGGGTTCCGCCCTCATCTGTTGAACTTTCGTTCCACCGCCCTCCCTGGGATTTTCCACATAGACTCAGGCAACCAACAAGAACTCTTCTCTTTTCCCACCTTTCGGGCTGTGTGTGTGTGTTTTTTCTGCGTGTGTCAAGCCGAAGCAGCCGAACATCGGAGCCCAGACTACATGGGCGTCGGATTCCGGGTTGAATGAGAAATACGATGGCCGCCTTACTTGGCAGTTCCCAGCCTCCCCTTAGCTTTTAGGTTTTGTGTTTTTTCCGGCAAAAAGGGGGGGGGGGGTCCACTTAACCCCAATAAAGGTTAGACTTTAGCAGGGGATCTGAGGACAGCCCAGTATATAAAGGGGTACCGAGCAGGTCACTGCTTGGATGCTCAACCCACTTGATAAGTGGGTTGACCATCCAAGTGGGCAAGTTAGGTGCCCCGAAGAAGCAATATCAATTCAAGTCCCTCGGTCGTTGATGTGTCTGGGTGATTTTGGCCCAATGCTTCAACCCATTCTTTTGCAGGCTTGGTTGCGTTTTTGTTGTTTCAACAACCACCTCCTTGTCTATTTAAAGGGCAGCTTTGAAGCAAATCCATTACAAAACAAACCCCCCACCCCCTTGTCCCCTTCAAAGGAACGCCATGTATACACCCCCCCCCCCCTTGTCCCCTTTGAAGGAAAGCCATGTTTACACAACACCCCCCCCCTTTCCCCTTTGAAGGAAAGCCATGTTTACACAACACACACCCCTTGTCCCCTTTGAAGGAAAGCCAAGTTTGCAAAAGCGCTTTGCGCATCTTCAAACCGAACCTTGGCCATCACCTCTGTCCGTGTTTTGTAGGAGGCGCGCATGTCTGGCAGCACCATGACGTCGCCCTTCTACCTGGGGAGTCAGGTGGGGTCCCGAGGGCCGGTAAACCCCATGGGCGTCCCTGGCCCCTTCTTTGGGACGCCCCCCCCCCCCCCCCAAACCAAGTTTGTCCCGACATGGGGATTTGGACCGACATGGTGGTTTTCATGTTGGTTTCCATTGGGGGAAAAAGGAAGAGAGATGTGGCTTTCCAGTTGGGTTCCCTGAGCAAAAACTTGAACTTTTTGCATTTATTGATGAGACAAGTCAACCCAGAACGAAACTAGGGGTTTCCTCCAAGGCTTCGTACACGGTTTTTTTTCAAGGGACTTGGACCCCCGACATGGTGGTTTTCCTTTTGGTTTCCATTTGAAAGCCTGCAAAGTGTAGCCTCAACAAAGCACAAGCCTGCCCATTTGATTTGGGGATTTGGGTCCAGGAGTCATCAGGAGTCCAGGAGTCCAGGAGTCCAATGCATTTCTGGTTTGATTTGGGTGACTGTGGTTCAAGTCCAGGAGCATGGAAGCCAAGTGCTCGCCTTGCAAAGACGATGTGTCAACCATAGGTGTCGAAAGCTTGGCTTCTTTGCAGCTACAAGGGGGGAAGCCCAGCTCGGATTTCACCAGAAGGTTCAATCTCCGGTCCCATGTACTGCGGTGCTAGGTCCCCCAGTAGCGCCCTTTTCTCCCCTTTTTTGGGGGAGGGTTCACCTACTAAAATGGACTACAGAAAAAGGGTACCCCAATTCTACCCTCTCCACTGGAGGACCCAAGGTGAGCACTGGCGGGTTGCGCATCCAACCACAAAGCCCGACCCCTTTTCTCCCAGTAGATATGCTTGTTTACCCTTTGTCTAGCCATGTGTGCAGTTGGTTAAAAGTACATGTCCCAACTCCTTTGGGTTGAACGCTCAGGAACACTTGCCCACAAGAGATTGTGCCACCTGCTTTCACGCCGGTGTTTTTGAGCAACGGTCAAGATTTGGTGTCATCTACTGTAAAGGGGGTGACACGGGTTTACGAAACTAACGGGGTTCACTCACCACAATAAGTATGGCTATGTTTTGTTTTCAGCGTGCCCTTGTTGGTGTGGTTTTACAGGGAACACCGAAGGACATCACCCATCTCGGTGGACCATGGACACTCACCACATTGAAGGCCACATCCGATCGTTTCTTCGGCAGGAGAACGCGGTGACGCTGCAGGAGTCTCTGGACTGGAGCCGCCAGCGCATAGGCTTCGGGTTTCGGCCTGGACGGTGTGGGCGTATGGGCGACGGGATGGGTTGGCGTACCGTTTTTTTTGGGTTGGTTGAAAGGGAAGCCAAAAGGAAACACCTAGAGCAGAACTGACATGGTTTGGGACGGATACGGGCCGACCCAAAGTTTCCCATTCAATTCATTCAAACCAGGGGTCCTTGCCAATTTGTTCCATGCCTTTTGTAGGACAACGGGTAATTTTTAGGACAACGGGCTCATATGAGTATCCGACAAAATTAGCGGTAGTCTTTGGTGGTAGTCGGACGCCTTTGGGTTCGCAAAATCTGCAAAAATCCGCAACACTGATAGACGACCACCCGACTTCCTCATGGAGTTTAGTAAAGGATTCTGTCCGCTAGTCATATGGGTACGGTTCCTTCAATGGATGTACCTGAAATGGTGAACCCCCATTTCGTTGGCATTTCAAGAAGCTTTAGGGGACTGATGCCAATTTTGATAAGCACCCATACAGTTGGACGCCTGGAGCCCCCTTTCACCGTCCTGTATCTCTTTCTTCATCACTTCTCCAATCATCTCCTTTTCATTTGTTGCGATTAGTTGAGATAAAGGAGATGAGAAGTGAGACAGAGATGTCAAAATTTTACAGTTCAGGCTTTTATAGACTGCTTAAAGGGAAAAGCCTTGACATGTCAGTCCTTTTGAGAAGCTCCCGGTTTTGAGAAGCACCCTCAAAGGAGGGTTTCAAAGGGAAAGACGAACCCGGCCATTTTTCATTTAAAAAAAACCCAAAAGGTGATCACGTCTTGTTCCCAGGTTCGATCCTTTGTGGTTTGGGGAAGTGAGGAAAGAAGCAGCCCCCCTTTTGGTTCCCTGGGAAGATTTAAACAGATGGGCTAGGCGATTTGGGCAACTCATTTCGAAAGCCGAAAGGAGTTACCCAGTATTTGGAACCTCCCCAACTTTTCTTATGGCACCCTCCAGTTCCATTCTGAACCCAGGATGCGAATCTTAGAAAACCCCCGGATACCCAGAAAAAAAACAGCGATGGGTTTCCGGACACGGAGCGACCTGCTAGAAAGGCCATGCCTAGCTCCACCCACCACAAGTAGGACATGGACCCCGGAAAACCTCCGGAAACCCCGGGAAATCCGCTGGAAACCCAGGGAAACCCACCGGAAACCCCGGGAACACGGCCAGCGGTGTCCGGACCCGGACTATATTTTACGCCACACCCCGCGGCCGATGCGATGCGAGGCGAGGCGGAGACGAACTTTGCGGCCGAGCTCCGGGAGCCTTCGCCCGAGAGTTGGGAGGACCAGGCGGGGCGAGTTGGAACGAGTTGGAACGAGTGGGGTGCGTTGGGGTGCGTAGGGAGTCTCCTGTTGGATTTTCTCTAAAAATTGACCTGGGGTTGGCTTGTTTTGTGGAGTTTTGTCCGTGTCTATTTTTGTGGGGTTGCCTTTTTTTAGAGGATTTTTCGTTTCTATTGTCTTTCTTTTCATTTTATTTTCCGGAGTTGGTACCCCCCCCCCCATTTTGGCTTTTGTTTTCAATTGACATCAACAGGAATCCACACCTATCTTAGGGGGTCCCCTGATTTCTGGAAGTTGGCCAGGTTTGAACTCTGAACGGAAGTATTTAGATGGGAGTGGCTTTGACATTGGTCCCCTTTTCGGGGTCAAATCCAAACGCATTGCTATGCATTGCTTGCAGATTGCCAGGCCCAAGTGGCCTAAATTCGAATGGAACGGGGGACGTTGAAGCAGGGCTGGACATAAGATCAGTGCAGGGGACAAAATCCGCGCCAAGCACTCGGGTTTTACCCATAACTGCGAAGCGGATTTTGTCCCACAGTAGAGTGTGTGGTTATTGAGCCTCTTATATTGTCTATCTGGAAAGCTAGGTTTTGCTCCAAACTTGCGGAGCGGTTGGGTAGCCTGGTTGCAAAGGATGGGGGCAGCTTCCTTTTGCGGGGGCAAGGCCAAGCAGAGCCAAAAGCACTTTCCCCCTACCCAATCTTCTTGAACCTGCTGCGCGGGTCAACATGTCCAGTTCGAGCACCCTGGCTTTGGGTATTTGGGTCTCCTCCTACAGGTAGAAGTGTCCAGGTCTAGGTTTGATCGGTTTGTTTGGGGACAGAAACAGATGGGTTCCACGGGTTTAGAAGTTGGTGTTACGCGTCATTCCCTCCGGCCCCAAAGGCTGGGGCCTGAGGGTTGGGCGGACTCTCGCAGGTGTTGGGCCGGGCGCCTTTCTTTTTTTGCTTCCAACTCGGTGTTTCGGTCGGTCGTCATGGTGTCAAGACCCCGTTGTCAGTGAAGTGCTCAAGAGGATTTACCCGCCGAAAGAACATGAGTTTGAGGTTCCTGGGTGTGCATCACCAAACTTGGTATCCGACATGGTCCAAGGGACTTTCTTGGCTTAGGTCCCATTGTAACCTACCTGAGCCACTTGCTCAAAACCGGGGCAGATGAAGGTTAGCAAGGGACAATCCCAACCAGAAGTGGGTGCCTTCGCCGTGGTTTTAATTCTTGAAGCATATGGTTCTGAGTAGACCATTTTAATACCGATCGGTTTTGATTGTAACTTGGAGGTCTTTTACAGCATCCTGGTGGATCGCTTCGCCAACGGCGACATCAGCAACGACGACAGCACCCCGGTGCACGTAGCGGTTCGCCCGTTTTGGTTTCCGCTCTCGCAGACACGGCCCGCGGCTCTGCCGACAGAAATGCTCGCCAGTCTATAAGCCTTGGGAGGACCATTTCAAGCAGCAGGCTGCTGTTTCAGGGCTCCTTAAAAGAGATCTCCATTTTGCCACCATTTGAAACATGTGGCTTTTTCAACACCAAAATAAAGAAGTGGAAACCACCATATCTACAAGTTGCAATGTTCAGGTGTATAATGTAAGGATCCCTGTTTTTGTGTCATTCTGATGCGTAGCACGCAAGGACAGTTTGTTCTTCGGCCCCCACTCCACTCAGGAGCCAAGTTTGAACTTGGAGGCTCCCATACACTTGGTGGCCCAGTCTTTCTTAAGGGTTCCGATTCTTTTAAACTCAACCAACAAAAAAAGGTGCCCTTTTTTCCCATGGCCACTGGGCATCTGAGTACATTAACAAGAAGGGGACCCATATTCTCCGGGAAAAGCGCGCCCTGCCTCCTGGAAGATTGGAAGATCATTTGAGTCACAGTCAAAACCCGGGTAAGTGAAGGTTAGTAAGGGAAACTCCCAACCATAAATGGCGGATATCCGCCTTCTTAATTCTTGAAGCATGGTTCTGGGATTACGGCCAATTTAATACCGGGTTTTGAGCAAGTGACTCGCCTGATTCTGCTTGATGCTCCTTCTTTTTCTTCCCAAAATTCACGTGGATAGGTGAATTCACCCATTTTAGGTTTCCTATTTTAGTGGTTGGATTGGTGGATGTTCACTCAAATTTCGGTGGCAAGAAAGACACCACCAGTCACAGCGCGCCCGGGGCCAGACGGAGACCCAGGAAGTTGGACCGATCCCTGCTGGGCGGCTGGTCTTTCGTGGAGTCCCCCCAGTCCCCCCGCAGAAAAAAAAGCGTGGTTTTTCCTGTCTGCTATCCTCTTAAAACCTTGTCTTTAGTGGAGTCCCCCCGCAAAAAGCTGCTTTTGTTTTGTTATCCTCTTAAAACCAAGCAACAAAGATTTCCCCCCCAAACAATTGACAGACTGTGACACAGACCATATATGCCCTCAATGGACCCATACCAGGGCTCAAGAAGAGGCCCCTGCCATAAACCGGCGCGGCCCTAAATGGGCGGGTCTGGAATAACCTTTCTGCCGGGTTGCTTCGAGCTAAAGTGGACACCCCAAACTTGGAAGTTTGGTGAAGGGTTTCCTGTTGCTTTGTGAGGCTCTGCGCGCTTCAGGGATGATCCCCGCAATGCTTCCTTTCTTTGTTGGCGGAGGTATTTGGAACTTGTGGTTCTACCCTCGCCCCAAACCAGGGTTTCCTCCATTTCCCTTTTTGGAACCTCCGAACAGTACTTTCATCATTTGGGAAATCCCGTGACCCCAGAAAAATGAAGAAGGCAAAGGCGAAAACCCAAAAGCGCAAAGTGGGTCCAAAAACCACCAAACAATTTTGGTTACCCCAAAAACCGTAGGAGCCACCCGAGGCAACATCCCGGACTTCCAGCGTGAGCAGATGAAGTCAAAGCAGCCCTGGCCTGGTGCCTCAGTCCCGGTGGCAAAAATTGGTGGGACCAACTCAGAAAAGGACCCATTGACCTTTAAGGCTATTTGGTTGGGTCTTTGTACTTTGGCTTTCTGGGAAACCGAGGGTTTTCCATTGGACAAGAAGTGAACCTTCTCGCAGAGGGGTCAACCCAAGTCTGATGAACGCCTATGACACCACACGCCCCATCTCCCAAATCAACGGGGCTCTGCTTAGATGGGTTAATAGTACCAGGTGTTGATCGACTCCGTTGGGTGTGTGTGTGTTTTTGTTTTGGTGACATTCTCCCAGGAACATATTTGTTGGGGATCCCTTAAGACACACCCACGAGGGTTCTTCAAAAAGGTGATGGTCCTGTTTGTTGGACCCATGAGAGAGCCTATTTTGAAAACAAACACGCACGCACAAAACATATATATATATATATATACCCTTGGTCCCCAATTGGGACCCTTCATTCCTTTTTTGACCAACCCTCAGGTCAGGCCCTTAGTTCTGCGGCTTGCCCCCAATGTGACGGGGGGTGTAAGGAGGAAACCAAAAACCGTATTGGTTGGCGAGTGTTTGAAATCGTCTCAGGTGGTTCCAAGGTGGCTTTTGGAACCTAGGTTCATCGGGCCCTGGCCCCAACTGGCGGGCAGGGTATCTTCTATGCTGGATTTTCCTTGGCCGAGCTCATGCCGGAAACCTGTTGCAAGGTTTCGCGAACACAGAGGACCGTAACGGAACCGGTTAGGTTCCTTTCGGTCCCCAACAGGTCCGCTTTCGACTTTTGGGGCCATGATACTCAGGTGTGAAAGGGGAAACCAGACTGTGGATGGACGAAATCCATTTCGCACCGCTTGGAAACCATGGGAAAGCATTTGTTGTTGGCATTTACCAGGCAATCATCATTCCAGGGTTTCTTAGGTGGTGCAGGATGTTGTCCATCCACGGTATCACTGACAGCATGGCAGTCTAGGAGATGGGGGAACCCAATGTTCCCAGGCGCACCCAATTGTCCCATGCCGAGTCAATCCATGCATCTGCTGGGATGTTCAATATCATCCAAGCACGAGCCCTCCAGAGTGTTGTTGGTGGTTGATCTTTAGACCCCAGGTTTTGCTGGGCTTTGGTTCGAACGTGAGGGAAACTATCGAGAAGCTTGATTGGCAATAGCAGGAGGACCACTTTCAGATGGTTGGCTTAAGACAAATACGCCAGCTGTTGGTTGCTCCCTGCAACCACCTGGGGCAAAGGAACTCCTGGCTACTTTGGTTCTGGTCGCCAAACCGCCCAAAGGTGGCCATCGGGAGAAGGGCTTGGCAAGCCAAATCACTTGGCAGCTCTCTAGACTCGATGAAGGAACCCGTGGAAACGCCATGTCCTGAAACTCCTAGGTCCTCAACATTCTTAGGGGCCAAGTCCCAACAAGATGCACCTAAGTTGATTTCCTCAAATTAAGGCAAGCCCCTTCCACTTCAGCCCCTTCCACACCGGACCACCGAGCCACCGACTGAGCGGAGGTCCGTCCAGCAGTGGCGGCACGGGGGAGACCTCCATGGCATCAAGACACGACTCAGCCCTGGGCCCAACCGATGGGATGGATGGATGTTTTGCAGTGGGGACCAAATTCCGCCAGGGCTCCTTCTGGTTTTGCCCTGATCCAGAAAAGGGACCCCTCTTTTGAGGGCATACACAAAGAAAGGCCATGGTTGTGAAAAGCGGGGCCATTTCTGTGATGCCAGGATGGGAATGACTACTCTGTGACTTTCAATGGAGTTTTTGTTGCAGAAAACGGGATCTCATCCTCCTTTGCCAAAAACTCGCCCAAGCTGGGGAGATTCTGTGGGTGGAAAAGACCGAGATCCATTCGAGCAAGGGCAACCTAATCAAGCCAAGCCGGGCGCGAGCGGACTGCCATGAATGATGTTGGGGATCTTTGTGGTATTTTGGTACTATTTTGGGGGGTCTTTTTTTTTTGGTTCATAGGATCCCACCACGTTTCTTGGTTTCTTGCAAAGGCTTCAATAAGTTGGAAGGGCTCGGTTGGAATCCTGTTAGCTCCCAAGAACCTCCCCATCCCCAGTTGAGCCACGTGCTCAAAACCCGGGGACGATCCCCTTGCCAAACATAGCTGCGGATATCCACCTTCTTAATCCTGTACATGGCTCTGGGCTTGGACCATTTTAGTACCAGGTTTTGATTGCGACTCAGTTACCCAAGAAGAAAAAGACGTCAAGGCAGCCGTTGCTTCGTTTGGGAAGCGGAGCCAAGCCCAGGCTGCCGAAGCCGATGTCTGAAAATTTTGGGGCATGCGGACGGGGCATCTGGGGGTTTTTTGGTACGCATCGACAGCTGGATTGATCAAAGCCCACATCCCAGATGACCCGGCGAGCTTGGGGAAGTTTCGCAGTGAGCAGTTCTCTGGCTCTCTGGCTGCTGTTCAGTTTTCCTGCGCGGCTGCAAGCGTTCGCTTCGGATGAACCCGGACACCCATTCGTGTTGGCAACTGGACAGCCCCTCTGCAGCCTAGTTCCTGAGTTGGTTGAACCATCTCAGTGGTTCCCTGGTTATTCGGATCGCACGCCCCGCATATCCCAAAACAGGACTTGCCGACTTGCCCGGCTCCGACCACCATTCGGCATCACTTCAGACTGTTGCCCAGGTGTGTTTAGATCTCTCACAGAAACCTTTGGGTGGTTGTGAATATGAGGTTGGGGTATCTCTCACACAAACTTCATTTGCACATCACCTTTTGGGCACTTGTGACATGAGAGGTTCCTTTGAAAAGGGGCAAGAAGGACACCTGTTTCACCCCCTTTGTGTCTGTCTTTTGGAGTTGGCACCCCGTTTTGGTGGTCTTTACACAAGAAAGCCCCAAAGAAAACCGTTGCGCCATTTGGCTGTATTTTTGATTGAGGAACTCGCAAATTGGGTGGTTTTGAAGGGAAACCAAAGGAGGCTACCGGTTGTTGGGTGGTTTTGAAGGGAAACCCCAAAGGGACTTCCTTTTTTGGGGGACTTTTCCCAGAAACGCCGGCGCCGCCGCATTTTTCTGGGTCCAACTCGAGGCTACCTCCGGGACTTGGGGGTCACCGTGCTGGCGCTGTCCCCCATCTTCCTCAACAGCCGCTTGCCGCCATAGGTGTCCCTTTTAGCAGGGCTCCTTAAAAGAAATCTCCATTTTGCCACCACTTGAACCATGTGGCTTTTTCAACACCAAAATAAAGGTGGAAACCACCATTGACAAGTTGCAAAATGCAAGGATCCCTGTTTAGGTGAGCCTGGTTAAAAAATAGAATTGTTTCACTGGTGTAGATGGGTTTTCTTCCATGTACCAGGGAAATCCATCTATTTTCCAAAAGGCAACCTGTGCGCTTGCCCAGTGCGGAGTTTCGGAGAAACCGAGCTGCTGGGACGTATTTGGTGGACAGACATTACCTCAGATGAGAAAAGGGGAAACACCAAACGAGGGGCGCAACTTCACGGTGTTTGCCGCTTCTTTTTCTTCTTCTTTTTCCCCCCATTTTTCCTTTTGGTCCTGTTCATTTTCAGTAGGCTGCCAAGAAACAGAGCTGTTGCTACCATACCAAGGGTTGGAAAGACTCCCCTGCGATCTTCCTTGTCGGGAAGGATGTTATCACCATCCGGAGAATGGGCAGACTCAATTCCGTGGTGAAGTTGCCTAGCTAAGTGTGCAAGCATCCAAGTTAAATTTTGGACCAGCGTACACATCACCTAATAGACCGTTTTGGAGGTGTGTCTCCTCTTGGAGGGTGGTGTTTTAAGGGGCTTTGGGGAAAAGGCCAAGCTTCGAGTTGCCTTGCAGCAATTGAATTGGATCCTGTGCTTCGAAAGGGCCTGAGCTCCGCGAGGTGCGTACAGAGAGCAGTTTTTTTTCTCTTTTTTTTCTCCTTTTTTCTCCCCCCGATTGTGAAGATGACTGTTTCCTCCCTATGTGGGCGGACCGGGCCACTTTGGATCCTCAACCCGCAACTGGCTTGATTTTCTTTCTGTTCCCGGCGAACTTCTCCGATCCGGTCTTTGGAGCACCCCATTCCCTTGCAAAGTACGGAATCCGAACTGCGGGGAGGGGGGGATGGGACGCGTCAAATGGTGTTTGTAAAAGCGTTGTTTGTTGGTGTTTGCGGGGGAATCATCCAGGGTAGGCTGGACGTATGCTGGACGGTGCTGCGAAATGGATTTCGTCCATCCACAGTAGGTGTGGACGGATTCCAATGGTTTCAAGCTTTATGGCAATTTGGATCTTTGGACTAAGCAACTTTTTCCGCATTGCACCCACAAGACATCACCACTTTCTTGGCAGAGGGGTTGCAGGCAGCCATTCAAGTTGGTGCTCGGCGCTCTCCAGGTGACGGGAACTATTTGGGCAGCTGCACTACAGCCGCCCGCCCGTTTCGGGGAAGTTTTGGGCAGAGAAGGGCGGTGCCTGGTGCCTAGTGCCAGTGAACCCATGGTCTTTGTTGGGCCAGGGTTTCGATCTTTGATTTCTTTTTGGATCATGAGGCGGTTTCAAGAGAGCCAGGTTTCCGCCCGGTGCTTCTTATACTCCCGGCGGCTTCGCCCGCCGAAGGGCTGCCAATTGGAGCTGCCAGGTCTGCCGGGCGAGTGGCCCAAAAAAAGGCAATGGAAGGAGGGGTCGTTTGCTCCGGTGACGAGACCATGACTTTGCCTTCATCCAAGTGCCCTTGATTTGCAGGGAAGTTGGAGAAAATGGGTTCAGAAGTGGCTTGGATAAAGCAATTCCGCCCTTGATCACTGGAGAGTTGCGGCTGTTCACCCGAGTGATAGCCTTTGGAAGGCTGGATTCCCCATTCTCTTCCCCCCATCAGTCTTTTCTCTGAACCTAGTAGTTTTCCCCGGGTTGAAGCGAGGGACTCGTGGAGAGGGTGGAACAGGAATGGATGATGGCAAGTGTTTTTCGTTGTGAGACATACCGCATGCCCAAGTGTGCTTTTTGTTCCCTCTTTTTGTCAATTGTATAAAACACCATTGGGTCAAACTGAGGTCCAAAGATACGCCCTCCTCCTTTGCTGGTTTGAGTTTGGTTGAACATATTGGATTCCACCAGTTTCAGTTGGTTCCCCTTTTCCTTCACCCGTGGAATCATTGGTTTTTCTCCAAGCACACTGGGGAAGGCAGCAGGTTTTTGAGAACGATGCTGAAGGGGAGATCAAGGCCTATAAATGAACCACTGTTGCTTAAACCGCCTTCTGAGGAAAGGCATATGTTTGCAAAGAAGGATGGGTGAACATAGTGGAAAACAATCCTTCCTAGAAATCCCAGGTGCCTCTCTACTGGCATCCTTTTTCAATTTGGCTTGACCTTTTGGGTCACAAATTTTTAGTTCCCCGTTTCTGGTTGGTTTCCATTAAAAATCCAACCAACAACAGGCAACTCCAAACAATGACTGGGTTTCCATTTTTAGTTCCCCGTTTCTGGTTGGTTTCCATTTAAACACCAACCAAAAAACGGGCACCAACTCCAAAGACGAGGCAGCCATTTGGCCGTGGCTCAAGATTAAACAGGAGGGGCAAACCGCAGGTTTTGCTCCCCAGGTTTTCTCTTACCAGGGCAACCCATGTTGGAATTCCGGTTTTTGAGCCACAGAATTTGTTTAGCTCGAATGTAGAGAATTGGGCCATTTGGAGCTAAAGCCACATTTTGGAGCTCTACCCCCAGCCAGTTTTTTGGTTGCCGCGGCCATGCAAAACCATCCCCTGGTGCGATACCTCCGTGCGATCCTCCGAGGACCTGACGAGCGTCGACCCGAACTTCGGGAACAAGGCACGTGGGGTCGAGCACGGACGGCACGCAGGGAACGCGGCCGCGGGGGGCGGGGGGGGCGGGGGGGTGGTTCTTGGTTTGCTTCCACGTTGACCTTCTTGCAAACTTTCGTTTTTTTTTTTTTCTTTACATTTCGGCTCAAGGCCCTTATTGGTAGACTCTTACATGAACTCACCTAGGAGTAAGCAAAAAGACGCCATTGCTGCGTGCGCTCAGTGAGATACCCGAGCACAACCACCGGAACAGCGATTCCTTCGGGGCGAGCAGCTCCCGGTACGGCCCGCAGGGAGGTTTGCAGGGTTTGAGGGGAGGGGTTTGTAAGGGGGGGGTGCCTCAACAGAGCTGCAGGAGGGCCGAAATCTCAGATTGTGGCCTGACCTTGTTCGGCCATCAATCGCCCCCCCCACCCCGGCTGATGTTACTCGTGATGAAGGTTCCGCACGGCGAGCAATTGGGGCACTGTGGTTTTTAGTTGTTCCAGCTGCACTTCCAGTAGGGATGCGCTTCCCAAAAAGTCTGATGGGCGGGGGACGGTGCACTGTGTTGAGCACCAGCTTAGTGAGCAACCGGACTTTTGCGATAGTGAAGGTTCCAGTCTTGTGGATCCCTTGCAATTTTCCCAGGCAGTTGTGGGAAAGGAGGTTTCTGTGAGTGGCGCAGGGAATCCCCCGCTTTTGTGTGGCATAGCACGCAGAGATGTCGGATGCCCGGAAGATGCTGCAGGATACCTGAGATTGGTTTCCTTCGGGTTTGCCCCAAGCCACAAACAAAGGTGGTGTGGTGTTCCCTGTTTGGGACTTTCCCCCCAACAAGCGTTAGTTGTTTCGTCCTGGATGGAACCCGAACCAGACAACCAAAACCAGCTGGCCGAACGGCAAAGCGACCACTCTGCTATATGAACCATTTCAAGGTTTTTTTTTGCCAAAAGTCGGCCAGGGTGTCCTAAATTCTATGGCTTGGGGCTCTCCATTTGGTTTGCCGTGCTCAAAAAGCGGTGTCTGTCAGTTGCAAAGGGAGGTCTCTAGTGTCGGCCCGACCGGGGTGGGCCGTACGCCAGGAGATTTTGCGGGAGCTGGTGAAGGATGCCCACAGCATGGGCCTGCGGGTGGTGCTTGATGTGCAGGGCCCCCGGACTCCCGGACCCGATCGAACTCACTCGGTTTGGAGTGAGTTTCCCATCACCCAAATCAACGCGCAGGTTTCCCATCCTGATCATTTGGCCAACCAAACAATGATCGTGGGGGAAACAGTCATCATCATTTGTGCGAAATGCTTCTTCTCCTTTCTGATGGCTTGGATTCGTCAAGACTTCATGGCGCGCGGTCGATTAGAGCAATGCTGCCAGGTTCCGCAAGTGAGCCCAGCAGGATTTGAACCCACGACCTCCCCGGTAAGGAGTGTGCCGCCATTGCGCCTATCGTGGAGACTTAACCTCTACTACCCTGAATGCGCTTAGCATGTCTTGTGAGGGTGCCGCAAATCACCAGAGGGTCCCTTCGACGCCACCAGTTTGGGTGTGTTTTTCGATTTGTGGGATTAGTGTCGTGGGAGCACAACTTCCGTTGGCGTCCCTAGTGTGGAGGGATGGTCCCTGGTAGGACACACCCGTCGCATGTAAGGAAGGGAAGCCACATGGCCTTTGAATCAAAGCACTCTATTTCTCATTTGGGTGGCAAAAAACATCTCAAATAAGGAATGGCCAATATATTTGTGGGGGTTCCAAAGGCTTTGGCGGGTCGGAGTGTTGTACCCCTCGCCCTGGATCTTACCGCGAAGCCCGTGCCAGAGTTGGTTTTGGGGGTTTAGGGTGCCAGACTTGAGAAAGCGAAAGGAAGCCAACCTGGAGACTGGCACCCATTTTTTCTTGATGCTATAGGTTCGGAATGACTTTCCGAGTCCGGGTGTTGGGAATGAACCGGTTTTGGGGATTCCCTTAAAGGAAGCCACGAGCTGAGGACCTGCAAGTGTTTTTTTCTTCTGATTGGCTGACCTTCCCCCCCTCAGCGGTCTCCTTCCCTTTTGAAGCCAAGCTGAGTTCAAAGAGCAAAACAGCAGATCTGAACAACATCCGGGTTCTGCTCTCGCCCAACTATCTTCCACACGTAGCCCCTAGGCCCCCCAACTTCAGTGTATTGAAGCCAACATGTTTTTTGTTTTTCCGCAGAACCTGGTAGTGGCAGTCTGAGCGGAACCTTGTTTATTATGATTCCCACATGGTTTGGACCATTTTGGAGGTAAGTCATTCCCATCCCACCATCCGATGGTGGTCCAAACAGTGAAAGTGCGAACCAAGCAACATGCGCATCACCATTGTCGACCAGAAAGGCCGCGCAACATTTGTGCCCACATTCAATGTTGAACTTGCAACATTTTGAGCCCCCGAGGTTGACGCTTGTTAATGCCCGCAGATCAGGGGTCCAGCATGAGGCGTCGCGGTGAGGATTTGCGGAGCATCTTGCGGAGCTGGCAATATTTCGGGCTTCAGTTGGTCTCCACTCCTTCCTCAAATCCCTTGCTGGTTTCTTCCAATCACCAAATTCCTTTTTTGTGAAGCCACCCCCCCTCCCCCCTTCCTGATTTCAAAGAGAACCATCAATGGTAGGGCCTTCTGGGATCAAGGATTTCTCCAACCAGTGATGCAAGTTGGAATCGTTGAACGTCTTTGGGCAGCTCTTCCTAGCACAGTTTCGCGAATTCCATTTCAAACACCCCGGAACGAAAAAAAACCTCGGAGCCAAAACCCCCCGGAAACCAAGAAGCCAAAAACGCCCAAGGCCCATTTCATAGGGACACCGAAAGAAAAAAAAGGGAGACAAACACCGCTCCCCCCGTTCCGCCGCGAAAGTCGCCGCGCAAGCCGCCGCGCAAGCCACCGCGCCGCGAATGGCTCCACTTCCCCGCATTCCGAGGCAGGTGAACCACGCCTGCGGGCGGGGGCTGAAGTACCTGGGATCCAGCAACAACGTGGATGGGGTGAACCTCTGCGTGCAGTCGCCCTTCGGCTCGGATTTTTTCGGCCGGCGAGCTTCGATGCCTGCGATGCCTTCGATGCTTCGGATTCGGAGCTTGCGGGCTGGATTTGGCGCTTCGGAGCCTGGGAAGTGGTTCAGGTTTGCGTTACTTGCCATGGGCTCTTGCCGGACTATTGGATTTGACATTGAGGCTCTTCCAGATTCTTTTTTGGACTACTAGACTTTTGGAGCTTCGAGTGATTCTTCTCTGACATATTTCTGGAAGTTGTTTCGACTTTTCGCAAGGGATCAGACCATCGCTTGCATAGAGTTGGTTCCCTTTTGGTTTAAGAGAAGCCGGGAGAAGCCAGGTCTTTGAGCTGCCGAGTTGGTTCCGAGTTTGACGACTCGCGCTCAATGTTGACCCATATTCATCAACCAACCAGTTTATTAATTGGGTGGGGACAAGCCCCACTAGACCCGGGGACACCCCCCTATATATGGGCTCAACATGAAGCCCTCACCGCCAAGAGGAGGCTGGACTTACCATTCTTTGGGGATTACCATTTTGGATTACCATTTTTTGTGGAAAGCAACATGTCCTTTTTTTCTTTTTCTGGTCAACCAAGTTCGACTTTGTGCTGGTTGTTAAAACGCTTTCGAAGGACTCTTTGCCTGCAGTTTCGCCCAACTGGTTTTGACAGGAAATCGGATACGGGGCGTGTGTATTTTGACGGTGCCCTTTGGGGCTTGTTTTCAAGGGGAACCCATCGCAACCATCGATTTTAGGCGGCTTCACCATTTCGAGAACCCATGTACATGCAAGGATAACGGGGTGTCTTTTGTAAGGGTTTCCAGAAATGGTGGTTTTCCTTCTGGTTCCACCGCAAAACCAGCCACGACACCCATACATACATACATACATACATACATACATACATACATACATACATACATACATACATACATACATACATACATACATACATACATATATATATATATATCCCCCCCGATGGATCTACCCTTTTGCTGCTTGAAGGCTATTTTGGAGATGGAATGCAGTTGTTTTATTTGGACTGCCCCATGAGACTTGACCAGCATCAGCTCACCCTAAGCAAGGAAATCCACAGCAAAATCTAATTTGGAATAACGATTCCAATTGTTTATTATTTTTTGTTTCGTTGAAAAGGACATCCTATTTAATTATTTTTTGAAATAGATATTCTACTACCAGTAGAGCCGGCGAAGCCGGTGGGCGGAAGTTTCAAAATATAAAACTATAGTTCTGTTCCTTTTTCTTGTCTTGATTCTTGTTCTCTTCATGTTCCTTTTCACCGTTTCTTTGTTTCTTCGTCATTCTCTCTTTCTTTTCTTCTTTCTTTCTTTCTTTCTTTCTTTCTTTCTTTCTGTCTTTCTGTCTTTCTGTCTTTCTGTCTTTCTGTCTTTCCTTCCTTCTTTCTTTCTTTCTTTCTTTCTTTCTTTCTTGTCTTTCCTTCTTTATTTCTTGTCTTTCCTTCTTTATTTCTTTCTTTCCTTATTCTTTCTTTCCTTCTTTCTTTCTTTGTTTTCGTTGGTTATGTTCTTTCTTTTCTTTCTTTCTTTTGCTTGCGTTTGCGCCGTTTGTTCTGCTGTCTCTTCTCTAACTATCTATCTATCTATCTATCTATCTATCTTTCTATCTAGTTTCTTTAGTTTCTCTATCTATCTCTCTATCTATCTCTCTATCTATCTCTCTATCTATCTCTCTATCTATCTCTCTATCTATCTAATCTATCTATCTATCTATCCATCCCTCCCTCCATCCATCCATCTATCTATCTATCTATCTATCTATCTATCTATCTATCTGTCTCTCTCTATCTCTATCTCTATCTATCTCTCTTTTTATCTATCTATCTATCTTATCTTATCTTATCTAATCTAATCTATTCTAATCTAATCTAATCTAGTCTATCTATTCATCCATCCATCCATCCATCCATCCATCCATCCATCCATCCATCCATCCATCCATCCATCCATCCATCCATCCATCCATCCATCTATCAATCAATCAATCAATCAATCTATCTATCTATGGATCTATTTATCTAATCTATCTATCTATCTATCTATCTATCTATCTAGCTAGCTAGCTAGCTAGCAATCTATCTATCTATCTATCTGATCTATCTGGTCTATTTATCTATCTTTTTGTCTATTTGTGTATCTATCTATGGATCTATCTATCTATCTATCTATCTATCTATCTATCTATCTATCTATCTATCTATCTATCTATCTATATATCTATCTATCTATCTGATCTATCTGGTCTATTTATCTATCTTTTTATCTATTTGTGTATCTATCTATGGATCTATCTATCTATCTATCTATCTATCTATCTATCTATCTATCTATCTATCTATCTATCTATCTATCTATCTGATCTATCTGGTCTATCTGGTCTATTTATCTATCTTTTTTTCTATTTATGTATCTATCTATGGATCTATCTATCTTTTTTTCTTTTTATCTATCTATCTACCTATGTGTCTGTCTATCTATTTATCTATCTCTCTATCTGCACCTGAACTTGCGAAAGTGCTGCGCCTGCCACGAAATCTGTACTTGACCTTGCGAACGTGCTGCGCCTGCCACAAATCTGCTGCGCCTGCCACGAAATCTGCACTTGACCTTGCGAAAGTGCTGCGCCTGCCACGAAATCTGTTATTGACCTTGCGAAAGTGCTGCGCCTGCCACGAAATCTGCACTTGACCTTGCGAAAGTGCTGCGCCTGCCACGAATTCTGTACCTCAACCTGCGCCTGCCACACATTTCTAACCTTGTGAAACCTCCGCGTTGCCGTGCCAACGGGCACGCACAGGGTCATACTTTTTGCGTGTTTCTATTCTCCCACCACGCGCATTTTTTCTCGCGGGCTTGTTCCTTCTCTTGTCATGTGTCTCAGAATGCTAGCTTTCAAGTAGTTGCCGTGAGGTTCCTTCTAAACTTCCTTTGATAATTATTTCCTGATTAGATTCCAGTAAATTCAAAAGAGAAAGTGGAGAAACAATATCCCGGGAAAGGACTTTTTTCTTTAAAAACGTTTTGAAGTAAGAATCCCAATTAGCACTGTTTCTTCATCTGGAAGAGGACGGAGTCGTCTGCCTTTTCACCTTATCTTTTCCCCGAAAAGGCGTCTTATGTCCCAACTTCACTTTTTGTGTTTTTTTTTGATGGTGAGCCTTGTGTGAGGATCTCACGTGCCGCGGTACGCGCACCAAGCCCGGCACAATCCTGGTCCAGGTGCAGTCCTCGGTGTTGCTCCAAGTCATCTCCCCAAGTACCTGCCGGCCTTCGAGAAGACCCGGCAGGCGATCAAGAGGGTCGACAAGCTCATCGAGCTTGTGAAGGACTTTCTTTCACCTCATTTTGCCTAGAAAAGGAAGATATGATTGAACAAATGTTCATTTATTCCACACTTCCAAAAGCAGTGAAATGGTGATTCATCATTATTCATACCTGACTGCCTTTGGAAAATACATCATCTGCCAATACATCATTATTCACCTTTCCAAAGGCAGGTTCCCACCATATTCTTTTCACGTGGCACTTGAGGGCATGGAACGCCGCCGCTCAGAGGGCCATGGAGGGCGAGGGGAAATCCCTGGAGGAGCGCCCCTGACGGTGGAGCAGCTTGTTGAAACACACAAGGGTCGGCAAGATCGACCTCTTGCCCGAGGACGCGCGGAATTCTTTTTGAAAGGGTCTTTGTGTTGAGGCTGCTTCTTTTGGGGTCTTGTGATTGAAGGGGTTTTGTGAAGGTGTTTCCTTTTAAAAGGTTAGCCTTTTGTCTTCTTTCACCTTATTCTTTTGGGTGTTCGGTCTAAACGGCTTCCTTTTCCACCTCTTTCGACTTCAAGTAAGGTGCTCGGCAAGACCCTCTTTCTCGATGAGGACGCAGAAAAGTATTTCTACGTTCCTCAGGGGGCGGCGCCGCGAAAGAACGAAAAGGCCCGCCGTATGGCTAGGCAGTACTGTGTGTCCGGCAAGTACTTGTCTAAGGCGTGGTCGATTGAATTCTCCGCGTACATGAAGACCGGTTTCCCTGTCCTCATGGATTATCTTAGGCTCCCGCCCACAGGTGCTGAGCTGAACCCCTTGTGGCGGAAGATCGAGATTGCCCCGTTTTTTTTTCGGGATCTCGTACGATGTGTTTCGGAAGGGTGTCAACATGGTGGTGAAGTCTCCGTCCACAGAGACCAGAGGCGCGGTTGAAGCGCACCTGGTCCAGGACCCCGAGATCGTGTCGATCAGGCCTATTTGGTTTGCCCGAGCACCTTATCTTTTTTCCCTTATCTTTGGGAACGATTAGGTTTATGTTGTTATCTCTGGTCCCTGCAGATGCGATCCCTGCAGCTGTTCGTGGGGCACGAGCCCGGGACAAGTCTCCCGGCACTATCATGCGCACGACCAGTCCAAGATTTCCGCAAAGCTGCGCAAGCTGGGCTGAGTCGAGGGTAGGGCTTGAGGATTCCCTTTGAAGATGGGCATGGCTGCGTGTCAGCCACATTGCAGCCCAAATAATCTCATCACAAGGCGCAAAAAGAAGGTGTTTTTTTGAGCAGAGCACGGTGCACTCCCTGTCTCTGTGCCGATCGACTCCTATGTGTTCTGTGATCTGGCCGGGCGAGCGACGCCCCAAATGGCCCTAGTGCTTGACGGCAACGTCAGGGAAGCTAAGCAGCGCCGTTTCACCTCATTTAGCACGAGCAAATGCTCATTATTCACCTTGCCCGTGGCAATTTCCAACCTTATATTTTCACGTGGCACTTGTAAAGCCTTTTCGTGGTAGCTCTTCCTTTTGAGAGGGTCTCCCGCTGATAATTGTTTCACATGGATCATCACAGGAGTAGCTTAGATGTCAAGGACGGACCTTCTCAGGAGTCTTCCTTAGCTCTTCTTCCTTTGCGAGGGCTGTCTTCTCAAGGCAAATCCTTTTAAAAGGTTTCTTACCTTGTGAATTGCTCGAAAAGGTGGAAATGGCCCCTACCTTTGACCTCATATTTTTCCATGTGTGCAAAATCTTCACCTTATTCTTTCCACCGTCCTTCTAAGAGATCTCCCGTAGTCTTCCGTAGTTCTTCAAAATGGAAATCCTATTCAAATCACTTTTAGGTCTAGACTATATTAGGTGTTGTTCACTTTTCATTTCTATATGTAAATCCCCTCTAAAACTAGACATTCTATTATACTTATGTATTTATTAAGTTCTATTGAACCTGTGCCAACGAACCAACCCGTTTGAACATCTAGGTTCAAAAAGAATATTGACTGTGCATCTAGTTCGACAAGGAAATCCTTGTTAAATTCTCTTTAAACGTTAGGGTGTCTTCCTGACTAAATTCCATGTCAATTCCAATGAGAAAATTGAACAAACAGAATCCTAGAAACAGATCCTCTTGTAGCGTCATTGTTCAAGTCTATTTTGAGACAAAAGTCTCAATTTATTTCTTGATTTTAATCCTTATCGAATACTTTGAATTCCAAGAAAAACACTTAGCAAGCAAACAAAGCAGTGCTTATTTGAACAAACAGGCATGCTTCCCATGAAATCCATTGAGCAAACAAATACGAGAAATAAGTCCGACTCCTAGAAACGTGAGTCAATAGACCCCGAACCCTACACCCTAAACCTGTCCATTCCAGGCTGAGGTTTGGTCAGAAGGTGCAAAAGCTACGTTGGAAAGATCAAAAAAAGTAAAGTCATGGAGCCAATAGCCCAAAGGTAAAAGCGTAAAGTTCTGGAGCGAATGACCCAGAAGTGAAAAAAACAGGTGGAGCCAATGGGCCAAGAGCAAAAAAGAAATTTCTGGAGCCAGAGGCCCAAAAGTTAAAAATTAAGAAAAAGAAAAACAAACCAGCTCATGGTCCTGAAGTAAAATGCTTTGACCATGGACTGAAAGTTTTTCTTTTCGTTTGTATTTTACTTTTTAGTTTTTTTACATTGTACTTGTAGGTCATTCGCTCCAGCATATTACCTTATTATTATCAGTATTTTTTTGTTTTTTTTATTCTTTTGGGTCACTGGCTCCAAAATGTTTCTTCTTTACGTTTGTCACGTTTGGGTTGGAAATGCGCCTTTTGTTGCTGCTTTCCCCACAGCCCCAAAAAAAGGCACAACACACTGCACATACCAGTGAATTCTCAAGGAAGGTAGATCCATGGGGGGGGGGAGTGTTATATATATATATATATATGTATATACATATATGTATATACACATTGAGTGGCATCTTGAGTCAACTGCCCCTCCCGGGGCATTGGTTTTGGAGATTGGGGGCTTCTAAATGTTTGGTTCCAAGAGGAGCGCCGGAAAACCGAATTCAAACCCCAAGCCACTGATCCAAACCATCACTGAAGGTGGGCTGGTTATGAAAAGTGGAACACCACCTGTTTGACATACAGCCCTGGAATGCCTCAAAAGTGGGTTTGATTAGTGCACCACCCGAAACCATTTGGTGTCCTTTTTTGGTTTGCCTTCAAAACCGACCGGCGGAGTGGCTTTCAAAAGGATGACCAAAAAGAGCGCTTGTTGTGTTGTCACAGGGCGTTCGAACCCAAACAATCGAGGTTTTCTTGTGTTGTCACAGGGCGTTCGAACCCAAGCAATCGAGGTTTTCTTGTGTTGTCACAGGGCGTTCGAACCCAAGCAATCGAAGGCACTTCTCTTTTTCGGGCCTGCTTTCATGTGCCCCGGCGAATTCTTGTTTGATGTGTTTCTTTTGGGGGGTTGGTTCTACTGGAACACCAACAGGAAAACCATCATTTTGGGGGGGTCCTCTGTGGTTCCTAGGTCTGAGGAGAGCTACTGGAACACCGAGCGGGGCGAGCCACTGAACGAATACGGCCGCGCCTGGCCCAAAAATCCACCACCAGGGGGCCTCCCTGAGTTCGTGGACTTGGCACTTTTAGGGTTTGAACCATTTTTACCGGCCACCAACAAGTTTGGTTCTTTCTGTTGGCTAACCCGCTCAGGAAGTAAGAGTTTTGGTCCATGTTTCTACCGATCGGTCAGGCCAGCTTGGGGTTACTCAGGCCGCCCCGAGTTTGCGGGCTGCTTGCTGATTGGTCACAAAGAAGAGGCCATGACTTGGAAGGGTAAAAGCCGGAGAGTAGAAACCGGAGAGTTTTCCCGGGGTTTCCCTTGAATCTACCAAGAGGCTGATGGTTTTTCGTCAGGCCAACACATTTCCCAATGGCTGGAAACCCAAAGGGTTGCTGTCGAAGGCCCAAAGGATTGGGAACCAACAAGTCCCAAGGCACCCATTCGCCGGGATCGGTTAGATGGGCCTTGGATCCTCTGGCTTGGTTCCTTCTCATCCAGAATCCATCTCTTTCCACGGGTCGGGAAACCTGCTGGCCGGAACTTGCAGGTGGGTTGGATTAAGGAACCCCAACCCACCGAACTCACCACCGGGATGCAAGCTAATTTTCGCAGGAGAAGGGGAGGGCAGGATGAGGGGGCTGCGAAACAGACCGTAAGTGCCACAGTTCGGGGGGCGGGGATTGACGGACTCTTAACACTTTTGGTGGCTTGGTAGTCCTGGTGCGCTTCTTTTTAGCCACGCGATTTGGCGTTTTCGTTTTGCTTTTGACTTGTTTCGCTTTGTATCATATCGTATCGACTTGCTTCGCTGTTCGTTTTGTTGCTTGCTTGACTGATTGTGTGTTTGATTTTCGAGTTTCTTCCGGACTGATGAATTTCCACTAGGGCGTCTTACAGGGTTTCCGCTTCCCTTTTGGAACTTTTTGAAGTGGCGATCGGTTCAATGGACACCACCCGTAAATGTTTCTTTTCTTGAAGGGAAAACCCCTGGTGACCCCAAAACACAAGGGCCTCTTTGCAACCCTTTCAGGCTTGCAGTCTGAAAGCAAAAGATTCGATTCCAGGCCGCCAACCCTGAGGTTCAGTGTCTGGATATCCTTTCGAGAATTAGTCGGTGAAAATATCAGAGCTATATGTCCCATGTACTAGCCATGTACTACACCCCCCCAAAACGGCTTCTTGTTTCCCCGTGTGTTGCCTTGCGCCAAGGCGTTGAAAAGGGGAGTTCCCAACTCCAAACCACGCCGTGGGTTGAACATCCGAGTCTATGCACATGATACTGGAGATGTTCTGTAGGTATGTTCGGCGTGTTGGATCCCCCCAAAAGTGGCACTTTTAGTGGACACCAACAAGGTCCAGCTTTTGATTTCTGCAAATCCAGCGCCTGATGTTTGCAGCAGCGAAACATCACAGAAAAAGTCGGAGGAAGCACATCTGGGTGTTTCTCAACAGGAAGGCAGTTTCCATCTTGTTTTTGTTTCCCTTTCAAACCCATCCTTTCAAAGGATCCTATGAGAAACCCCCACGTAAGCCCTCCAAAAACTGACCAGCCCCCCCCCAAAAAAAAAGAAGAAGAAAAGCTGACGCCCTCCAAAAACCGCTTTACACAGCTCTCGCGCCCCTGCAAAGCCTATTGCCCAGGCAGCCGCATGGGCTGGGGGGACTCCTTGCCCGCCTTTCTGCGGCACCAGAGCTTCTACGTGCGCTGCGGCCCAGCCAAGCTCTACAGGTGGGCCCCTGACCCTCGCGTGCCACGGAGGGAGGGACCCGCTTCCGCGGCGAGCTCACTGAGCTGGGGGGAAGACGAGCTGCCGTACAGGATCCTTTCCGTGGGGATCCCATTCGGAAAGTTCCAACTTTGGGAATTGTATAAAATTTGCGGATATGGTTCATTGGATGGCGAAATCCGGAGATAGCACCACGAAGTGAAACGATGGTTGACACCACAACGTTTGTCGGTGTTTACGTTGGGGAATCATCAGGTGGTGCAGGATTTCGTCCATCTGCAGTAGAGGTCATTTCTATATTCAATAATGATAACCAGCAAGGTAAAGCAAGCATGGAGCAGTGTTTGGGGGTGATAGGAGCAGGTAGTCTTCGCCTACTGGTGGAGCGGGGCTTTCTATATGTCGAACCACATTGTACATGTCCCCTCGTGATTTTGAACGCGAGCTTTCGGAAAGGCCACTTCAAGTGATGCCAATCTTAAGCCAGAAGCTCACAATCTGAAAGCACTGGACTCCGAGTGTCAGAGTGTCTAATCCAATGTTGCTCTCTCACGTGAAGCGGCTTCCGAATCGCTGGCCTGCGAAGGCTTCGCCCAACTCGACTCTTGATGGTTGATGATGACTTGATCCTGGTTTACACCATTCTAGGGGTTGATTCTCCATTCTTTTCAACCATGGTTCTTTTCAATAAACAGCTGTTTCCCCTGGGGTTCCGATGGTTTTCTGGAAAGAAGGATCCCTGGAAAGAATGGGGCAGTGTCCCCTAGAGCCATTTTCCTACAAAGGGGACTGGGCCCCGAACGTCAGGTTCCGGCTGTTAATTGGTGGGAGGGTACCCTTTCTGGTTGGTCTTAAATGAACACCAAAAGGAAAGCAACCATTTTAGGGGGGCCAACCTACACGCAAATGAGATTCCCCTCCAGACTCATATCCCATTTAGTTGTGACCCATACCCGTTCCCCACGACCCCCCTGGCAAAAGACACACCATGAGATTCTCAAAACAAGGACCCCCAACTGAAGACCAAAACGAACGCAACCATTTTACTTGGTGGCTCCCAGTCATCCCCTTGGCTTTTTAGCCTTTTAGTGCTTAGTGGTAGTTTCCAATCAACCCACTAAAGGTTAAACTTTTACCGGGGGATCAGAAAACGGACAGCCCAGTTTAGGGGGGCCAACCTTACAAAGACCCAAGGATCCTCAGGGATCCCACATGAAATGTCCCCCAATGCGAGGGTCACCTGTTGGACACCTGTTGGACATCGGTTTCCCCATCCAGGCCGGGCGGACAGAGCTTCACGGATCTGCCACCAGAGAACGCCACGGCCAAGGAGGGCGGGCTGTGCCTCGTCAGAGAGGTGTGCGTAGGTCTTACCAGGTTTTGGGTTTCCTTTAAGGGCGTCCTGTTTTTTTTTCTACCTGTATTTTTGTGCCTTTTGCCTGCCACAGTGTAGGTTTCCTTGTTTTTGCCTGTGTGTTTTTTTGGTTTCCTACCATCTTTTTTAAGTGGCGAACTGCAAGCTTTCGAAGCTGTTGCGTAGGAAGACATGGGTTGTTGAAAACAGCCCAGTTCTAATTCAGCGTGGTCCTTGCTGGGTGGCTGGCTTGGGATGGTGAGTGCTTTTGGACCCACAGTGTGGTTTTCCTTCATTTCCTGTTGGTTTCCTGTTGGTTTCCTTTGGTTTCCCATTTTAAACCAGCCGTTTTTCAAGGGTATCCAAAGTGAACCAGGTCCTTTTGATTGGTTAGTTTGGTACAGTTCCACTGGCTTAGAAATTGGTTTGATGCCTCATTTATCCGGCAAATTCATTTGCTTTACCAAAAGGACCTACGCTATCGCCTCTCGTTGTGCTTCTTTTTTGTTTTTTTTGGCCTGTGTTTTGTTGTCTCCGGTGGTCGCGTTGAAATATTTGTTGTTTGTGCTTTGCGTTTTGTTGTTTCTATTCTCGGTTTTGAGTTTGCTTATTCGTGTTGCTCGTTGGTTGTTGCTTTGCAGTCTTATGGTTTGAACACATTCAGTTTGCCTTTTCCCGTGCTTGGTTTTGCTTCTCTTCGGCTTCTTTTGTTAGTTTCTCATCTTGTGGTTAGTTTGTTCCCCGCCCCCCCCCGACCCCCGCCCTTAGTAGCGGGGGGGCGGGGTACGTGGGGGTGTTGTGTTTCTGTTTGCGTCCCAAGGATTGGACACTTTGCTTGCCGTGGGTCACAAAGGAAGGCCTTCCTTCACAATTTCATGATGGCGTGCACGGATGAGGGTTAGGTGTTGCGTTTTTTGAACAGGTTTCAGATACTTTGGATAGACGAACTCCTGCGCCACCTAAGAAACCTGGAAGGATTCGATTTCCCAACGTAAATACCAACAAACGTTCTGGTTTCAACCATGGTTTCAGTTCAGTGCGAAGGGATTTCGCTTTTCCATGCGTTTCCAGCCACACCGTCTTGCAAGACGGGGAAGGAAGGCGTTCCCCTCCAGTGTCGCGCAAATTTGTCGTTGAGGAGGTTTCCTTTTAGCCTCAATGCCCAAAATGGGGGGGGTCTTTGGTTTTGCAATGCGGAACTACCAAAACAGGGCTGCGATTTGCTTTTTTTCCCCACGGAGGTTTGAGCCTGTTTGAAGGAAACCAAAAGGACACCACCATAGGCGTCCTTCGTCGGTGAGTTTGGGGACAGTCTTCGATGGACTCCACTGGTGTAGATTGGTTTTATCCATTTACCAGGGGAAGTCCATCGATTTTACCGAAGCGGCGTTAAGGGACCCCCACCCTTTTTGGGCTTCGGATTCCTTTGAGCCACGTTTTTGATGTGATCCGGCGCGGATGTCTCATCCGAGGCTCTTCCCAGAGATCTTCCAGGAACCCGTTTCTTCGGCCCCGATGTGTTTTTTTTCGCGTGGCGCTTCGGGTTTTTTGCTGGTTGTGTGGGTGGGGGAGGGTGATTTTCGGGTTTTTCGGTTTTGCCGGAACATCGGCTCCTCAGCAGACAAGAGAAAGCGGAAAAACGCCGTTTGCGGCTGGAAGAGGTTTCGTCTGGTAATGTTTGAGGGGAAGTATAGGGGGCCCTGAGTTTGGGCCAAATGGCAAATTGCCATTCGAAGCCTGAACAGACAGCTTCCTGACACGGCCCTCTGTCATTCTTCGAATGCATTCGCACATTTTTCGGGGCTGCAGGGTGCATCCCAGTTCGAATTCGCCTGAAGGAGCGAGCCATTTGTTTCCTCGTGGCAAGTGGCGGTTTTCAAAGATAAGTTGTTTTTGTTTTTGTTGGACACCAATGATGCTGGTGACGCGACTCGCGATGCTAGTAATGCCCGCGACTCGCGATGCTGGTGATGCCCATGATGCTCGTAATGCTTGCAATGCGCGTGATGCTGGTGGTGCTGGCAATGCTGGTGGTGCTGGCGATGCTGGTGATGCTCAATGCTGTGTTAGCCTGACAAGCCATTTTCCCTGCTTCCTGGATCAGCACCACTTTCACCAGCATTGCGAGCATCGTAGCCACCACCAACATCGCAAGCATCACGAGCATCACAAGCATCAGCAGCATCGCCGGCATCGCAAGCGTCACATCATGAGCATCACCAGCATCGCAAGCATCACCAGCAGTTGAAGAACACTCCAATGTGCTTTGTTTGTTGGCCCAGGCTGTCAAGTGATCCCGGCATGGGCAAACTGACTTTGTGCACACCTTAGGGGGCATCATGTTCTTTCCTAGGAGACAAGGTCCCATGGAAAGAGCCCCCGGTTGTTCACGTGGTGTGATGGGCTTTTGAATTGGATGCGGCCCAATAAGATAAGTGGTTGTTCGATCTTCAATAGGCGCTTTTTGTGTTTTGACCGAAGGTTTTGTTGATGCCTCACCCGGTTCTGGGCTTTACGGAACAGATGCCGGGCGATGTGAAGTTCTCGCCCACCGAGTGCGGTTTCTACATGGGGCGCCCTCCCCTTAATGCGGACCCCAGATTAACAAACTCAGTTTATTGTTAGTGGGGTGTTCCACTCCAAAAGTGGTCTGAATCCCCACTAAAACCAGGGACACCCCCATATTAAGAAACAAGGGTTTACGTATCAATGTGGGGTCATCATTCCAGGGTACCTACATGGGACCCACTGTCAGACTGTCAGGTGCCATGTCACTAGACTTGTTGGTTTGGACCTTCCTTTGTAGTGAAGACATGGCTTAGACTTCTTGGCCAACCCACTCAGGAAGTCTAGGATATTTCCAGTAGAGTCCCTTTGGGAGGGAGATGTGAGCACGAGCTCCAAGAGTCCCTTCCACAATTCGAGGGAGCAAGCCCACGCCCTGCAGGGATCGGCGTTTTCGCAGCCTTGGCCAGGGGAAAATTGTTACCTGCACAAGTCGTTGGGAAGAACTGGTCCCAAGCCCAAGCTTTCAGTTTCCCGCAAGAAAGAGGTGGGGGGCTTGTTGCTCCAAGCTTGCGGCGATATCAGAGAAGCGGTTGTGTCATGGGGTTGATTCCTTTTCCATTCTTGCCAACCATGGTTCTTTTCGAAACCCGGACGTTTCCCTGGGTTTCCCGAGGTTTTCTAAGATTCGGATCCCTGGGTTCAGAATGGAAAATGGAAAAGCTAGCACTCGCGTCAGTGGCTCGCGGCTCGCTCGCGGCTGGCGGCTCGCGCTCGGCTGCGGTTCGCTTGGCAGGAGGACCACTTCGAGCTGAACAGTATGGACCCTGTACTCCAGGAGCTCTACACCAACATGCTCAAGCTGCTCGTGTGGGCGTGTGGGGTCGGGAAGAGGTGTAAGATGACCGCATTGGAGGTGCACCACGGAGTGCTGTTTCTTTTTGTTTCTTCTTTGTTTTTCTGTTTTTAGGGCACCCGTTTTTTTTTGGCGATTTTAATGGACACCAGAACGAAACTACAATTCTTGAGGTTAGGAGGGTGGGGAGTTTGCAGAGCTTGGTATGCTAGGGATCTTGCCCTAGGGAAGCTACTCAAAATAGCTCCAAAGCATAGACCCATGTTTGGTTACCATGACACCAAAGCTTTTCCTATCTCTCTCAAAAGCATAGCCCATAGCCCATGTGCTAAATCGGCCCCTGAGACACGGGCCCTTGGTAAAAACTGGCGACGTCAAACCGTGTGACTCTCTTGGGATGGCTTGGACAAAGGCAGCAACACAAAACAGAAGGAACGCATTTCTGCGCCAGGTTCCTCATGGCCTTTTCGTCACCAAAGGCCATCGCTAGACCACTCCAGAAAGGGAGAAATATGGGTCTGTCTATTGGGGACATCTGTCCCATGGCCACCCCAAGGCTCTTTCCGGTTATCCCCCAGTGAACGGGACCCAATCCAACCACTAAAATAGGTTCTAAAGTGGGTGGTGAATTTACCTATCCCAAAATGGGATCTCATTGGTTTTGACCCACAGCCATACAGGGTGGTCATTTTGCTCCTTGTCTGGACCAGCGTGGGCTCCACACCTCTTCGCTGATTTTCCCACTGGGATCGTTCCAGTTCGGTCTGCAGTTTCAGCGGTTTTTCCTGAAGAAGCCAGGCAGAGAGCTCATCTCATTCAGGGCTTGGCAGGCGATAGCTCCTGGTGCCCTGGCCGGTGGAGGTGTGTCGCAGGGCCATCGTGACTAGGTCCCCCAGTAGTGCCCTTCTCTCCCATTGTTGGGGGAGGGTTCCCCTAGACTACAGAAAAAAGGGTACCCTTATTCTAACCTCTCTGAAAAACCTAGCTGAAATGCCATGGGCGCAGCCAAGCAAAACGATCTTGAGGTTCTGGATCGCGGAGGTGGACATCGATGGGTACCGAATCACCGCGGCGGCACACGTCACTGCCGATTTCACGGCGGGGGGTGGGGGGGTGCGGTGCGGTTTCGGAGTAGAGCTGAAAACATGCGGTTAGCGGCACATGCAGATGTGTGTGTGCGTGTGCGCGTGCGTGTATATATATATATATATATATTGTATATATATATACACATATGCATATGTATGTATACACACATATATATATATATATATGTTCACGCACACATATATGTAGCATATGACAATATGTTTCAGGAGCACGATAGTACTGATAATGCTACTAATGAAAGTGATAATGACCATATTATGATGGCAATGACATTGACAATGATTATGATAATACTAGTGATAACGATGATGATGATGATGATGATGATGATGATGATGATGATGATGATGATGATGATGATGATGATGAACATGATGATGATGATGATGATGATGATGATGATGATGATGATGATGATGATGATGATGATGATGATGATGATGATGATGATGATGATGATGATGATGATGATGATGATGCTGATGATGATGATGATGATGATGATGCTGATGGTGGTGATGATGATGATGATGACGACGAGGATGGCGATGACGATGATGATGATGATGATGATGACGATTATGATGATGATGATGAGGATGATGAGGATGATGAGGATGAGGATGATGATGATGATGATGATAATGATGATGATGATGATGATGATGACAATGATAATGACAATGACACTGACTACAATGGCAATGGCAATGAACATGTTACTGATGATAATCATATGATTATTGCAATGACAATTAATCACCATGATCATGATAAAGAAAGATGCGATAGCCGGGCAGCAAGCGCATTGGTGTCCTTTGTAGGTCAGTTTGGTTGGACATACAACCATTTACCCGCTTACCAATGAGCAAACGAGCAAAATGTAGGTTTCCAATCATCAGCCAGCGCAGAAAAGTTCTGGGGTCTCTGCCGAGAAAAGCTCTGGGGTAGTTCGGGGCAGATTTCAGGGAAGGTTCCGGAGATTCGGTTCCGGAGATTCGGTTCTGCCGTTGGGGATACCACCTGAGCATTTTTTTGCTCCAGGCCTATTTGTCGACGCACCTGCGATTCTACGCGACAGCCCTGGGCAAGGAGAACTTCTACATCGTGGGGGAGGTGGACCAGGCGATGTCCGATGATCGGTCCGGGTACGTCTCGGCCAACATCTCCGCTGGGGGTGTTTTTTGTGTTTTGGAGGCTAGCCCTGTTCTGGTGGGTTTAAAGGGAACCAGAAGTTGAAAACCACCGAGTTGGGAGGGGGGGGGGGTCCTCTAGAAAAGGACAAACGGTTTAAGGATCGCCCTGCCTTGGGGACAGAAATGGTATGGGAATTGGTTTTATTACCCTTTTGTTTCCAAAAGGGTCACCTATGGCCGGTTCGTGTGGACTGATGAACAAGGCGCCCCACTACGAGGGGGCTCCTTTCCTAAAGCAAAAATGTCGAATCAGGAGGCTGGCTGAGGTGCGAGGAAACTACGTGACCGGTTGCAAGGAAGGACCCCCAAAGAACGGCGGGGGAAAAGCCCCCGGAAGAAACGGCTCCAGCCAATAGAAGTGGGGAGTCTCCCTTAAAATAAGTGGGAAGGGGTATGAATCAGGGGTCCACATGAAGTGCTTTGGGGTTTCGGCGGGCGGTGGGGGGCGAATTGATTGGGTGGCTGAAAGTGGCGGGTTTGGGCATTTTGGAGTTCTCAATTGATTGCTTTTCGGATTTAGCGGCTTCAATTGAAACAACCATCGGACGTTTGGTTGAAGTTAAAGGGCCCAAGGCAAAAAACGTCTTGGCCTACTTTGCAACCTGCAGGTAGGGCGAGGAACAACGAACCTCAAGTCACTGGATTTGTGCATTTTCATGGAACATAGCTGTGAAGGATATGGCAAAGAGCAAAACGGTTCTGGGTTTAGGGGCTTAGTGTTTGACTTTCCCAACCACTTGGCCAAAATTCAAACTGTCTTCAAGGAAGCTGCTTGCAGGTTGAAAGGCGAAAGGTGAAACTGCAACATCCATTCTCCCCCCCCCTCCCAGCCACTTACTGGGTCCATTGGTGTGGGTCCCTAGCCGTTCACTCCCTCAAAAGTGGACCCTAAACAGCGGTCCCTGAAAAAAAACAGGCCTTACAGGGACCCCCTTCAAGTTCCATCGCACATGGGTCTGTCTGTACGCCTTTTGATGGTTTTGAAGGGGAACCGAGATCCACCGGCCACGCTTACTTCGATCCCCAAATCGTAGATCAGAACTCGAAGAGTTCGGGGTGCAAGGGCCTTGGTGTTTTTCCCTTCCTTTCTTGTGCGCCCTTTTTGGGAGTGGGTCAAAAGGACACTGGGGCTTTTGCCCCCAAAGTTGTGTCCCTACTCTTTGCTTTTTTTCTTTGGCTTTTTGAGAGAACGGTGGAAACCATATGTGTCCAAAGCCTTCGTCTGGCCAGAACATTGCCGGGTTCCACGGCTTTGGCTTGGTTTCAGTGCCTACTTTCTCCGGGAACATCCATCGATTTTTTCGCCAAAAAGGACGCCTAGGTTGAAACCGACTCCCCAACTGCAGCTCTAAATCCATCGGTTTATTTTCGCTCAAACAGACGCCTCAGCTCTGACATGCTCTGACCCCTCAACCCCCCACCCCCCAACCCCCCTCTCAAACCCCCCCAACCCCTCTCAACCCCCCAACCCCCTCAACCCCCCACCCCCCAACCCCTTCCCCCTCCCAACCTTCGACTCGGTTTCGAGCGGAGAGGCCTCCACCCCTTACGGGGCCAGCTACCTGGGTCGGGTGCAGCCTGGAGAAGGCCCGCAGCTGCTGCCCAAGCGTCTCGTCGAGAGAAAACGGTCCTTTTTTGTGAAGGTAGGTGTGTGAATTTGTGTTCTAGGTCCCCCAGCTGGGTGCCCTTTCTCACCAGCTTTTTTGGTTGGGAGGGTTCCCTACTGAAATAGACTACAGAAAAAAAAAGAAGGTACCAACTGATTCTAACCTCTCTACTGGAGGACCCAGTGTTTTTGAGGGTACGGTTTAGGTTTTTTAGCGTGTGTTTGAGTGGTACTTCTTAGGTTGGTTTGCTTTGGCTGGATTTCTACGGTTTTGTTTTCAACAGCTGAAGGCTGGGTCCAGCCGATCGGCTCTGGGCTAGGATTGGTTCCGGGTCTTGCCGACTTTGGCTGAAAGTTTGGGCCTGAAGTCGGCAAGAAGAGGGAAAAGTCGGAAGAGGGAAAGAGAACCTAAGAGAAGAAGAGGGGACCTCAGGGAAGCCCAAGCCCAAGCTTTTGGGGGGGTCCGCGTGGCGACTGAAGAACTGAACCGCCAGCAGAGTTAAGGTTGCAGAAGAGCTCGCACGGAAAACGGCGAGAAAATAGGTTTATGCCAAAGGAATTGTCCAATGGCGCAGGTTGTAACCATGATTATAAACCGGACAGCCCTATTTAGGGTATGAACATGGTTGTCATCTACTTGCCTGAGGTGGTTTTGATATCCAAGTAGACAGCAACAGGAGGACCCATACTATTTTCCCCCGAAAGGACACCAACAGCGTATTACATCTTCCAGACACTGAAATTGTTCGGAAACAAATGATCATCCCCCCCAAAAGAGAAGAAGAAGAAGAAGAAAAAAAATGAAGAAGAAGCAAACACAAATCAACAACAACTGACATGCCTTCCACAAAAACAACCACACACCTTTGCAGGAGCTGCGCCTTTGGGAGAGTTCCTCTTATGAGCCACAATCAAAACCCGGGTAGATGAAGGTTAGTAAGGGGCAGTCTCAGCCAGAAATAGTTGCGGCCGCCTTCGTAATTCTTGAAGCATGTTTCTGGGATTACGACCATTTTAATACCGCCTTTCAATACCGGGTTTTGATTGTGACTCTTGTGGGTAATGTTGACCCAGGATTAATAAACCCGTCCCATTATTAGGAGGGTGTTCCCTCCAAAAGTGGTCTGAATCCCCACTAGAAGGGGACACCCCCGATCAAAATCAACCAGGGGTTCTGCTGAATCCAGGGTTATCATTGCGCACAAGAGTCGCAATCAAACCCCGGTATTAAAGGTCGTAATCCCAGAACCATGCTTCAAGAGTTACGAAGGCGGATATGCGCAGCTATTTATGGGTTTCTCCCGTTGAGGCTTTGAACCCCCCGAAGTTTTCACTGAGGAGGGTGCAGGGCGTCATGGAAGAGCTGTGCCAGCCGCTCGCCTTACACGAGTTGGGCCGGCTGGGGGGGCGTGCGGGGCGCACGCCTTGGGGGTTCCCAGATGTTGTTGGGTTGAGGTTTGATTTCAGGTTTGGACTGATGGAGTTTGCTTTGGACAGTCGAAAGCCTTTGGTTCAAAACTCGGTCGAACTTTTGGGGCTTCCGTAAAACCAAACGGAGTTCCAGCCGGTTACAGATCCAGGGCTATGAGCCTCAAAGTTCCCCAACTCTGGCGCTGGGTAGCCATGGCTTTTTCCCCTGAAAACCATGCAGAAAGGGACCCCCTAGTTTCGTGGAAGCAGCTCGGCAAATGCCATGGTGCAACCATGTCCAAGCTCTGTCCCAGTCACAAGTTTATGATCTAAGTGGGAGAAAACAAGAATACTAAGTGGTAGGACTGAAAATCGAATGTCTCAAGTCGGGTACTTCCCCGCCTGTGAATGCCCTTGAAACCGCTTGGCCGGTTGATCAGCGTTCGTTCCCGTGTGTTTTGCTGGATGATGCCCTCCCACCAAGCAACAAGGAACCTGGCGTTCGGGGTCCTTGTTTGGACCATTTTCCTTTTAAAGGGACCTCCTGATAGGTTCCATGTTAATTGGGAGGAAACTGAACTGGGGAGTCAGACCACTTTAGGGGCTTGTCCCCACCCCCCTATGACTAAACCTGGGGTTGATGGTCAACATTCATGTGGCTGGGTCAAAACCAATGGTACCATTTTGGGGTAGGTGAATTCACCACCCATTTTCGAACCTATTTTAGTGGTTGGATTGGGTCCCGTTCACTGGGGGCTAACCGATTTGGATGACCCATGACCATGTGATTGCTTTAGCTTGCTCCAGCGTGAGAAATCGTGGTTGGCCTTCAGCCTGGCAAATCCAAATTGCTGGGCAAACCCTCCGGGTTTCCTGACACTCCCATCTCCCCCTGCAACAGCAGGTCCGCACAAGAATATCATTGAGACGAAAGCCAAAAGACATGTAAGTTACCAAGCATGATTTTGAGCAAGACCCATATGGGGTGTGTGTTTTTTAGGGGACCGGGGACCTCTCAAAGGTTTCTTTGAAAAGGGGTACACCCATACAGTCTAGAACAAAAAAGGTACTATTTAGACAACATAATTGGGATGAAAGCGAAACAAGCATTTGAATTAACAAGATAGATTTTGCGAAACTCGTTTTGCCCAGAAAATGTGGGTTCCTCTTGAGGTACTACAGCGCCTTGCCGCAGCAAAGCCCCGGGCTGCTGTCCAGCTATCCCCTGCAGGAGGCGGATCGTCGGAGCTTGCGAGGGGCCCACGTGTGGGTCTGTGTTTTTTTTGGGAAGCCTTTTTTTGGTGGGTTTTGAGAGGAGCGTACAGAAAGCCACTTTCTGCCTTTTTGTGTTAGGGGGGAGTCGTTTTTGTTTGGCCTGGCCGACCTATGGGTCTGTCATTTTGTTGGAAACCCGTTTTGACTGGGTGTGCGAGGAACATACGAGGAACACATGTCTTGTTCTTTTTCTTTCTTTTTTTTTTTTGGGGGGGGGGGTAATATAAGGGTCTAAACAATCAGAATGGGATTCAGGGGGACTTTAAGACTAAATTCAGCGGCCATAGCCATAGCAACGTAGCTGCATAGTACAGACTTCTCAAAAAGCTGTAAGTTTGCTTTTATGCAGAAGCAATGCACCATAGCCTAATTCAAGTAGTTCCTGAAAGGAAACCTGGTCCCAACTCCTTCGAAGCGGCGCAACTAGCTGCGGGCACCTACAGCCGAGCGATCCGATCGTGTTCCTTTTGGAGCGGCACGGGTTCTTTGCCCGGAGAGATATGGGCGGGTGTGTGAAACTAGGGAGCTCTCAAAAATGGTGGCTTCCCTGTTGGTTTCCCTTTTAAACCAACCAAAAACGGGTTCCCCCAAAAAAATGACACACCCAGTTCTGTGTCAACGAGAAAGACTCGGCAAACATATTCGGGTGGCCCGTCCTTTTTTTAGGCTGGCTCCTGGGAAACAGGTGGGACACCCACCATTTTGCATCCCCTAATTTAGAACCAACCCATATGTGTCCATAGTCAACCGACCATACTTTCAGTAACCAAGGCCCCAAAACGATCAATACTTTCTCTCATTGCCAGACTTAGCTTACCTTATTATTTTTGCCTTTTCGGGTTCCATCATTTTACCTGTTCAACCAGCAACAGTTTACCTTTTTGAAGGGTGTCTAAGTCTGGTCATGCTTTGACTTCCCTTTAAACACCTCCAAAAAGTGGGTTCTCAATCCAACAGATGCACCCGTGTTGTAATATGAAGCGACCCACTAGCCACCAGCTTGATCCTTTCCTAGCCGAAGGTTTCCCAGTTTCACCCTCTATATAAAACTCTTCTTGTTTGGTGAGCTACTTAAAACTCCAGGGTCACTTTGGCAGAGACCAGCTTGGTCTGCCAGAAAAAAGACTGTCTAGGCGTACCACATCCGCAACACCGTGCTCATGGGCGGAGAACATGTGACTCGGAATGAGTTGCAACCGGTGAGGGACTTCTGTGTGCCCATAGGGGGGCCAAGAGGTCCACCATTGAGCTATCACGGGGGTACAGTAGTTCTCAGGCGCCCCCCCAAAAAATTGGGGACTGTTGATAGATAACAGGCTGTTTCTTTCTCCGGAGACGGGGCTTCAAAAAATGGCCCAGAGGGCTTGCCAACCGCTGGGGTCAGTCGCTGAGTCCCTGGAAGAAGGGACAAGGCTGCCAAATGGCAGGCGGCGTTTCTAGCTTTCTTGCAGGTCCTTGCGCTCTTTGCGTCTTTGCAGAGTAGGGCAGGGTTCCGAATTTTCAGGCGAGCGCCCTGTTGCTAAAGCTTTACTCCCTCTCCTTGGTACAAGAAAAACGCGGGCTCCACCTAGGTCTTCTTTTCGCCTCTCAAGACATTTCTGGCCGTTGTCAGTTTCGTTTTGGTGAGTAGTTGATGTGAGGCATTCCTTATCACCTGTGACGCAGGTTGATTCTGGTTGATTAACCCATTAATCCGGGTTCGTGCTAGGGTTGATTTATCCTTGGGGGGTGGGGGTGGGGGAGGGAGCGTTATGCTGCAGGAGAGCAGACATCAACTTGATATGCTACGCATTTCCAAATATTATACACAACTGTACGGCAAGGGACAGGACCTGGGGGGAGGATCGTGGCAAAGTCCTCTTGCAGAAACCAGAGAAGGAGAGCATGAACAATTCTCGCGTCGCCTCCGTTTAAGGCAGCGTCCCGGTTCTTGGCATGTGAAGGTTCTGTTGCTTTTTTTGCTGTGCCCACTTGTGAATTGGTCTGGGCTGCAATGAGTGACGTCTTTCGCGTGTCTTTGCTTCTTTGGGTCTCTGTTAATTTTGTGATGGGGGCTGCAAAGATCATGCCATTTAGCTCTTGGCTGCAAATGCAGGGGGTTAACATCAAACATACATGCACCCAGGCTTCCATCATAAATCTGTGTACAACCAAGGCATGTTTGTTTGTTTGCTTTTTTGTTTGTTTTGTGTTTCGTTTGGCATGTTGAATCACAGTCGATGATTCTGCGTGCACCAAACTTTGTTCATGGTTTTCCTACAACGGATGAGCCAAAGTCAGCAGTGATTCGAGAGGATCCTCCGAGAAGGTTGCTTTGTTTTTTGTATTTTTGTTGGGATTCCAGGCCATGGACCTGTACGAGAACAAGAACACCTTCGAGGCCAACTCGTGCGCGGGTGGGACGTGAGGAAGGAGCGTCTGAAGGGTCCCCCTGAAACTGGTCTCTTGATGTGCCTTTCGACAAGTGGATGGTACGGAAAAAAAGTAATGACGAGAGCCAAGCGGAGACCAGCGGAGGTCAAAAGCTGAGCTAAGGACACCTTGGAATGGGGTCAGGGATTTCTCTATGGGGCTCCCTTTGTAAATCTGAGGTTTACAAGCTTGACTCTGAAGCTTCTACCACGAGGATCGAGGTGCATAGGCCCAGATCGGCTCGGGAGCAGCTTTCAGGGAGGGTGCCTACAAGGGTCCGGGTTCTGGGGCTGGGCCCCGATACCACCTGAGCCTTAGGCTTAGGAAAACCAGGGAGCCTGGCAAGGCTTGTCTTAGAAAAAAGTAAAACAAATGCTACATGTTCCAATCCTGAGAATGAAACATGTCTGCGCGGTTCTAATGCTATAGACCTGAGCCTGCCCTCACAATGGGAGTTGCCCTGTGCCTTCTGGGCGAAGCCTTCAACCGTCGGGGCCTCAAATTCCAGTTTCTCAGCCCGCGAAATGCGCGGAGTTTGTTTTCCTTTCAGCACGAGTGCCAACTCTGAGAGCATATGGGTGTGCCCTCTCTTTTTTTGGGGCACCACCCCGAAAATTGTGGGTTTGTCTTTGGTTTCCCCCTTAAAATCACCGAACAAGGAGTACCCTCATCCCAACACGGAAGCCACCTCCAAAAAGGGGCTTTCCAATCAAACGAGACACGCGCACACAACAATCCGTATATCAAAGTCAAGTCGGAGTTATTGATGACCTGGGTTCCGAATCATTCGCCCGTTGAACAAGATTTTTGCCGAGCTCCTGAAGTTCAGATGAAGTTCAGTGTGGTACTTTTTGGGAGTTCCAGCCCGATTTTTCAACGGAAGCAGACTCAATTGTTGGGGGATGTGAACCCCTGGTTCTCGTCGGGGGTAGATGGGAAACCACCCTCTTCCTCCAAATCACAATGGTACCAAAAGCATGATACCAACTCTAAAAAGCACAACCTTTTGGGAAACATGTCGGATTTTCCGACTTGGACCCACAAAAAGTGGAATACTTTTTGCAGTGGGGTCGTGACAGCAACCAAGACTGGGATGCCCCGAAACTGACAAAATGGGGACCCCGAAACCAGGCCCAAACAGCCCAAACAGCCCAAACACTGCCCGGCCCAAACGGCCCGATCCATCCATCGCCTCGCTTTCGCCTTCGAAGGCGGTGCAGCGCTCCCGGGAGGCCTTGAGCCGTGGCCAGCCCGCGCTGGCGCTGGCGGCCGCGGAGTGCCTCGGACAAATCGATCCGCTGAGCCCGTGACCCGCGGAACCGACGCGACGTCCGGGCCGCGAGGCAAAGTAGGTCTCCCCAGCTAAGTGCCCGTTTACCTTTTTTTTGGGGGGAGGGTTGCCCTCCTAAAATAGACTTACAGAAAAAGTTGGTACCCTTATTCTAACCTCTGGAGGACCTAGATCAGGTATCCCTTAGTTGGTGGTTTGGACTGGTTTGGATTTGGATTCGAACCCCTGGCGTTTGTGGAGGGTAAATGGGAAGTGGAGCGTAAATGGGAAACCACCCGACCCCGTGCGACCGGTCGAACTTATCGGCCCGCGGCTGAGGTGTTGAGGGAAAGGAATTTGGAAAGTCCGGTTCGGTTTACAGGAACTTGGACATTCAACCGTCAGGTATCGTTTACATCGTCTCTTCACTGTTGTTTCCATGTCTTCGGGGTTTTCGGTTTTGTTTAAGTTTATCTGGGCTGCAAAAGAACCAAGTGCTTTTACTACCATACCAAGGGTTGGACAGCTGTGGGTGGATAGAATCCAGGAAAAAACGCGTTTGGGATTGGCATTGTGATTATCCCAGTGTTTTTTAGTTTTATCCATCCCAACTGGTGCCATTTTGTGGAGATCTTGTCTATCCAGGCGACGCGATCAAAACGGGGTCCGGGGGGGGGCCCATGCACCGCCGCGTGAGACCTGTCTTGAACATAGGCTCCGGGAAGCAAGCGCCGAAGGGGACACTTTGAATCCGCGATGCCAGAGTTGTCTCCGAGTGCCGAGCAACAAGTGCAAAGGGCCTCACAATTTGCTTCGAATAGCTTTTGGTTCGGTAGAGGGAAATGAAACCCCAAGCCCACGTTGAGGCCATGTCCCATGAAACAGCCTTCTTGGGCGTGTTGGCTTGTTTCATTTGGCTTGGACTTCCACAAAAAAAGAGCAACGTGATGTTTTTGCGTTTGGTCGTCCTCGAGAAACCAAGCCCCAAAAGGGGCCTTGGTTTGCCTTGCCGACCTCGGCTTGCCCCTGTGCGGCCAGGCGGCCAGGCGGTGTCTCAAAAACGGAGGGGGACACCCTGATCTGTGCTCGTTTTTTGGTGGTTTTAAAGGGAAACCAAAACGAACACCACCATTGAAAAATCACATCCCCTCGGTTTTGCAAGTGCTCAAAAGGTGAGCTGAAAGAGCTGTGTTCTTCATGTTCAGGGTTTTGACATGCAGCAGAACGGACGTTTTCAGATGGGTTAGGGCGGGTGAGGCGTCCGCATGAGCAACTCACAACATTGCTGGTCGACACAATGGTTCTTTCTCGAAACCAGATGTTAAGACCTCTTTTTCCCCCTCTTTTTTCCCCGGTTTTGTCAGGCCGTAAGACAATCCGTTTGCGGTTAGGGGAATCAGCGGGCCCCTCAAAGGCTTCGCCTTGATCTGCACCTTGCATTTCCAGGCATATTGCTTGTAGCCACCAAAGCAGCATACACCCCTTACACAAGTGGTACCAGTAGAGCCGTCGAAGCCGGTGGGCGGAAGTTTCAAAAGATATAAAACACTATAGTATTGTTTCTCTTTCTTTTCGTGTTTTTTCTTCTTCTTGCTGTTTGTCAACCTTCTTCTTTCATTCATTATTTCTTTCATTCTGTCATTATGTTATGATTTCTTTCTTTCTTTCTTTCTTTCTTTCTTTCTTTCTTTCTTTCTTTCTTTCTTTCTTTCTTTTTTTTCTCCTTTCTTTCTTTCTCTCTTTCTTTCTGTCTTTTGATCTTTATCTTGTCACCTCTCTTTCTCTGCCTACTTAGCAATGTATCTAGCTACATATTTGTCTATCTCTCTTTTTATATCTACCTATCTATCCATCCAGCCATCAATGAATTATCCTATCATCTATCCATCTATCTAATCTCTGTAGCCGTCCATCTATCTATCTGATCTATCTGATCTATCTGATCTATCTGATCTATCTGATCTATCTGATCTATCTGATCTATCTGATCTATCTGATCTATCTGATCTCTCTGATCTATCTGATCTCTCTATCTCTCTATCTCTCTGATCTATCTGATCTCTCTATCTCTCTATCTCTCTGATCTATCTGATCTATCTGATCTATCTGATCTCTCTATCTCTCTATCTCTCTGATCTCTCTGATCTATCTGATCTATCTGATCTCTCAATCTCTCCATCTCTCCATCTCTCTATCTCTCTATCTCTCTATCTCTCTATCTCTCTATCTCTCTATCTCTCTATCTCTCTATCTCTCTTCCTCTCTGTCTCTCTATCTCTCTATCTCGCTATCTATCTAGCCAGCCAGCCAGCTAGCTGGCTAGCTAGCTATCTATCTGTCCATTCATCTATCCACCTACCTACCTACCTGCCTATCTATCTATCTATCTATCCATCCATCTATCTGTCTGTCTGTCTATCTATCTATCTGTGCTCGATTTTCGGAACGCGCTGTGCCTGCCACCAAGTCCGCCTGACCTTGCAACAGTGCCACGCCCACGAAGTCTACGCATGACGTGAAGTGCTGCGCCTGCCACGCAAGCGAATGTGGCGACATCTTGCGCGCGTCGGTGCCAATGCCCCGGCTCCGAGCCTGCTCCGAGTGCTGTCCGAATGTGCTCTCCGAATGTGCTCCGACCACCCAACCCCGCAGAGGGTTGCATTTTGTAGAATTGTGTATTCCGCCACCACACGCGCAGGTTTTTTTTTTTGGCGCGCGCTGATTCTTTTGCGTGTCATTTGTAAGAGAGCCAGCTTTGAATTAGCTGGCATACTACGGACCCAAACTTGAAGGAGTATATATGTATATATAAATATATATGTATATGTATATATATATATATGTATATATATATATATATGTGTGTGTGACCTTTTTTCGGGGAGCCCCCCAAATGGATGGTCTGGTCTCCTTACTTCCAGCCCCAGACTCCTTGGCACGTCTCCTCCCGCGCGCGCGAGTGGCGCAAGTGGCGCGTGGCTTGTGAGGTCCCAGCGGATGCGGCGGCTGCTGAGCCACGCGCCGGGGGAGCTGTGGCGCCTGCAGATCGCCATGGCCTGGAGCTTCACCTGGCGCGATCTGAGACCCGAGGGGCGGCGGGAGAGGAACCCCAGCTTCTGGTCGGGGGGGGGGTAAATGGAAAATCACGTAAGAACGGAGGGGAAGGAGTGGGTGCCTGATGGCTTGAAAAAGGCTCGAGTCGCTTCCCATTTAGCTTGAAAGTTTTCGGTCCCCATTTTTTCCCGGCTATTTGGGAACGGATAGTTGGACGGGCTTGGGGGAGAGTGACCAATCCAATCAGCGCCCAATTCAGGGCTCTTCAATGGGAAGGCTAGGCCCAAGGCTTCATTTTGAAGAGGACGTGGATCCCGTTCATCGCGCCAACTGGCTACCCTCCCACCAGCTAACATGGATTGGTGCACAGACCCTGTAGAAAGACGACTTTCCTCTTGGAAAGGGCCTTTGCGCACTTCCATGTTAGTTGGTGGGAGGGTATTTGGCAAAGAATTTTTGGACTTTCGCTTTTTGGGAAACTTCCATTGGACCCACAAGAAGTTAAGCTTCTTGTAGAGGGGTCAACAGCAACCAAGAAAACCTGAAGGGATGATGGGGGAAACAGATATAGATTTTGGGCCAAACGGACAAAGCAACCTTTTTCACCAGACCAAAAGGAGGTTTCTGTGGTATGGCCAAAAAACTACGATCGTTCAAATCGTCGCCTTGTGAGCGCCCCTTGAAAGGGGAAGTCTCAGACCCCATTGGCCCAATTGGGCACGGCCGAAATGGTTCAACCTTGTGGCATCACTCTATCAGATTCTGCTGAGATACTGTGGATGGACGAAATTTATTCTGTACCACGGTTCAGAAACCCTGGTTTGTGATGATTCCCCTGTAAATTCCAAGAAACGTTGTGGTTTCAACCATGGTTTCATTTCGTGGTGCGAAATGGATGTCGCAATCATCCACAGTGGGGGTCACAACTCCGTCGCGTCTCACAGAGCACCCGACACGTCTCGCCGGAGGTACGGCATCCCGGATTTGGCCAGTGGCATCGAGCAGGGCCTGAACGGACTGTGCTACCGGAACGACCAGGCCCGGGACCGAAAAAGGGACCCTGTTGCCGACTGAGCCATCTAACCAACCAGAACCCCCAATTTTGGCCAATGACCCGATTTTTGGAGGGTCATGGAGTCTACCTTGTTGGGCGTGTAGAACCAAGAGCCAATTTTGGGCTGAGGCAAACTGGCGGTTTGAGGTTGCGACTTGAGTACCACAGCACAAGAGATGGCAAAGGCCAGACCGAGGTTTGCTTTGGATCAACCGCGCCTCTAGAAATTCCAGCAAACCTCACTTGCTGTGAGCCCCGGGTTTTGAACTGCTGCGGATGGACCAGATCCTAGTTGGTAGGCTTAGCATGGGGTTGCTTCCTTCCTAATTGGTGCCCATGGATTTTGTCCATCCACACGGTAGTGGATAGGAATGAACCACATGTTGGTTGGCCAACGGAACCTTCAAGGGGCCCAAAAGAGACGGCCCCCTGCGCTCTTTCAACGACATCAACTTTGGAATTCAATCCAGGAAGTGAGCGACTGGAAGCCGCCGTCGTGTACCCTGAGGGTCGTCCCCGATTGGCTGGAATGGAGTTTTGTGCTGCCCAGACGTCCATGGGGCATTTCTTGGGAGCCAGGAGGGGTACACCCTCAATGTGTGCTTCTAACTAAACTGCTGGACCCCCTTGTTTGGGCGGGTTGCGGAACCAAAAGAACACAACCGCTTTTGGGGTTCCCTTATTTTGGAATTTTGATAAACCCTAGCAATCAACGGTGAGTGAAGGTCCCTTCACCTTCAACCATACTGCGGATGGGCGCAATCCATTTCGCACCACCTAAGAAACCATGGTTGAAACCATAACAATAGTTGATATTTGCAGGTGCATTGAGTCATTCCAGGGACACTCCCTATCAAGATTAGGGGTTGCCCTCAGATTGGTTCACATCACCAGGTTTTGATCGATCCTTGTGAGGTCCAATGTGCCTTTAACCAGGGAGCCTTTCAGAGCTACCAGGAGTTCTGTACAACATGGCAGAATCAGCGCCAGCGTGTGGTTTTTCTCCTCGACTCAATCGAGCCACAAATCAAAACCGAGGTCAATGAAGGTTAGTAAGGGATACTCCCAACCATAAATGGGTGCCCTCGCCGCCTTTGGGATTCGGGAAGCATGGCTTTGATCGCTCAATTAGTGGCCATTTTTGCAGCTTCCAAACCTAGGTTTTCCTACAAACCTAGAGTCTCCGCGACCCTGAGAAAATGGGTTAATCCGAAAACCCTTACGTGGGTTGCAATAACCCCCGAACTTGCTCTTGCGACCTCGGCAGGGTCCATCCGAGAAATTGCTCATGACCCCCAGTTGCCCATTGGCGCTGTTTTCCCTTCTTTTTTGGGAAGGGTTCCCTTTCAAGCTCAACCAACCCAAAAAAGGAACCCCCTTTTTCTCAAGGCCGCCATTCCCAAACCCTGGGTCATTCCCTATTAAGCACCATGTGTTTCGGCTTTGAGTGGTTTGGCGCGTCTCAAAACCCTTCCGTGGGCGTTTTTGAACTCACAGCGCTGTCCGAGGAGCGCATGGAGATGAAAAAGAAGATGGAAGAGGAGCACATCCCAGGCGGAGCTCTCGGCGGATCGATCAATGGGGTTCATATGTAGCGATATATGTATACATAACACATATATGGGTGTGTCTTTTTTAAGGGGATCCTCCCCCCTCCACAAAAACAAGACAATGGTGGTGTTCCTTTTGGTTGTCCTTGAACACCACAAGCAAAAAATACAAACTCATCTATATATATGCATGCATGCACACACATACACATACACATACACATACACGTACCAATACACAAACACATACACATACACATGCACATACACATACACATACACATACACATGCACATACACATACATACGCACAGACACACAGACACACAGACACACAGACACACAGACACACAGACACACAGACACACAGACACACAGACACACAGACACACAGACACACAGACACACAGACACACAGACACACAGACACACAGACACACAGACACACAGACACACAGACACACAGACACACAGACACACAGACACACAGACACACAGACACACAGACACACAGACACACAGACACACAGACACACAGACACACAGACACACAGACACACAGACACACAGACACACAGACACACAGACACACAGACACACAGACACACAGACACACAGACACACAGACACACAGACACACAGACACACAGACACACAGACACACAGACACACAGACACACAGACACACAGACACACAGACACACAGACACACAGACACACAGACACACAGACACACAGACACACAGACACACAGACACACAGACACACAGACACACAGACACACAGACACACAGACACACAGACACACAGACACACAGACACACAGACACACAGACACACAGACACACAGACACATACAGACACACAGACACACAGACACACAGACACACAGACACACAGACACACAGACACACAGACACACAGACACATAGACACACAGACACACAGACACACAGACACACAGACACACAGACACACAGACACACAGACACACAGACACACAGACACACAGACACACAGACACACAGACACACAGACACACAGACACACAGACACACAGACACACAGACACACAGACACACAGACACACAGACACGACAGACACGACACGACACACAGACAGACAGACAGACACGACACACAGACACACAGACACACACACACAGACACACAGACACACAGACACACACGCACACACAGACACACAGACACACAGACACACAGACACACAGACACACAGACACACAGACACACAGACACACAGACACAGACACACAGACACGACACACAGACACACAGACACACAGACACACAGACACACAGACACACAGACACACAGACACACAGACACACAGACACACAGACACACAGACACACAGACACACACACACAGACACACAGACACACAGACACACAGACACACAGACACACAGACACACAGACACACAGACACACAGACACACAGACACACAGACACACAGACACACAGACACACAGACACACAGACACACAGACACACAGACACACAGACACACAGACACACAGACACACAGACACACACACAGACACACACACACACACATACACACATACACACATACACACATACACACATACACACATACACACATACACACAGACACACATACACACATACACACATACACACATACACACATACACACATACACACATACACACATACACACATACACACATACACACATACACACATACACACATACACGCATACACACATACACACATACATACATACATACATACATACATACATACATACATACATACATACATACATACATACACACACACACATACATACACACATGCATTTGGAATCATGCTACATCCAAGTTCACTGGGTATGGACTAGCATGTTTTCGCTTGAAAGCAACCGTTGCCGCAGTTTCGGCTGGACCATCAAGAAGCTTGTCACATTTGGCGGGGGGGGGGGGGGATGTTTTAAACAACAGCAAGCCTTGAAAGGGGTGAGTTGGCCATCTGCACTTCAACCAGCCTCTGAGGCAAACCGAGGGGATATCATGCATATATATATATATATGATGTGTGTGTGTCCATGCATCTAGATTTACATACATATGGATATGTGTTGTGTAGATCGGTCGAACTATCCTCGGGACAGCAGCTTCCCGGACTTTTCTCAGAATTCCCAACTGGTGGCACAACTTCGTGTGCGGACCACCTCCAAAAATGGCAGAACACCCGAGAAGAGGGATGCGAGGCCAAAAGCGGGCGTGTTTGGGTCAGGTATCATTTCGACATTTCCGTGATGGGTTTCACATCGGATGATGAGGCACACCTAAACCCAGGGGTTGTGAAATCAGCATTTTCTGGGTTGAAGTCGAGCTTGGGGCGTGGTTTCAAAGCGGCTCTATGCGGTTGGCTCACTGCACTTGGCTCTACGTATTTGATTCTGCGCAAGTGATTCGATTCTATGTAAGTTGGTCCAAGAATTCCGTGCGCCTTTTTGCAGCTCGAGGCGATGTGGCAGCCAGCATCCTGGCCAATTGCGACTACCAGGCAGCCCGCATCAGAAAAGCTGATTTTTGAGCACGGGGAGCCAGAGCGACATAAGGACAGTACTGGCTAATGACTCTGAGGGGCCATTTAGGACCGTATTAGGACCATATGAGTGTTGCTCAAAAATAGGGGTACCCCAAAGTGTGTTTTTTTCTATGTTTTTCTTTAGGGCCTCAACCTTCCCATGGCTCCCCGTGACGATGCGGCTCTGAAATGGCAACCCGTCTCTGATGGTTTTGGGCTAAAAACAAATCAATCTCGCTTTCGACTGCCAAGGTTAACCTGGAGCATCGAGGGGTTTTGGCTGTGATTCATAGAAATTTTCCTGGAGCCCCCCCCCCCCCAAACACACCACCCAAACACACCTCCACAAATGGTCTTTTTAGTCTCTTTCCCAAGGGATGCGTTTAAAGGAATGTCATGTGAGCTTTACGGGCATCCTGGCAAAGGCATCCTTGTCATCGGTTGAGTTTGACCTGGGTCCTGCATACCTTCAAGAAGAAATAGCATGTTGTTCTTAGGATCCGAGTATTTGTCCTATTTTCGGCAGTCCACAAAGTCCTAAACTCAAAAGCCCCTGTTTCAGCAGGATACATTTGTCCAACGGTCTTACAAGACCCCCTGTTTGTCTTCCATTTACTTGAGAATATTTGCTATTTTCCCCTGTTTGTTATTCTCTCTTGGTTTTAAAGGACATCTATCCGCATTGGATACATATTGTTATTTTTTTCCCAGGGGGCGAAAACAGCAAATGGAGGTTGCGGATTTGCAATTGGGGGTTCCACCTTGGGCCAAATCGGGTTTCTCCACACGTGTTCTCCGCGAGGCTTTGGGCCAACAGACGGACGGCGGGTTTTGGCATCAGGAGCCGATGACCTGCTGGGAGCAAGGTTTGTGGTTGGGTTAGGTTGTTCTTGGGTTGTTGGGCTACTGGATTCTTGGGCTGTTGTCGCGCTTTGCGAGTCCCATCGGGATGGTCATCTTGCTGTTTCAAGGTGCTGGTGACGGGTGGCGCATCTTCTCCAGATTTGTCTGAAGGGTGCGGTTTGGGGGTGCGGTTTGGGGGTGCTTTTCGGGGTGCTGTTGGAGGTGCTGGGGACGGTGCGGGCGCATTTTATCCCAGATAGCTGAAAGCCATTCGGGGTTCTTACTTGTAAAAATTGGGCAAGCTGTTTTGCGAGTTCGGGCCAGGTTGGTGTTGCAGGTGCTGGTCGGTGCTGTTTGGTGCGCTCAAGGTGCTTTGGCGCTTGAGTGTCTGTTTTGCGATGCAGTCAGGGTGCCGGTCATTGTGCTTTTGAAATCTCCCATCCTATTGTAATTCGATTCTCTGCATTATTAGTCTATGCTTTTGCTGACACACTGTTTCTTGGCGGAAGTGACGTAAAAGTGGGGGGCACACGTAGACAATGCCCCTGACATCTTGACAACATACAGGAAGCATCTACTTTCACTCAACCGTAAGACCTTATCCAAGGAGGTCTTCGGAAATGGGGTTTGTTTGATCTTAGAGGAAGATGTTGGACAATACTCAGGACTTCTCCACGGAGTTAGATGTTGAAAGATGTTCGGTTTCCGTCTCTAAAAATCAGAGCTCTTCATTGTTTATTTGTTCTGTGCTTTGGTCGTCTTCACGTTTGGGAACACTTGGGTGGGGAATATCATTTGGAAGACTCAATTTTAACTGCGCCAAATGATGTTTCATTTTCACACTCTAAGCCCCTGAAAGTTCCCTCCCACTTGATAAGCCTCAGGCATTTTGCGTCGTCTATGAGATATGAGTCTTCAACTTTGCTTTGCGCTTCCCAGCCACCCCCGCAGGTTTTTACGCTTTTGAGTGATTTCAGGGTTTAGTGGTTGGGCTTCCATTTAATCCACCAAATGTTGGCAATCTGAGGACAACACAGTGTGAACATGTCTTTCTTGTGTCTTCCGCTTGATTCTTCCCTGTTGATGGTGTGGATCTGGTGTTTGCTTGGAGGCTTGCGGGATCACCGACGCAAAACAACATACGTACTATGTTTTGTTTGTTTGGCGTTCTTATGTGCCTTGGGCTTTGTCTCGCAGGACTCTTTCCTCGGAGGGCCGATGCGGCTGGGATCTGCTGTGCCGAGGGTGAACGACCAGGCAGTCGGAACCCACGCCTGAAGGGGATGGGGTGCTCGCGGGTCTTTGTTATTTTCCAGACATCCGAAGATTAATCAATTCATTCTATGTTATTTCCATTATATTCTCCATGTTAGATATAAATAAAGCATTTCATAATATTGCATGATGTTTTTGCCTTCACCCAGGTGGAAGGAGTCTTGGTGGTTCCTAGCCATCCGGTTCCTTAGGTTTTTTCGAGTTTTGGGTTGGCTTAACGAACCCAATGGATGATGCTTAGGTATAAGCGGTGGTGGTTATATATGAACCCCCCTTTGTTTGAATGGTGGCTTGAAATGCAGGTTTAGGAAACACTTCGAACACCCTTCGCAACCAGCGGTGAAATCTGATGGGCAACCAGATTCCATACGCATGCGTTCTTTTGCTTAGATCATTTGAACATGTGTAGCCGACCTTGGCACTGGACGGCCAGAGCCTGCAGTTCGGCTCCAAGCACCTCCCTCACTGTTTCCTGGGATGACCTGCTTGACCTGATCGTGCAGTCTGTGGTAAATGTTTCGGGGGGGCCACTTGAAATCTTGCAATCAACTTGACCGACTCCTTTTCGTTGAAGTTCGCTGGAGACGACCCCGCCATCTCCCCGCCTGTCGCGTCCGCGAGGTGGGGATCCTGGGGCGGCTCATGGGGTCCAGCGGGCCCCACTGGTGCGAGGACCCGGTGCTGGACCGGCAGAACCAGGCGCGCGGCGTTTCCGCCGTTTGGCCGTTCTCGCCGTTTTGGTCGGCGGAAGTGGACGCTTTTTTCTCCGGACCAAATGGGCGTCTCGTCGTTTTTTTTGGGAAAGAAACACAATGGTTGGACCCCTGAAAATGGTGCAACAGGTTGTTTTTTGGGGCTTCCCTTTGAAGCCAGCCATGGCACAGATGTACATTGGAAGACCAATGCTTCCAAAATTGCGCCATATGGCTACATGTAGAGACTTGACGCAAGCTCGAACTTGGAGGCAGCAGGCCCTGTCGTGACCGTGATTGGAGGGTTCAAGAGGACGCAACGGAGTCGACTGACTTGGGGCAAGCCAACCGCCGCAGGCGCTTGGCAGAAGTGAGCAGACTGCGACACTGACGACGGCAATCAACGCGTGCGGGCTTACGCTGGATACGGACGTATGCGTCGGCCTTTGTTGCCACGATCTGGCTCCAGCACATCACGTGACCGCCAGACCGGTGATCGCGAGTCGAGTACTCGGGGCGCCTTGATTCGGCAGCTGCTGAGTAAAATGAACATGACGCATTTGCACGTGCGGGATCCAGGCTTGCGATCATTGGTTATTGCCATTGTGGTGATGTGACAACTAATTTGGGTACACAGACAAACACACACACACATGGCAGGACAGGATACTTGTCTTGAAAATCAATACGGGACTTTACGTACGCTTCTCCTTTTCCCCGTTTGGTTTTAGAGGCAATGGACACGACACCGAACCATGACTTCACCCTTACAATGGCTATCGCTTTGTCTTTTGAGATGGTTTCCTCGTCGGTTACCCCCATGCTTAACCATAGGCAGAATTGATCTATCCAACTGATATGCGCCTTTCCGCACCTAGCAAATGGCCATGGTTCACCACCAATGCTACCATTTTGAGATAGCTGGATTACCCGGTTTAGAACCTATTTTAGTGCTTGGATTGGGTCCCGTTCACTGGGGGATATCCGAATTGGGGTTTTGACCCATGGCCAAAAAACAACGGGATTTTTTCTGCTTCGTTTTTTTTTTTGGTGGTAAAAAAAAAACCAACAACGAAAACACATCCTAAAATACATACCCCATCCAAGAGCAACTGAGCTTGGTGGTCAAGCCATGGGCTCTTTGAGCACTACTCTTGGACTCGGATCGCTTTTGGTGGAAGAGGCCCAGACTCGTGCCCGAATGATTCGTGCCGAGGTCTTGGCTAAGATCTTAGCCACAAGGGGCAATCTGTGCAAGCAGTCTAAGAAAAACCCAAGGGAAGAAAAACATCCGGAAACCAAGCACCAACCCAGAAAAAAGCAAGAAACAAACAACGAGAACACAACTCAAGAAAGAAAACCAGCAACAAGAAACCAAACCAACCCGCAAAAGAAGAAGAAGAGGCGCAAAAGATGCGCAGAACCCACGTCGAAAAACGAACCGAACCATGAACCAGACCTCTCGGGTTTCCTTGGGGAAATCGACTCCTGAGAGGCCTTCCACCTGGCGCGGGCGCTGATCCGCACCTCGGATTTCGGGTGCTGGGGCGTTGGAAGTTGGATCTTCCCGGTGGGATAGGGAATGAGGACTGGAAGGGGAGGTGAAGGGAAACCGGAATCCAGTGAAGGGGATTTATTGTCACCAATTCACCCATTCTCAATTTGCAATTCGGTGAAGGCAAGAAACCAAGACATGTTCTAACAAGAATTGCCAACTGGACATGTAACTTGCGATCGGATGAGAATTGGAATGAACCGGAGGGATTTGCGGGGAAAGCACCAGTTTTCAGATTCCCTGAGAACCAGCAAGTTATCATGCTTCCTCCATGAACCTTCTTCTTTTTTCCGAACAGCTGGGGCCCGGAAATCGGCTCGTTCGGGGTACTGCAGCCTCCCGGGAGGGTTCCTGTGCAGGGGGGGGCAGGGTCAACTCGGGGTGTCCTTGGGAGGAGTGTTAGATCTGAGAGCAGAATCTGTGGGCGGAATTTAAACTTTTGGGTTTTGGCCGGCTCCCTGATTAATAAGCAACCCCCACCGCTTGTTAGGAGGGGTCCAGATTCCCCTTTTTGGTGGTTGGAGTCCTTGTCCTTCCCTCCGACACCTGATGAATAACTGGGGTGGGGGTGGGGGTGTGGGGGGGTGGGGTTTGAATTAAGATGTGTTTCCCTGAGAGCCAGCAAGCAATATTGCTCCAAAGCAAGCCCAAAACGGGGAACCGGGACCCAACGGGAGATGAGACACTTGGATTCGGATGGATACATGCAAGGGTTTGGGTTTGAACGGGTATCGGACCCACTCGGGTCACCCAACGCTTTTGGCAGACTGGGCGGGGGGGGAAGGGGGGAATTTGTCCATGTTGTCTTGCAGAACATAGAACGTTGGGTCAGCTATGTCTTGGACATAAATAGAAGTGATCAGTGGTACATGGCAGTCTTTGATAAGAATTCAAGTGACCCCAGATCTGTGGTTTGGAGTGGTTTGGGGTGTTGAACCCCCAGTTCCTCTTGAAACCAAATGGGAAGAATGCCAGTTCCTCCCAATGCAAACAAGATGATGGACCCCTACGACACCAACCTGGTCGATGATGGAGTTGCTCCAAGAAGCGAAGGGTCCCATTTTAAATACTGTGGATGGACGAAATCCTGCACCACTTGGAAACCATGGGAAACCATTGTTCATGGGTATTCCGGAAACCGTGGTTGCTTGGTATTTACAGGGGATTCATAATTCCGGGTTTTCTTAGGTGGTGCAGGATTTCGTCCATCCACAGTAGGACGCCCTTTGGAGGGTCAGGGTTGCTCCGTCAGTTCAAGATGACCCAACCCTCGGGTAGAGAATCGGTTTAACGGGCGTCCTCTGCTTTCCAAAGGTCCTTCTTGTGCCAGAGTTGCGGAGCAACGACCCCAAGCTGAACCGTCCAACTTGATTTGGGCCTGTCTTTTTTAGGGGGACCCCTCCCAGATGGTGGTTTTCCTTTTGGTTTGCCTTGAAACAACCCCAAAAAATGCGGCCTTCCAAAAATGACACATTGATGTGGGATCCCAAAAAAATCCTTCCTGACCGACGAGCAAGCGAGGAAGGAGTGCGAATGACTCTCTCCCCAAGCCAGAAAAGCCCGAAGTATTTTTGCGCGCACCGACCCCGTTGAATTTTCAATCTGGAGTCTCTCCATGACCTTGAAAGAACATGGGTTGCCATAATCACTTTGTTTCGGTAATGACCCCATTTAACTTTCATTTTGGGAGTGTCAGAAGGAGACTCCTGGTCACTGTTTGCTGGATTTTTGGATGGTTTTCTCCCATGGCCGCAAGTCAAGTCTCGACCCGACCCATCAGATCTCAGTTGATGCGCTTGCTTACTTTTCTCTGTTCGAGTTTTCGGCACCAGTCAAAAGGACCTCCCTTTGAAAACTCGCTTGCTGTTGATTCCATTTCAACCTCTTAAATAATATCTGACCAAAGTCCGAAACGTGTGGATGTTCGAAACGCACGTTGGAACAACTATCACTTTGCTTGTCCTCATCCTTGGTTCCATTTCAACCTGGGGGCAAGTAGCATCAGTTTCCCCCTCCAGAGTCCGCAACCTGGCGCGCTCAAAGGGTTGCGCTGGACGTTTCCGCCTTTTGACTTAGCAGTTCCCAGCTGTCCGCTTCCTTTTTGAGCTGCTTTCAGTTGGTTTAGTGGTAGCATTTCCGAGTTTCTTTCACCCACAAGTTAGTCACTTTGAGCCATCAGGGATCAGAAATAAACGGACAGCCCAGCTAAACACAGGATCCGCTTAATCATAGGTGACCTTTTGGAAACAAAGATTTCCCTGGTTGTTGTGGGGCACGACAATTTCATCCTTCAACCAACCTTTTCTAGCGATCTGGTTTTGTGGGGGGCATAGCAATTCCAGCGGAACCCCATCCTTCAGCCCGTTTCACGTCTCCGCCCGCCCTCTTCGTCCGGCGGAGGCATGCGCCGGTCCTGCGCGGCGCTGCGCTCCACGCAGGACGTGGCGGCCAGCGGGACCTTCTCGGAGCCCGGGACCCGGGCCCCATGCGTCCAGCGGGGCTCGTCGGCCGCTTTTTTCCGTGTCAAGCGTCAGGGTTTGCCAGCCACCTCGTGGTTTGGGTTCTTGTAGTAAATGGGAAACCACCAATTCACCACCAGGTTCCCCTCAAGTGGTTTGGGTTCTTGAGAAGTTGACGATTTTTCGTGGGAAGCTGCCTTTAGCGACCACGCCACCAATGCAAACCATCAATAAGGGGAAGCTGAAGTAAGGCACTCTTTCAGCGAGTGGAAGGGTGGAAGACATGCATCAGGGTGTGACGTTTTTTGATGGTACCTGTCGTTTTTTGGTTGTGCATGGAAGCCTTCCGTGAGACGGCGCTTTAAACTTAGACACAACGGGCGCCCATGTTTTCCGCCATGGCCACTTGGCTTCTGAGGATTTCTCAATTTTGGGAAGCTCTCGCATCTTCTTTCCACATCAAACTCCAACTCCACCTGGAGTCCTCTCTCCTCGACGGGGCTAAAGAATGTGAATCGGGATGCCAAAAATAAGCCATCACTCCGCCCCCCCACCCCCGCCCCAAATATTACCCAGTCGTTCAGTGGATTTCACTCTCTTCCCTCCTTGGCTGGTGCGGGACCCACCAAAACTGGTGAACCAGAAGGGACACCCAGAATGCATTGAAACACCCAACCAAGAGAGAGGGGCCTCCCCAGGGGTGTTTTCAGACAGGTTGGACCTGTTCGGAGCCAAACATGGTTGGACAAGAAGCACTTTTTTCATGATGTTCACCAATGGGCCCATTTTCATGGGAGCCAACCAACGGCACACCCAACCGCCCAAAACGGCTGTATGGCCGTATGGCTCCTTCCAGGCAGCTGGCCTATTGGAAGCTCCATGATGCCGAGGCGCGGGGTTCACCAGAACGGAGTCAACCCGCGGGTAGGGAAAGAACTGAACCTGATGTGGCGAGTACGCCATGAAACCCGACGTTCCGGGGTCCTGGTTTGGGCGATTTTCCTTTGCAAGGGACCCTCTGTTGCATTTTAGTGGACAGGAGTAGTTGTGCTTGTCTTGTACTAACTGCTGAGGGCAAGGGAAAGGCATCCAAATTTCAGGGATTGATCCCCCTGGCGACAAACCAAACTATTTGGGTGAAGTTTCCCTGCCGAGGAAGTTCCGATTTCCATGCTGTGAATTTGTTTGCAATTTTGTTGGTCTACTGATACTGTTGGTTTGGGGAGGATATTGGGGGATCCAAATTCCATCACCACAAGAAGCTTGTTCTGGGGCTCAGATGCCATGGCAAACACGAAAAATGTGTCTTTTTTGGGGTCCCTTTTGCGAAGTCAACTCAAGTGAGGACAATAGCCAATCGAAACGCAGCACCTGCAACTGAAAACAAACATCGGTTTTTGCTCTTGTTTTGTTGCTCTTTTGTTTTGGGGGCGGGGGCGGGGGGAGGGACAAGTGGCAGGCGAAGGAGCCGACTTTTCCCTGTGAGGTTGGTGAAGTTCATTGATTGACATGTCCATCGCCAGCTCGAATTTCCAAGATGAGGGCTAAATTTCACTAGAAGCCACTTTTTGGACCGCACATCATGGGGACTGACTGGCCCAAGTGCAAACGGGAACACGGGCTACCCTGCAAAAAAAGGAGCGAGCAGCCCACTTCAACTGGGCTGCCCCCCCGCAGATGTTCTCAGAAAGCAGCCAGGCGGGGAGCGAACAGCCGCTGGGGATGCTGGTGGCCCCTTGGCAGCACCTCAAAGTTGGCCTCGCGAGGGTCTCGAACTTGCGATACCAGGAAGCCGTGAGCAGTTTGGTGTCTACCTCGGGGTGTGGTTGTCAAAAAAACATGTATGGGAAATGGGTTGCCCTGGTAAATCGCAACTACGAAAGCCTGCGGCCTCTGGAGGTTTAGATTTGACCCATACCCATCTTGGGGAACAAACATATCTTCCATTTGCTGAAATGGATATTGCTTTGATTCTCCCTTGTTGGTTTTCAAGGGAATCTATCACTACTGGAAATAGGGGACTTAAGCGCGCGGAAGTTTTGGTGTATCCCTCATCTGATGGGACACGCTAACATATCATCTATCCGATGGAGAGCCGGGCTCAGAAGGACTGCAAGTGTTGGAGCGCTGCAATGTATTTTGACGCATACCGACGTATTTGAGCAAATAGCGAGAGCAATTATTCGCACATATCCCAAGCCCAAATGGTTTACCTTTCACTTCTGGGTCCTTTTGGGCAAGGGAGAGAGAGTGGTGAGGCCTTGTAACGAGCAACCCTTTTGAAAAGGGGTTGGGGGTTAGGCAAGGGTTGCCAAATGTTCAAAGGCACCCACACCGCAAGGGCGGAACTTTGGTAAAAGGATTTGGTCCTTTGGTTTTTCCTTTAGGTTTCAGTTTGAAGCCTGAGATCGTTGGAGTAGGATGTGAACCCCTGGTTCTTGCAGAGAGTAAACGGGAAACCACCTCCCAACCTCTAGACCACCAATCCACACCACCAATCAGAGGGACGCTGATTTGGGTGTGTCTGTTTCTGAGGCTACCCTTTTTTGGGGGTGGGTTTTTCTGGAGGGAGCACCGCATTTGGAGGGAAGCTGACCTGGGGGGTAAAGGAACTTCGATTGCTCTCGAGGTGCTCAATATCGTGGCGTCTCCCAGCACCGCAGCCAGCGCCTGGTCACGGAGTTCGGAGCGGCTAGGGAGGCTTCTCCAGTGACTTCCAGAAGTCCTCGGGGGCTTATGGGAATGCCGCCTGTACATTGTGTTCGGAACCCCTCTAAAATCAACCACTAAGCTTGCTTTGAGCGCAAAACTCAATCATATTTTGGGGTTCCTCAGATGAGCATCATAGGTGTCATTGGTAGGCCATTGGTAGAGAATTCTTAGTTGATGGGTTCCCCTTCCTTTCGAATGGAGTTTCACTGGTTAGCTCCTTCAAAACCGACCACCGACCATGGGTTCCCCTTTTTCTCGAATCGAAATCTGAAGTTAGCCTTGAACACCTGGTTTTGCCCTACTCCCGTTTTACGATCCCCTCTTTACCATGGGTCGACAGGGGATTCCTGGGTTCCATGTTAGTGGGAGGGCAATTGTTTTATAGCCCACAAGGCAGAAGTTAAAGGCTGTTCGGATGTTCGGTCGAGTTTTTCCAGCTGAGCTTGGCTAGCTTCCAAGATTTGCCATGGAGACCAAAGAGCCAATCCAAAAAAGCCAATTTAGGGCAAGCTGACCACCTGTGAAGCAGCTTTCTTCCGGAATAAGAAAGCGGTGACGAAAGCATTTGGCTGGGGTCTCAGGGCGCCGAAAAGTTCATCTACTCGCATTTGGCGGGCAAGGACGAAAACAGAAAAGTCAGCAGGGTCTCAGGGCGCCGGTTCATCTTGGGAAACCTGGTGGTTTGGGGTACTGGCAAATCAAAAATTCGCCGCCTCGCCGTTTTTTATTTTATTTTTTGGTATTATTATTATTATTATTATTATTATTATTATTATTATTATTATTATTATTATTATGTTCTCCTTGTTTTTTTTCTTTCCTTTTCGTTTTCTTCTTCTTTCTTTTTCTTTTCTTCTATTTTTTCTCATTTTTTCCCGGGGCTTTTTGGATTGTCCATAACTTGTCCTTTACCTTAGGCTTCCAACCCACAATTGAAGGGGGTCAATGTCACCACCAGTATTTGACTTTTTGATTCCGCAGCCCTTAAGCATACCTGCTTGGGATTGAAACAACGGGGGTTCAGATCACCATTATTCCACGGAGTTTCATCATCCAAATTGGGCCCTGTGCATTCTTTCAATGGGGGTCGAGCCCCAGGGACCCTCGGGACTCCTCCGTTGGCACAGTCTAGCTGTTTGTTTTACGAGTTTCACCGCTTGAGTCAGGGCAACCAAAGAGTACCGCCGCTCTTTTGGAGCAAAGAACGCGTCGTCGACTTTGTTTTTTTACAGGAAGCTAAAGGGACAAATCAGATCCATTGGAAAGGGAAGCTTCGTTAGACCAAGGAGATATCAAGGGCAAAAACCGAGGGTAAGAACCAAACCAAACCAAACCAAGAATCAAGGGGAAGAACAAACCTCTGGGTTCAAACCGCCATGAAAACAAATAGGATTAATATAACCACCCTAATTTACCGTTCAGGAGTCTCTCATCATCCAAATTGGGTCAACCATTGGCCCTTCTTTTCGTGGGAATCTGTTGAAGGCAACTTAAAAAGGGGCCGGGTGATTGGTAAGTGGTTGCTAAGCCCGGCTACAACCCGCTTGCCATGGTTGTAAGTCGCCTAAGCGGGTTATAATCAGGCTTACAAGTACCCAATGACTTGGTGGCCCTCAGCCATCCGGTTTCTTAGCGTTTTAGCCTTGTAGCGTTTGGCGGTGGTTTCCATTTAACCCCCTCAAAGAAAGTTGCTTTTGGCGGGGGATCCGAAAACGGGCCCAGGCAAGTACACGCTGCCCGAGCAGCTGCCCTACAAGGAGGGCCAAGCTTTCATCGACCTGCTGCAGCCCGAGAGGCGAAACGGATCGAAGGAAGCAGCCGGCGGATGGTGGCCCTAGGCAAAACCCGCAGGTGCTACAGGGGCATTTTTGGAGGGATGGATGCGCAGATATGCCACGAGATACTGTTGACCCCATATTCATCAACCCCGGTTTATGAATGGGGGCGTGTCCCCCCTCCAAAAGTGATGATTCCCCACTAAACCCAGGGACGCCCCCCTATTCATAAACTGGGGTTGATTAATATGAGGGTAACATTCCCCTTATATAACTTGTCCACCCTAAAGCACTTTGTCTTTGAACAAAGCACTGGAGGGGCACAAGAGGCGACCACATTGATCCGCATTCGGGCACCTGATAAAATTCGTGCTCAGTTCTCAAAAAAAATCCGAGCTTGATGCTTTTTGGAAGAACATAGTGGCAAGCAACAGTATCGACTTGTTCGGTCAATCTCGTTTCGGGATAAGCTCACAAATGCGTTCCATGGTCAACTGAATTGCGTCAGCATGAGACGCTCAAATCGCCATCTGGATACACTTTCACCCTGGATACACTTTTCACTCGGGATACAACACAGTTTCTTCGAGGTGCCAAGGTTTTCAAGCACCCCAAAGAGCTTCAACATCTGGTGCTTTCAACAGCAAGTGTTCAAGTTCTCCCAGAGTTTTTTCGTGTCTTGCATTTTGGCAACTCCGCTTGTGTTCCCAGTTGTCCAAAGTAGTTTGTTCAAGTGCCAAGATTGCTCCTCAGGTTTTTGGGGGGTGTACCTTCACATCTCATGCCTACATCTAGTGTTCAAGTGCTCCGGTTTCAGAAAGAAGGTGAGCCTGACTGAGTAAGCTCAGGTTTTTGGGGGTGTGCACTCTTCAGAAAAGTGAGGGAGTGAGTCTGGGAGGCTGGCGGCAGTGTTCACGGACGCCAACGGCTGGGACCTCGGAGGGGGGCTGGGGGGGTTGGCTGGAGGTTGGGGCGGGAAGGGAAGACACAAAGGTGGGTGGCTTGTTCTTTGTGGGAGGGGACCGTCTTTTCTTCGTGGTTCTTAAAGGAAGCCAAAGGGAAAACCACACTTGTTGGGAGTTTTGACTGGTTTGCGGATGTGGAGCCTTGAGGAAGCTACTCCGAAACCCACATGCTCCCCAAAACCAGTTGCCAAGTTCTTTGCGGCACAGTTCGACCTCGATATTCGAAAGCCGATAGGCTATTCGCCCCCATGGGGGGGGGAGCTCAAGGGTTGCCCATGCCTGGCGAACACAAGCATGGACTTTTAATCGCATCCATTTGTTGCTGTAAGGGTACTAGGACAAATTCACCATGTTGGTATATTTGTACTTGAGCGAGCATAAGGATCAAATCAACCTAGGAAAGGGCGAGTTGTTCATTTGTTTGGCTCTGACTCAAGACCCGGACTTGCCACTTTGAGCGAATCAACTTTGGCTTTGAGAATGGTAACCCTGAGGTGCAGTTGCCACAGTTAAAACAATGGGGGTTCATAGAACAACCATTGTTTACCTCAGGATTGGCATCATCCAAATTGAGTGCAAGTTCATGGGACGTGACGATATTGCGACCTGGACTTTGCCAGATCATTTTTTCGCAGATGTCCGTGCCAGTTTTCGATCGATTTGGGCTATCCCTTCTTTGCGGCTTTTGAAAGGAAACCAAAGAGAAGCCAAGGAGGGAACATCCCTTTTCTTGGTGGCTTTTGAAAGACGCCGCCTCTCTTTGCTGGTTTTTTATTGGTTTTTTGAAAGGACCCGCGTGGCATGTTGTGCCCGGCATGTGGGGCCCGGAGATGTGCCCGAGGCACCCGGAACCTGCTGGTGCCCGCGGAGTTGACGCCTTCCCACGTGGCCATCTTCGCCCCCGTGGAGGCCGCGGTCGAGGAGCCGCGGGGAAGCCGCGCGCGCGCAAACCCGCCCGAAGGGAGCGTTGGTCTCTTCAGTTTTATTTGGACTGCTTCTGGAAATTGTCAAAGTCAGAAGATGGGTATCCCACCACTTCAGGGGTGACTTGGATCATGGTAGCAGAATGAGGCCAGTCCTCCGTTTCCCTTTTTGGAACTCTCCAAAAGTGGCGATCGTTCTGAGGGAAACCGCCATGGCAACTTTTGAAGGGGAAACTCCAGTGAATCCTGCCAAAGTGAGCATCCGATTACTCCCATAAAACCAGCCCCGTTTCAAAGTTCCAGCGCCGTTCCTTTCTAACTTACTCCCATGACCTCGAGGAAACTCGATCTCCCAGACCAATAGAGTTTGTTCTTGTGTGAAAGATGGAAAATCCTTTAAAAGAAACTACCAAGAAGGAGACCCTTCCTTCCCATGAAATTGGGGGGCTCAACCACGAAGCCGGTTTGGTTAGTTCGAAGTTAGACATGGCTCATTTGCCCACTACATCTTCCTGGGTTCTGCAGGGTTTGGTCCGTTGGTGGCTTAAGTTCTCCGGCAACTTGCGGGATTGCTCCACACAAGACCAAACAACATTTCGCCGACAATCGAAGTTTGGGCAGCCTTCCGATTCGACATGCTGGTGCTCAGTATGGAATGACAAACTCTGGGTTCTGCGTATGAACCGGATCCGGGCATTCCCTGAAGCGAAACCAAATCGGATGGAGGGTGTTTCTCCGGGTCATTCCATTTCGCAGGGACCCTGCCGAGATCGCACCAAGCTTTTCTTTGGTGCTATGGTCCAGCTCGAATGGTTTCCAGAACGGGGCCCCGTCTCCAGGACGAGAGCGACTGGCTAGTGCCACTTGGCGGGGGAAGCGAAGCCACTTTTTTGTCCTTGGTTTTGAAAGGAAAACTGAAAGGAACGCCAGCATTTTGGGGGGTTCTCCTAACAAACAGATACACCCCACATTTTAGCAGCATGCGACACGTTTTTCTCAGCGCTGACCTGAATCGTGCTTGGCCATCGACTGAGTTTGTGCCTGTGCCCTGGGAATGGAAATCCAACGCATTTTCCCCGACCTTGGGCCGGGGAAACCGCATGGTGGTTCACTCTTTTCGGGCGTCGCCCTGAAAATGCAAAGGATGGTCTCAGTCAAGCTTTGTTGGCATTGATCCGCCTTTCTTTGCCGCGATCGGCCTTTTTCGTTGCAACTTGCGACTCTCCACCTAGTCCCATAGTGCGAATTGCGAGAGCAACAAATGTTCTACAACTGTGAGCAGCTTCATTGCTGTAGTCCAGGCAAATCTTATGGGAAGCTAGGGCACCGTGAAGCCACCGTGCAACAAGCGCGACGTGAAACTAGCGCGAAGCTGCCGCGAACTACTTTGCTTGCCGTGAACGACCTTCTTTTGGCGCGAGCGCTTTTGTCCAAAGTGGTCATCATAGGTGTCCAAAGTCTCTTAGGTGCGTGTCCGGGCATGGCCGTCGTGGTGTTTCAAAAATGTACAGAGCCAAAAATGCGCAGGGCGCCCGCCCTCAACACTGGGACCGACGGAAAAGAAAGGTCTCTCTCCCCTAGAACTTTCGCTTTCTGTTCATTTGTGGTGTTCTTTCTTTCTTTCTTTCTTTCTTTCTTTCTTTCTTTCTTTCTTTCTTTCTTTCTTTCTTTCTTTTTCTCTCTCTCTCTCTCTCTCTTTCTTTAAACCCAGGGGCAAAGGGTACCCGGGCTCATCATCATGAAGGTGGTGGGTGCTATTCGGGCTACCGGAGTTCTAGCTTTCGCCGCCTCTCCTGCTACTTGTCCTATTTAAAGCTTGGCTTCACGTGGCGCAGGAACCAAGAAACATGTTCGGGGGTCCAAAGCTGAGGTTCTTGGGTGTCCTTTTGATCGGATTTAGATTGGTTGTAGTACCCATTTAGGGAAATCCATCTGCTTTCCCTTTCGGGGCCCTCCCATTTGCCCGCCTTCACGAAAGAAGTCAAACCACGCCCCACCAAAGACCCCTCGCAGGTTTCGCCTTACTTGGCCCATTTTGGTTGGTAGGTGAATTCACTAGTGGTTGGATTTGGATGTTCACTAGGGGATAACCGGGCTTTTGACCCATGGCCACATGGCCCTTTGGGAGCAACTTTGAATGTGAAACCCTAGTGTCGACCCCGGATTCTTGTAGACCTCATTTACCCTAGCTGTTCTTCTGATGTGAAGGACTCTCTCAGCAATGGGTATTCGCATGAGCACTGGTCTGTGGGGATGCCTGGGGGCATTCCCAAGGTCTGATCCGTATGTTTCGGATCCAAGTAGCCCAATCAGCCGCGGACAAAAGGCACGGGGCCCTTGTGGAGGCTTTGCCTCGTGGTGTCAGCATCTTTTTAACCATTCCATTCCTGATTTTGACGAGCCAAAGGCCCAGTTCAGAATTTTGGCCCGCGTTCAGGGTTCCCTCCATTTCCTGATTTGGAGCGGTTTTCGATCCTCTCAAGGGACACCACCAGAAAAGTATCAACTTTTGGTTTGGGGAGATCCGGTGAGCCCCAGAGGGCGAGCGCCTCAGGTGCCGGGGTGTGACGCTGCCGCGGCTGCCGGGGGGCTTAGCTTCGGGGAAGCTCATCGCGCAACTTCTTTGACCTTTGAACTTGTCACTTTGGCCTTTGGTTTTGTTGAGCCCAATGTGGCCTTGGCCTTTTAGCTGGAGTTTTTCTGAGGCCCAGTAAGTTATTACATCCCTGGCCGTGGGTGGGTCTTTGGGTGCTCAGAGGTGCTTCCACTTGGAGGAATGATCCATAGGGCAACTTTTCTGATGAATTTGATGTCCGGATTGACAAACCCCAGTTGTCTACTCAACGCCACCAACAAGGGGGATTGCGGATACCCCAAGTCATTGACTCAGAAGGCTTGTGGCAACCAAACTCAAGTCGGAACCCGCCAAAGTGCAACGTTTAAGAGGGAAATCCGGTGTTTGGATAGACTTGCCGAATGAATTTTCCTTAAGCCAAAGCTGGTGGAAAGGCGGGGCTTTTGGCATTCCACCCGCTGCAAAAGACTGCGGTCACAAGATACTCTCTGAGTTCCTCGAACGGCTGCCTCCAACTCCAGAACCTGCTAATAGATATGGTGTTTACATACATGTACATATATATATATAATATATATATACAACATGTATATAGATAGGTACACATACAACATGATTTGTTCGGCGGTATGCGATGTGCATGTGAAGTCATTTGGGAGAGTTTCCACAATATGGCCCTCAACGCTTAGGTGGTTACATTGTTTTTCCCACGCACTGTAGCTTCGATTTGGGGGCAGACCTGGAACTAAACCACCCAACCACCCTGACTCAACAAATTGCCAACGTTTTGAAACGGCCGTGGAAAACCACCGAAGGCCTAGGGGGCCTATCCTCCTTCCAAATCCTTTGTGCACTTCCATGATATCGAAAGCAAACGATTGGATGACCGTTTCCTGAAAAGCAGGTCACGAAAGTAGAGTTGCCCAAAAAAGTTCCTGTCAGACTCTGAAAAGGACAAGATACAATTAGAGGCTCCAGCAAATACAATGCAGAACTGTTTCAGGACCCGTTGGAACCAATGCCAGCCTCAGATTCATCCAAAGGACCATACTGTTGTGCCCCTTTTGAGCGTGAAGCTCAATCATATTGGGTTCCTGAGATTGTCATAGGTGTCACCCTAGGCCATTGGTAGCAAACAAAGTTGCTTGATGGGTTCCCCTTTTTTCAACAGGAGTTTCACTGGTTATGGTTACCCCCCGAAAAACACCAACCACCCAACACGGATTCCACCGGTTTCCGCTTGGTGCTAACCGACCGGTCTATCCAACCACCTCAGGCAGGACACCTGCTCCGAGATGGAGCGCTCCGAGTCTCGTGCGAAATGAGGGAGGCAAAGACAAGTCTCGCGGCGTTTCCCAAAAAGAGTTTTGCCCCCCCCCCCCCCCCCCCCCCGAGAAAAATGGGCGGTTTTTCCCATGTGCCTATTTGACAAGTGACGGACAAAGGATCTAGGAAGAGGAATCGGCACGTGTTCAATCGTGGGTTGCACATCCAAGTGTTCTAAAGGGCCGACATGGGGGGGGTTTCAACTTCTTTGAGGTGTCACCGAACTCAAAGGAGTTTACACGCACCTTTTAAGCCACATGGCTCAAGCCACAAAGTCAGCAAAGGAAGCCGTTGCCATTTCTGGGGCCCGCCCTCATTCTTCAGACCAACCTGGTTCGTGCCGCACAACTTCTGCAGCTGCTTGCAAAAATGCAGGGACCGTGCCACGCAATAGGGGGCCCATTTCCCGCCGATTCTTGAGCATAGGGATGGGCCCGACCAGTGAGGTCTGGCAATCTGGGGGAACCGTTCGGAACACAATCCGAGACACTCACCACCCGAAACCCCTTCGAGACCAATCGAAATTCACCAACAACAGCATTTTGCTGCAACCTTGGCACCTTCCAGAATCCTTCAGACCCGCATGAAACCATCTGGGACCCGGAAGCTGCCCTGGGCCCCCTACTCCGGAGTGTGGAGCTCCGGGTAGAACGCTTTTTGCCAGCTTGCCAAGGACTTCCTCCATGTCCTTTTCGGAACCTCCAAGAAGCGGCAATTCAAATGGGAACCACCAGTCATCGCAAACTTTAGGGAAATCCAGTGACCCCTGTAGGAGTTCGACAGTGGGGAATTGAGTAGTTCACCTTGCTTGTCGATTGGCCGTACAGTACCATGTCTGGCAAATCCTCGGCATGTATTGCCGCGCAATCTTGGCGCATCTTTGTTCCAAACCATCCAAACAGCCATTCCTGATGTTGAGACAGCCTGGACGCAGGCCCCAGTTCCAAAGTTTCCGGAGACAACTTGAAGCAAACCACATACCCTCCTAAGCCCAAAACAGTTTGTTTTGTTTTTTTTCCCTTAGCCTTGAAACAGAATACTCCTAACCCCGAAAGGTTTGGTCCTGTGAATCAAGCCGTTTGGTCCGCTGAAGTGGAGTTCCTCTTTTGTTTCTCACCTCGGGGGAGGGGGGGGGCACTGAGAAGGCAAGAACATATATGCATATGTGCATGGCGAATACACATATATATATATATATATAGAGAGAGAGAGACATATATATATATACACATACGTTTACGGACAAACCAATACATACGACCACGACGCTTGACTTAAGATGCACACCTTCACGCGTACATGTATATGCAATGGCCACTTGTCACAGTTGGAGCTTTGGGATGGCTCAGGACATGTGGCTCACCACTGGCCTGGTGATCTTTTGGACAGTCTGGGGCCCTAGACGACATGTCGGCTGTGGGTCAAAATGAAACCACCAGGAATTGGACCGCGGATGTTAGTCCAAATGTCCATTTACCAGGCTTGAATTTGGGGTACCTATTTTTGACCCGCAGCCATGTGGGCTGTGGGTTTCCTGCACCTTGGGCCTCAGTGGGCCTTTCTCCATGTGTGAAACTGCGATCAACCCACGGGAACGGATCGGTTTTTGCGGTTCCTGGCGGGCCTGCGGTCGGCGTCATACTCTGCTGGGCGTGGCTCAAAATTTCAGCAGGAGGGGCAAACCGCAGGCTTTGGTCCATGTTTCCACTTACCCAGGGTTCCATTTTGGTGCCGGATTTTTGAGCCACAGCCAGTGGCAGTATCTGGCACACAAGTGAACTTTGCGACCGCCCTCATTGCTGCGAAGGAACGGACGCGGCATTGTTCGCCACTTTTTCTTTTTTTTCTTCTTTTTTTTCCGGGGTACGGAATCTAGGATGCCCGCCTCAGCACCCCTGGCATGATTCCTTTGCCACGAGCTCAGATACATGAGCACTATGATGCAGCATTGGTGTCTTTGGGTTTAGCCAGCGCACTCCCAGCGTCCACCTATTATGGGGCCTTGGTGATGCACAATTTCTTCAATGTGCTGTGGATGGGAGACCAGGAAGTCTCTCTTGCTTGAACCCCGGTTTGTGAAGCGGTTGGCACATTGGCACATCCGCGCTGCAACCCTTGGCTGTTGGGTCCCAATACCTGGCAGAGCTTAGGTTATTGTTTTTCCTGACTTGGTGTGAACTGGTTGTGGGAAATGGGAAAAACCCAAAGCTTGAGGCACCTTTGGCAGTGGTTATCCCACGCGCAAGGTCCTGGCAGTGGTTATCCTGGCTTGGAACTACCAGACGCGGATCTACTTGAGCATCGTCAAGGCCATTGCGCGTTTGTCAACATGCTGCAATCTCCAGACACTTTTGGTTCTCATGGACCAAACAGGATATCGCGACATGTCGCGCAGGTCGCGCCAGAAAAGGTGGGCCTGTTTTCTTCTTTAGAATTATTGCTTCTTTTTTTTTGGAGAGGGAGAGATGCTTGATAACTAGACCTAAGTGAGCTTTCTAGGTTTGAGAATGAGCCCTTTTGATCCCCTTCAGCAAGCAATGTATGGATATGGGGGGGGGGGCAGGCGTCCCCAACAAAGGACCTTCCGGGATCATTTCAGGAGATCCCTCTACAAGTGGTGTTTGGTGCAGCTGCAATAGTCATATCAAGTTCTTCCATTTGCTCAAGAATCTGTTTATTTTCCTCTGTCGATTTTAAAGGGAATCTATCACTACTGGAAATATTTTTTTTTTCCAGGGGGGTTAAGCAAATGGCGGAGTTGGACGCACTACAAGAGGGCGTTGTTCGAGGAAGTGTCCCCTCATTCTCAAGCAAGGGCACCGGTCAAACGGGAAGATCTGCTGTGCAGCCAAGGTGCTGAGTTCCGGGGCCAGATTGATTTCGTGCATTCTTGGGCTCGCAAACCTATGGGGAACTCCGCAACTTGAACGGATGTCCGAGCCGGAATCCCACCCAACACATCGACACTTTGGGCGTGCTCTTTCAGATCAGCTCTTCCGACTCTTGGATCGAGGTTGGTCGGCTCGACGCCGAACTGTCAACCCCTTTGCGTGAAGCTTTGGTTACTGGGGTGGTAGGCAAGCGGCCTGGATTCGGGGGCTGTTCCCTGGGTCCTGGGGATTTGCGTCCCCCAATTTTTTTGCTGTGCCATCGGTAAAAAAAAATCCGTGTCAGTGCACAGGTCTCTTGACCCTTTGACTGGAGGAGTTGATTGACAGGATCTCTGAGCCAACAGATTCGACCCGCAAAAAACAACCATGTTGCTAAGCAATGACACGTTTTGGCCATGCCATTGCCAACATTTGCCAGAGAATCTTCTGAAATACATTTTTTTCATGGCAACCTTGGCCTTGGGCCTTGGGGCTGCCTTTCGACGTTTTGCCCTTTTGGGTTTCCATCCATTTTCCTTTTCAACTTGTGAAGCGGAAGCCAAACAACAGAAAGCGACGCGGACCTCCCACCAAAGGCGGGGCCACGCCCACGCCCGCAAGACGTGGGCGGATGGCCCCCCGGCAAGCGGGCAACGATCGGTTTGTAGGAGCCCACCTTGCCGGAGATCATGAACATCTCAGGCCGGCGGTTGGCAGCAGATCGGAGCGTGGTTGGCGCCTAGCAATATGAATCCAACCCACCCGTTTTTTTTTTCTTCTTCTTTTTTTTCATAGGGGTGTTTGTTTTTCTTCGTTTTTTCATAGAGTCTCTTGGTGGGTTGATTCATACTGTGCATGGACGAAATCCGCTTCTCGCTCCACCGTTCAGAACCCCTAGAATAATGGTTCCCCTGCAAATACCAACAAACAATGGTTTCAACCAAAATTTCAAAGTGGTGCGAAATGGATTTCGTCCATCCACAGTATGAATCGACCCAAGAGACTCTGCATGGTGCGGCCCAGAGGCCTTGAGCGCGAACCCCTAACCCACCAGTTGGTACTCGAAGAACCTCCGAAAAAGCGGGCTGGGCAGCAAAAGCATCAGGCTTTCCACCTGCTCGTCGAATGCCAGGTTATGTTTCGGAACCCGCCTTTTTTCCAGGAGTTTGGAGATCAACCCACCCGTTCTTTTTGTTTAATAGGGGGTGGTGTTGGCCCCTCCAAAAGTGGCGAGATTCCAACCAAACCCAGAACACCTACGAATAAACTGGATGGTTGAGTACTATGGGGGTGAACATTACGTGGAAAGAAAGACGACCACATTTTATTAGGTAACCGGAAAAAGGCGTCCTACGTTGAGCCTGTGTTGGGTGGGGTGGGTGGGGTGGGGGAGCTTCGGAGGCCCGACGGCAGACCCTCTCGCAACGGATTTTGGTCGGAAAGGGGTGCTCTCAAAGGTGGGAACGTTGGGTGTGGCTCGAAATCAGAGAGCCGGGGCTACGCAGGTTTTGGTCTTGGTTTCCATCTACCAAGAAACAATGTTGGGTAGTTGACCCCAACTTAATTTGGGCGTGTCCCCTTTTGCCGCCCCCCCTCCAAAAGGGTGGTTGTCCTTTTTGAATGTTCCTTTCAATCCTTTCCAGGGTTGTGGGATCAAGGGGTTTCTCCCCACTTCTGTGATACAAGGGAATCCCCCTTTCCATTATCAAAATAGTCTTTGGGAAGCCCTTTCTGTTGTATCACAGAAGTGGTCATTCCCCACAGCCCTGAATCCTTTCCAAAAAGGGGTAGCTCCAAAAACATGTCTTGATTGATGTGGATCTTGGTGGAGCATTGGATCCCAGCCGTGCTTGTTTTTCGCCAGGATCCCAGCCCATTCCCTGCTTGAAAAATCGGGGGAAAGCGGGGGGTTTGGCCACAAGCCAAGGGAAGACCCTCGGTTGAAAAATCGGCGGGTTCCAACGGTTGCAGCTTGGCTATGACTTTCATTTGCCAGTGCCATCGCCAAAAGGACACTTATGCCCTCAACATTTGGACGAAACCCCTGGCAGGTTGACTCCAAACCAATGAAAACGAGTTAGTTCCTACTAGGATTCAATTGATTACTAACAGGAACATCCTGGCAATCTGCAGGGGGGAGGCCTACTTTATTAGCTTGGGAGCAAAAGTGCTGAGTTGGCAGTGATGTGCTCCGTTCGTCGTCTTCTCATTGAACCAATCCACCGCAAATTTGGACTAAAGGTTGCATTTTCTAGTCTAAGTCACTTGGAGGAACTCTTCAATTAAATGGTTTCCCGTTGCTTTCCGTTTAACCCACTTCCCAATGTCGATCCTTTTCTGTGAACAACCACAGGTCCAACTCCTATTTTCCGCTGAGTTTTGGCAAAGGTGCACCTTTTGGGAGCCCAAAGGCAGAGGACCCAAACACGCCCTGGTTGATATAAATATAAATATATTATTATTATTATTATTATTATTATTATTATTATTATTATTATTATTATTATTATTATTGGGTGGGAGTCCCATTTCCAGAGGGGATCCTTCACTTGCCCACCCTGCACCCCGGGCCCGATCGCGGAGGCCCCCGGGTGGACGCCAAGCACGTCATCGTGGCGGCCATCGAGCACACCATCCCGGAGCGCGGGGTGAAGGCGGGGGGCCCCGGCCCGGCCCCGGTCGGTCGGTCGCTTGCGCCAGCGGCCCGGTTCGGCGTCTGGGACCAGACGGTTCCGATTTGGGGTATGGGTCAAAGTTGAACAGGAATCGGACAGGTTTGAGTCCTGGTTTCCATTTACCAGGGCAACCCATTTTGGGTACATATTTTTGACCCACAGCCATTTGTGGGTTTGGATTCAAATCCCAATTTTGAAACCAAAGACCTCGATGCTCTTGTCAAAATGGTTGGGTTGGGTGTGGCTCAAAACCAGAAACATGGAAAAGGGTAAGCTGTGGGCTTTAGTCTTTGGTGTTTTTTTGAGGTGCCAGTTTGGTACATTGTTCTAAGCCGCGGCCACTTGTAGGGCAGCCTGAATTTCTGAACGGAAGGAACCTGACATGGTTTGGTCCCGTTCACGAGAATACAACTGCAGGAAATTTGTTTCACTTCGGATCACAGAACGCGGATACACAGCATGGAAACCGGTCAGCCAGATTCGGCGGCTTCGGCGAGAGTTCGTCTGTCGGATCCCTTTCCGGCAGGCGATTCGAGGTGGGGAAAATTCTGAGCAGTTGACACCGGTATCAGTTTCAAGTTGCTTCCAGCTGGCTGGGGGTGTCAAAACCGACCGTTTTGCGTTTTGGGATCCCATATTTGGTGGGGATTGGTGAATTCACCACCCATTTTAGAACCTATTTTAGTGGGGATTGGGATGTTCACTGTGGGATAACTGGGCTTTTCACCCATGGCCATATAGAATTTGACATAAAATACCCGCAACCCATTCCCGAGGTGTTTTGGTGCCAAAGTCCCTTGTTCCCCAAGAGGGGCTGTTGCAAGGAGCCTCCGAAAAGAGGACTTTAGCTTTTTGGGAAGCAGGCCGGATTTTCCATTGGGCCCGCAAAAAGTTAAACATTTTTCAGAGGGGTCAACAGCAACCAGAACGGCACAACAAGTTGGTCCAGTCTGGCAATGCTATGGCTATGCATTTCAAGAGTTGGATCCACCTCAAAAGTTGTCCATTTCCAAAATGGCAACTACAAGCCAGGCAACCTTCAGTGTGGTTTGGATTTGTGGTTTGGGGATTTGAACCCCTGGTTCTTTTGGAGGGTAGGCGTGACTCCCCACCTCCAAACCACCGATTCGGGAAGCTGACGTCAGAGAACAGCCAAGCGTCCAAGGAATTCACCGAATCTTGGTCTACAAAGCAAGGTGCCAAGAGGAAGCCAAAGCATTTCCGGGGGGGGGGCTTGTCCAACATTTGCCTGTGGGTCAAAACCCTGGTACCCCCGAACCCAGATTTCCCGCTCTCCAATGGGTCAACGGGACACTTCTTGTTTCCAGCGAAATCAGCTTGCACTGAAGACCTTTGATTCCGTTTTAACATGTAACAAAAGCACGGCCACCCCCCCAAAAAAAAGGAAAGAAAGAAAAAACAACAACACACCGAAAAAAAAAACACAAAAAAAAAGAAAAGAAAAGAAACAGAAAGAGAGGGTGTCTGGGTTTTGACCCACACCTTGCATAGAAGCTCACAGGCGGTGCCTTTCTCCATTTCCGGCAGCGGTCCATGGCCCAAAATCGCGATGGTTTCCTGCGGGTTTCCCTCTTCATCGCAGCTAAAAGCCAGGTAACCCTTAAACGCACTAATCGCAGCCAAAAGCCAGGTAACCCTGAAACGCACTTGTAAGATCCGAAGAAGCCCAAAGAGCGGAATGCCCCCTCTTCTAAGATCTCAGATCCGCTGTGGCTCAGCGCGCGCTTCGAGCGATCGGAGAGCCGTCACGTCAGGTTAGTGCCGGAGGCCTGGGCAAGGTGCTGGACCAGATGCTCAAAGAGCACCCCCCGGCGCGGACCGGGGACCGGCGTGTTCGAACGAAAAAGCGGGAGGTAAGTCGAGAGCTGCCAAAACTGCGATGCTCTTTGCATCAGTTTTTTTGTGGTCCTTTTGGGCGTGCCTCCTTTGTTGTGGACTTTGCCAGAAGGGCTGTTTTTGGGTTAGAGACAGGGTGGCGGCTCGCATTCGCTCGTCGCGGAAGCATTCTTCAAGTCCCAACTTTGGTCTTGCCAAAAGGTGGGAGCATGTGGCAAGTTAGGACCTTTTGATTCCACACCCCTCAAGCATATATCCCCTGAAGTTCAAACCATCAAAACAACGGGGGCTCATACAACAACCATTGTTTGCCTAAGGATTGTCATCAAAAGGGAAGTGTCGGGTTGGACCCCGTGGAAGAAACGCCGGCCCCAAGTATGGTTTGGTCGATGACTCTGCTTTAGATTAGTCTTATGCCGTTGAGCAGCGCCATCTATTGTTTCCACAGGGTCACCTATGGTTTCACGTTGATGCCCTTTACTTGCCAGTCAGAACCAGCTATTTGGAAACACAAAGAAGGGAACTACAGTGGGTTTCTGAACGGCGGTGCGAAATGGGTTTCGCATCTGGCGTCCCAAAGCTTAGCTTTGGTGCATGTTGCTTGGATGTTAGGACTTTAACTTTTTGCCCACTAATGGATTTTCCATTAAACCACTAAAAGTTAAACTTTTAGCAGGGGAGCAGAAAGCAACCGAGTTAGTTGAGGCCTTTCAAGGTCGAACGCCTAAGAGATGAATGTAGGGCACCCGGCTGAAGGTGGAGCTAGCCAGCTTCCCTAGTGATGACCCACGCACGACACTGCCTCTTTTGCATCTTGCAAGCAAGTCACCTCTGGCGCCCCATGACTAGGGGTCTTTGCAATCATGTCTTCGTTTTTGTTCAGCCTCACTAAATGAGAGTGTCTTTTTAGAGGTTGGACCCCCGAAAATGGCCCAAGATGGTTGGTTTTCCAACAACCAACAGCATCCAAAAAACGACACACTCAGTTGTTAAAAGGCCAGGGGGCTAGCCATGGGCCATGTTTACACGGCTGGCCCCAACCTGACCCAAACATGGACCAAGCCATCTCGCGGCCAGTGCACTTTGAGCCTGGTCCACCCCATGTTCGGCGACGTGAACTATGGCGAGCTCGAGGACACGAGAGAAATGGCTCGCGTTTTCCGGACATCTAAAGACCAGAATTGACCTGACACAGTTTCGCCCCTTTTTGCCCATGTTCCTTGTGTTCGTTGTTTGTTTTTGCCAAATAAAATGCATCGGGTTTTTATACAAGCCCATTGTTTTTGTTGCCACCTTTTGGGGGTTTCTTTAATCTCGCTGCACCAGTTAGTTGCTAGATGTGGCCCGCGTGGAAGCTTTAGCCCCGTTTCGGGGCATCGGTTTCCCGGGTTCATTGTGGGGTTCAGGCCTCAACCTTTCAACCCGTGAACCAGTCAGAGGCTCATTATCAGCAACTTTAACCATCTAACCGTCCATCTCAATGATAAGCTGAACACAGTTTGCGTGGCTTTGATATTTAAGCCCATAGGCGAGGTACGCATGACAACATGGTCGGCGCAGCACAGGTTACTTCGTCATTTTGGTCAAAGGCCTGCATCGCAATCAACCCTAGAACCAGATGGGGGCGCCCCGGAAATGAAAACAACGAGAGCCAACCATCCCACAATGTCCGCCCATTTCTATATATATATATATATATATATGTATCAGTACACAAACATGCAAGCATAAACGACCTGAGTGCGTGTTATACATGTAGGGACTTATCTATTCGCAAACACATGGACACACACACACACACACTCTCACACACACACACACACACACGCAGGCAGTTAGACATTTACACCCTTAGACGTTCATACATGCATTCATGCATCGTACCTACGTACATTTAGATGATACATGCCTAACATCATCTCTCTCTCTCTCTCTCTCTCTCTCTGTAAAGGACGTATACATCCATACCAACATGCATCTCTACATCCACACTCTCATGCACCCGTCCATACATCCATGTATGCCCACATTCAACCAACAATCGCGCCCCATGGCTTGCAAGCGCTAAACATGTGCATCTGATTCTATGTAGAACCAGACCTCGCTAGATGTTCGTTGCCCGGCACCAATCCATTGTCAGGAATTCACGGTGCTGAGCTGCGTGGTGGATGGCAAAGAGCAGTCGCCGCCCAGATGGACGTAGCCCTAAAAGCCCTCAGTTTTTGAGGCGTCCCCTTGTCAGGGGAGGCTTCTTTTGGGGGGGTGCTCCCTCGGTGAACGTGCAGGGAAGTAGTTGGAACGAAGAGGGGCAGGATTAAACCACATGAGCATGAGCATGGGCTCAGTCCAGAAATACTGGGGTCTGCAAGACAATGGCGTTCTAAGCGCTGGAACCTTTGCTTGAGGCTCTTGGAGTTGTTGGTTCAGGTGGACCGGCAAGAAACACTTTGCAGATCCCACGTTCCAGAGGCCAATCTGATGTGGGGTTTGGGGCATGAATAACATCCCCCTTATATGAAAGTGGAGTCTTGGAACCTTTTGCAGTGCGAGTTCTTGGACCGATTTATGGCGTGTTCCTCTTTTTAAAAACCTCACTTAAGCTCTCGGCCCGAGCCTCCCAGCGGTTGAGTTGGGTCAGCAGAAAGCGGGCACACCCTTGCCATGGATCCTCGCCTTTTTGGTCCCATCGATGTCAGGGTGGGCCAATCTGTTCAGGGGTCTTCCAGCTTGGGGAAGTTCATGATGGCTGGCAGCACGGCTTCAGGGTTCCGGACGGTCGGCCCGTTTGCGTTGCACCACCGTGCTCGGCCGAGGAAGGTCGTTACTCTTTTTACAATCTGCAGGTGGACGTTCTTTTGCCTCTCTGGCACTTGACACGCACAGCCGACACTCAGGTATTCCGCATCGACCGTGACGCTTTTGCCTTCTCCCCTCATGTGGTTAAACTTTGTGCCGGCTTTGGGGGTATGGGCATCGGTGCCTCGCATTTGGGTGGACAGTCCGTTTTGTGCGTCGCCCACAACAATGTTGTTTGCAATCACCTGGCGGCCAACCATGCTCGTGTGTTGAAGCTTGATTTGAACCATCCTGCAGCAGCACAGCAGATACATCAGGCTTGCGGCAACACAGCCGCCACATTCATGCTCGGGTTTCCTTGCCAACCCTACTCCAGTCAGGGCAAGAGACTCGAAACACTTGATCCCCGAGCTCGAACCCTTTGGAGCGGGCTCCATGTCGCCTTCATGCTCCAATGCCAAGCACTCATCTTAGAGCGCGTTGTCGCCGCAAGGCATCATCCAGATGTTCGCAAGGCTCTCAGCTCCTTCGCATCTGCCATGAACTTTGATCTACTTGAGGTGGAGCTTGTTCTTTGCTCGCAATGGCCATGCAGGCGCCGACGTTGGTGGGCCTTGCTGCTGCCCAAACAATGGCATTCCACGGGCCTCCATTCCTGGCCGCATTCCTCACTCTTCACCAACATCGGATCTGTCATTGGTGGCAACAGGCCTGCCTGGCCAGCCGATGAGGATGCTGCTCCTCGACTCTGTTGAGATCAACCGCTACACCGATCCATCCCTTGCCCTTGACGACATCTCCCACCATCCTACACAGCTATGGCAACCCTCCAAGCCTGTCCTTGCTACTGCCGGCTTCAGGGATTCTCGGAGGCTAGCCTTGCCTCGAAAGGGCTTCGTGGCTTCTTCGTGCGAGCCAACCCATCTGGCTCGCCTCGTTTTCTGCACCACAAAGAGGCCGCCATCCTGCTGGGGGTTCCATCTGACATTCAATACGTGCTTCCACCACGTGCCAACTTGGCGCTATTGGGGCTCATTGCCTCCCCTCTGCAGTCCACCTGGGTCTATGCGAGTCTCCTTGCCAACTTTGCTCAGGCCACCAACGCCATACAGTCCATCTCGCCAAGGGCTGCTATTCAATCTCTACAGGATCGATTGCTTTGTCAATGGCGACTACAACTTACGGTCCATCGTTCTGATGGACCCGAGGTGTCAGCCACAACTTTTGCGACAGCAACAGCTGACTCTGTGATGCTAGCAGAGCGCATCCATGCCGAATGGGGGTCTACGACCAAACTCACTCAACTGCACAACGAGCACAGCACCACAACCGTTTGGACCCATCAACCGACGCAAGAAGCAACGGACCCTTCCACCTACTCAGCCGGTCGACATCTGCATCATTCACGAAGATGTGATGCACTGCACTACTGTTGCCGCTGGCAGCTTCCTGTTTGAGCCGTTGCGCCACCTTGGCATCTCTGCCAACTTCCTCTGGCACCACCAACTTGGGCTCATCGGAGCAGACACGCGGGTCTGGCTCCCCATTACCGTGTCCACTTTCTGGCCTCAAGCTCTTGGGGTTCAAGCCCAGCTCCGCCTTGCGCATGGCGAGCCCTCGAACAACCCCGGCCCTGGTCTTGCAGAAAACTTCTTTGGCACACCTTGCAGCAGATTGCCGGGACTACTGCTCCATCAGCCGCCGACCCTGTTGTATGTCTCCTTCATCCAGGTCTTGGCGAGGCCATGCACACACCTCCACACCACCAGCACACACCTTCCAATCTCTCTCGGCCGCTATCTGCGCCCGGCGCACACACTCTGCTTTCCTTGTTGTCGGACTCTTCATTGTCCATGGGCACTGGATCACATTGGCCGGAGACTGCCAGCCCCACACCATTTTCTGGACCTACCACGACGGGCTTGGGCTCCACCTGATCAGTCAGGTGACGCAGCTAGCCTCAGATCTGACACGCCTCTTGGGGGCTTCACCGGCCGACTCTCTTCGCCAAGACCTTCCTTGGACCTGTGGCACCATTGCCCTTGCACACGCACTGCATCACATCACCAGCTGCGACTTGCCACAACCACAACAGATCGCGGGGATCCACCAGGAGCTTGTTTTTGTTCAGGGATCTGTTTCTTGCCCACCCGGTCTTGGTCCCACTAGCACCACTGCCCAGCTTGCCACTCTGCTCACCACTCAACCCAAAGCCCACGACCGGCTCAACATCACCGCTTCGAGACGTACCCAGGACCATTTGCAACGGTACTCTGACCCCAGTCTGGTGGTTCCTCCGATCCCTGGCTTGAACCTGGTGGTGACCCTTGGAGTCGCTGCTCCAAAAACACTGCATTTGCGCCGCCTGGGCTTCCTACTCCATCCGCAACCACCAAGACTCGCTTTGACGAGATTGCCAAAGAGCTCAGGGCAGAAGTCCAGGCCACCCTCCGCTCTGAAGTCGCTGGGCATCAGGCCATGACAGATGACCCGGATACTCAATCCAGACTTCACAAGCTCGAAACTGACATCACCGAGATCAAGTCGCACAATCACCACTTCAACCAGGGGTTCAACCAGGTCAGTGCCCAGCATCAACAACTCGAGAATGTTGTCTCCACCGTACAGGCCACTCTTTCAACCCATCAGCATGAGCTCTCCGGGCTCCGCCAGGAGCATCAGCAATCCCAGGAACGCATTTGGCAATCTATGCAGGGCCTGAGACAGGACCTTGCCACCGACATGGGCGCACGCTTTGACTATCGAGGCCATGCTTAGCAAGCGGCCTCGCTCCAACGAGTGACTCCGTCATCCGGAGGTCAGGAAGCGGTCGCCTGGCCTGCCTGGTTGTCACTCTGACCGCGCTTGGGCTCATCGCTTTCGCTTTTGGGCCATTTTCATCTTCTGCTCACTTTGTGATGTCACTGCTCAGCCCTTCACCCGGCTCTCCGTTCACAGCGCGGCTGGGGCTTCTGCCTCAGACTGCGATCTTGGGTTGGGGGCTACCTGTGGCAATCACAGTATCTCCTCCGAGTGGCCTGGTCCTGGTTTTCTACGCATCGGGGAAGCTAGTCACCCTGGACCTCCGTCCACCCTCGGCATCTCTTGCAGCAATCCTAGTGGCCTTAGAGGCAAAGAGCCTCTCTTGCTTTCGCTTGGCCCCGGCATTCACGCCGTTGCCGAAACCACCCTGCCCGCTGTCTCCGGCATCCTTTCACGGCATGCCCACCATTCCAACCGCCTTGTCCGTTCACTGGCAGGCTCTCCTGTCGCCTTGCGACACAGCTCGACATGGGACATGGAGTGGCGTTCTCACCGCCTCTGACTTTCCATGCCATTCTCTCGACATCTCGTGGCCTCTCGAAATCTGGGAAACCGGCCGTGTCCAACTGACCTCACACCAAGTGGGTCCCCACAGGATTTTGGTTGCCACAATCTACGGCTATGCCCGTGGACCTACCTGGCCACGTGCACATGAGCTCACAGAGCAGATGTTGACCCACTTGACCGAACACTTGGTTGTCGGGTACTCCGGCATGGCAGCCATTGTCGGTGACTTCAACGCCGACCCACATGAGCTGCATCAATTCGACGTCTGGCGCACCTATGGCTGGGAGCATGCACAGGAGCTCTCCCATCAACGCTGGGCACTCCCATTGTCCCCACTTGCAAAGGGGCTACACAACGCGACATGATCTGGCTTTCGCCCGCCCTTGCTTCTCACTGCAGCCAAGTCAACACCAACGATCTGTTTGTTGATCACCTCACCCTCTCCGCCTCCTTTGAGCTTCCGCTCGCTACTTCCACCTACCTTTCCTGGCCACTTCCATCCAGGCTTCCCTGGACTGATACCACTACGCTGCCCTCGCACGACTCGCACTACACTCCTTTTGCTACTGGCAACAATACCACCCACTTCTTTCGCAGCTTCTCACAGCAGTTTGACCAAGCCGCTGCCGACTACATCACCAACACGCAGGCTACTACTCTACCGCCTGCTTGTCTCGGACGGGGCCAGCGCACTTCTCCTATGGTCAAGACGGCCCACCCACCTTGTTGCCGTCCTCACAGGCCGGGCGAAGCTGCTCTTTGCTACGACTTGCCCGGCCGTTCGGTGCTCCAGTGGTACAAGCAACACCGGCGGCTCCAGTCCTACTGTCATGCCATTCATGCAGGTCAACAGCACACGGATGCACAGCTCTACCGTGCCTCGCTCTGGGCAGCCGTCCGCAGGGCCCGTGGCTTCTGTCCTACCTTCTCGAGCTGGTGGGCACGCCAGGACTTCATTTCAGTCACTGGCCCACTCCCTTGCAACCCGCCCCCGGCTCCTCTTGCTGATCTTATCTTCGCTGCTTTCCACCTCCGCTTTCGGGAGTTTGAGCAATGGCACATCCAACAGCGATGCTCCATCCTAAAAGCCAAACGCGCCACCACCTCTGCAGGATGTGCGTCCACCTCAGCGGGAACAGATCGACTCCTTGTGGGTTGAGCAGGAGTTCACTGTCCTTGCCACAGATGGGGACGGACCGATCCAGATTCAACTTGATGACACCCCGCAACCCGCGGGGTCCAACACATGGGCAGTGGATGGGGTTCCCACCCATGTCACCGAACAGGTCAACGACGTCATCACCGTTGATTCGACCTTGGTTCCTGCAGCCGGCGCTCTGGCTACACAACGCAAGCACTTCACTTCTCCCAGTGAGGTGCAGGATCAGCTTCAGCTCCTCTGTGCCCCTCGTTGGCTCCAGGATTCCGCTCCTTCCGTCTCTGACTGGGAGCGTATTACCAATTTTGCTCGGCACTACTTGCCGACTGGCACCTTTTCTGTAACGCCCATCACTGTCAATCAATGGCGCCGGTCCATCAAACGTTTCCGCCAACGCGCCGCGCGTGGCTGCGATGGCTTTGATCGATGTGATCTGCTTGCCATGTCTGACTCCCAGGTCAGCACGCTGCTTTCACTTCTACACGCTGTTGAGGAGAGCGAGGACTGTTCTCTCGCTTGCCAAAGTGGAGGCCCCGCTTGCAGTGCACTACCGTCCCATAGTACTGCTCAGCATCATATACCGCTGCTGGGCCTCTTTACGCTCTCGCCAACTACTTCGCTGGCTGGCCCAACTGGTGCCGGAAGACGTTCATCCCCGGCAGGGAACCTGCCCAGGTCTGGCTTTTGCTACAGGCTCAGATCGAGGCCACTATTGAGTCACAGCATTCGCTATGTGGGCTCTCCTCTGACATAGTCCGGGCATTCAACAACATCCGAAGAGTTCCCCTCTTCGAGCTAGCAGCCCATCTCGGCATCCCTTCCAGGCTTACCTCTCCTTGGAAGAAGTTCCTGTCAACTTTCAGGCGGCGCTTCTCTGTTCACGGCCAACTCAGCGATGCTTACACCTCCAACACGGGGTTTCCGGAAGGTTGTCCATTGAGTGTTGCCGCCATGGCAGTCCTCAACTGGAGCATGCACGCTTACCTTGCTCGCTTCAACCCGGAAGCTAGGCTCCGTAGCTTCGTTGACAACCTCACCATCACGGCCACCGCCGCCAGACAAGTTGCCGGGGCCTTCTGCACGCTCCGGACATACTTGCACCTTTGGGGGCTACAGCTCGACGAGCAGAAGACTTACACCTGGGGAACCACCACTGCCACTAGGCGTGCCTTCGATTTCCCGTCCTTCCGGACGCTCGTGAGTTGGGCGGCACAGTCTGCTACGGCCTGCAGAAACGCAACCGGCTCTTCTTACAACGTTGGGCTGGGCTGGAACCCTACTGGCGGGCCCCTTAGCCCGTAAACTCTATGCCTTGCCCGCTGTCTTCTGGGGCAAGGCCCTGCATGGCGCTGGCGGCACTGTCTTCAGTGACCGTCATCTTCAGAAGCTGCGCACTCAAGCAGCCAGGGCCCTCCACATCCAGCACGGTGGGTCTAACCCACTGCTTCGGCTCTCTTTGTCGCGCCCTGCCACTGCCGATCCGGGCTACTACCAGCTTCGGCGCTCAGTCTTCGACTTTCGCCGTATTGCTCTCAAGTCACCAGAGCTTCTGGATCACTGGAGCGCCTTTTGCAACACAAGACATCGCGCCACCACCACTGGGCCTTTTTCCAAGATGCAGCAGCTCTTTGAGCTCATCGGCTGGAGTGTGCTTCTCCCGCCTGTTGTTCAGGATAACGATGGGGTTGGGCACAACCTGCTCGGCCTTGATCCCACTGCTCTCGAGCATCTGCTTCATGACGCTTGGGCAGATTTTGTTGCCCGGCAGGTGCGACATCGCAAGGCCCTTCAACAGCTACAGGGACTTGACCTCGAAGCCATACAACACGGCTTCGACCGCCTCACGCCGCACCACCTTGCCATCACAATGAGCCTACACGACGGTTCATTCTTAGCCCCTTCGCAACAGGCTAAATTTGACAGCTGCCAGTCTGGGCTCTGCCCTAGCTGCGGCACTCCAGATGAACCCTCACACTGGCTGAGCTGCCCTCGCTTCGCAGACATTCGTGCCGGCATGCCTGAGCTCACCTCAGCAACCCACAGCGCCGCAGCGCCACAGCATTTCACAGCATTTGTTGGTCGCCAGGTCCCGGCATGCAACATTGTTGAAGTCTTATTTTGCAACTCTTGAAGACTCTGTTGACGTCCTCTGCGAGCCGGGCACTGGACCTCAACATTTGTTTACGGATGGGAGCTGTATCCGCAATTCCAGACCTTCGCTTGCGGCTGCCAGCTGGGCAGTAGTCAATGCCAGCACCGCGAGACCGGTTGCTGGCGGGCCACCTCCTGGTTTAACACAAACTGCTGCACGTGCTGAACTGTATGCCATTGTTGCCGCGGTTCACTGGGCTTTTTTCCATGATCAGCCCACTCACATTTGGAGCGATTCGCAGGAAACTGTCAGGTTCGTTACTGAGCTTTTGGAGCAGCCACAGATGCATCTGGACAGCTCCTTGGGGCTCTTTGGCCTGAAAGCTTTACTTGCCGAACTCTTGCTACAATGCAACACGGGATTGGTTCACATACATTGGATTCCTTCTCACTTGGATTTCAGTTTGTGCACCAGCGAGTTTGAGGAGTGGGCTTGCCTTTGGAATGATGCCGCTGACAGAGCAGCCGGCATATGCAATCGCAACAGGACCCCTGCCTTTTGGGAACTTTGGAACGGCGAATCCCAACGCTTCGACCTGGTTACCTACCAGCTTCGGGTACATCGCAATTTCTTTTGTGCAGTTTCTGAAAGGCTTCAAGCTGGACAGGAAACACCTGAACCTGCTGCCCCTCCTTCTGCGGATACCGATTGGGGCCTGGTTGTCGGTTATACAAGTTTGGTTGAGGCCGCTCCGATCAATTGGGGACCGCTTCACGAACTTTGCACTCCGGCTTACCCCATTGCACTGGTCAGGTTTGTTGCCGAACAGATTGACGCTCTTGACGATGCTGAGCTGAGCTTTATGCCTATCAGCTACATTGAGCTTACCCTTCTTTTGGCCTGCACCTCGCGATTGCGCCTACCCAAGCAGAACAGTGATGACATTTTTGACCCTGCATGTTTCTTTGCCCGGCCGTCCATTGCCACTTGTGTCGGACATGTCAAGTCCGCCATCCGGCACTTTTGTACAGCCTTTGGCCTTGGCCATTACCATGCCGGGCAGCTGTGTCGTGCCCACAGCCACATTTATATCCCGACTGACGGTATCATCCTCAGGATTTCGGGTGAACTTAGGGATGCCGCGATCTCGCGTGTTCTCCGCGCCACCAATGGCCGGGGGATTCGTCGGGTTCACGATTTGGCTCGCCCCATTTAGGCCACTGTGCCTACACGACGTTGGCGCTGCACCGCATAGCTGTGCGCGTCGGAGCTCGCGCAAGTCCGAGATAAAAACCTCACTTCGCTTGATCGCCGGTTGCATCCAAAGCTGCCGACCGAAATCCGAAGCCACCCGAGGATCACAGTCTTCACCCTGCAGAGCGAGGCCAACGGCCTGAAGCGCGTGTGGTACCTCCTCAGCCCCTCGACGTGTTCGGCGCGGAGAAATTTTCACGGCTTCGCTTTGGTTTCGGTTCGCTGGTCAACTCGTTTTTCCAGCTTTTGGTTTGGAGCTGGAAGACCCGCTGAAAGGTCAACTCGTTTTTGATGCTTTTGGTTTGCAAGTCAAACAATAAAATAAAGCGTGGCCCCTGTTTTCCCATCGCTAGAGCAGGTCTGAGAAAATGAGCGCAATCCGCACAAGCTGGTCTGGGAGGGAGGGGGGGGACGAACCATGGGTATCAGCTACTTGCGAAGTGTCCTTGCTAGTAACCAGAGGAATTTGTTTTGTGACCGTGACTAGTTTGCCTCTCGCAGCATTTTCCACATCACGACCCTGAGGTGTTTTTTTTGCATGTGACCCTAGCTTGTAATGACCTGATTAACCTTGGTGGCTCCCAGTTGCCCCTTTAGCCTTTTCCCTTTTTAGGGTTTAGTGCTAGTTTCCATGTAACCCACTAAAAGTTAGTCAGTGGTTTTTGTGGGTTTTCCATGGACCCTTGTCCATCAATTGGTCCCCCAGCCAGCACCCTGTTTTTTGGTTGGGAGATTCGGTTCCCCTACTCAAATAGACGTCCAGAAAAAAATGGGTACCCAAAAATTCTAACCTCTCTACTGGAGGACCCAGGCCATGGGTTTCAGATAGCTCATCATTGACATAGTTCGGCCAGTTTGATCAGTCCGCGGCTTGGTATGGCTTGGCAGCCTGGCATGGTTTACCGCTTGACTCGCTACAGTTCTCTTGAGTCTACCATAGTTCACCGCCGTTTACCATGCTTTCATGTCACCACTCAGAGCCCAACGTGTGTTTTTCTCCTTGCACCCCTTTTGGCTGTTCTCCATCGGGGGCTCAAGCAGATTTCAAAGTGAGCCACCAAAAAAAAGGCGATCGTTTCAGTGGGGGTTCCACCATTTTGTTTGATCAACCTTTGATTTGGGAAAATCCTCTGACCCTTGTCGATGTACAGCCAAGACCTTTCTTGAGGTTTTTACATGTATATGTATATGTATGTGTGTATATTATATATATATATGTATGTATTTAACAAAAGGGGGGAAACACGGAATACCAGACAGAGCGCCAAAAAACAAGCAGTACCTTGTTTGTTTTCCCTTTACCCCGCTCGATGCAGGTGCTCCAGCAGCAACCCTGCAATCCTAGCCTCAGGTTCGCAAGCGCTCTTTGTTTCCCCCCGTTTTTTTGGGGGAGAGAAAACGCCTCTTTGACTGCTACGGACACCTCTTGGTGGCCACCGGCCACCGATTTTTTTCCCTTGGGGAGGGGGAAGCCACCCATGGCTGAGATGAAAATTGGGGTTCTGTCACATGAGAAGCCGGCAACTCGGCAAATCGGCGTCAGAACACGAGCTCTTCACGGAGAAGGTGAAGAGCGCGCCCTATCCGCCCTCCATGACGAAAGTGAGGACTGCTCAATGCGCGCCGGGTGTTTTCTTCACACGCTGGTTTTCTTCCGGGCTTTTGTTTGGGATTTGCTTGCACAAAGGGACTGCAACCCATCTAATGTTGGGTTCTGGACCCTGGTTTTTCCAAGCCGGTTTTCGTTACCTTTGGAGAGACTCCTCCCTTCTCACTGGCGCAGGACGTTGCGGTACTTCTCCCTGTGGAACCAGGCCGCCGAGCGTTCGATCGTTTAAAATTGATGGCTCTTGGTGGTTCCCAGCCATCCCCGGTTTTTAGTTGCTTAGTCGGTTTTCGTGGTTGGGTTTCCGAATTTAAACCACGAGTTAGTCAGTTTTAGCCATCGGGGATCAGAAAAGGGACTGTTGAGGACATAGATGGTTCGCTAAATGGTTGGCGAATCTAGTTTGAAGGCCTCGAGTAAAGTGGGTGTATGTGTGTGTGTGGAGCTTCCGGAGAAGGAGTGTTAGGACACCTGATCTTGTTCTGGATCCCTTTGTTTTTTTGGGGTTCCCGTGCATTTGCAGTGCGAAGAGCGGCCTGTGGGCAAGGGAGCGCAGCAACCGCTCTTTCAGGAGCCCCATTGAAGTTTTGGTGTTTTGTGTGTTTTTTTTCCCCACCATTTTGTGTCAAGGTGAGTTTCCTTGGTAGGGGTGATGTGTTTGTAAGCTGGACATAGGGGGAGCCCGGTTTGTTTGCTGTTCGGGAGAGACGACCTTGGGCCGCCCATCCCTTCGATCCGAAAAACATCTTCAGCCAAAGTTCTCCATGACCCAGAAAGAGACTGGGGCCATAGGGCCATAACCTCTGATTTTTGGGTACCATTCTTGGATCTGAAGGAGACTCCAGGATCGGTTTGCTTCACAAGACCAAGGAACGGGACTTCAGCCCCCAACTCCGGCCCCCAACTCCGGCCGATTTCTGGGCCCTATCGACCGCTAGGGAACTTCAGGCGGGTGCCTGAGGCTCTTGAAGGAGATATGGTTGGCTTGATCGCAAGGTCAAGAGAAAACATGTTGGGTGACCAAAGAAACCGACCAGAAAAGTTACCCAACAGGTCGAAACAAAACCAAGCGAAGAAACAGATATGACTTTCGCCACATGGGAGAAGTTAGCCATGATCATTTTGGGGCCAGGAATCTTTGATCAGCACCCAGCTGGCCCCGCTGAGTGCATGTGCTTGTTGAACGTCCCAGACGACAAGAAACTGAGCAACGGGCCAACTGATTTGGGTGACTTTCTGAGTCAAGAATCCCGCCCGAAAACCAATGACACGTTTCGAGGGGGAGAGTTTGTTGCTAGTTGTGCGACAACTGCAGCCAAGGTGGTCAGGGACCCAACCCATCCTCTTATTTTGCCCGCACCCGTTCTTTGCCGTTAACTGTCTTCCGCCCCCCCCGATTGCCAGTGCGTTGGAGCGGCAGTTCCCAAAAGGAGCTTCGAACCACTCGCCTTGCTAGTGTCAAACTCGGGGCACCCCCCAAGACCGATGAATTTCCCTGGGGGTTCCTCACTGAGCGAACCCGTTTCCGCCCCCAGCGAGCGAGCCGGGGATCTTTTGGATGGATCAGGCCACCGCGATGCTGATCAAGAAGCTTCCTGGATCGGGTGTGGGGTGAGAGCCCGTGAGTGCTTTTTGGAAGGAAGCCAACGTGGAACCCAACGCGTTTTGGGGTCCATAGACTTTGGGGTCCATAGACGAAGCCGCTTTTGTTCCCCTTTTCGCTTTTGGCAAAAAGCTGCTGCGCAGCGAGTTGGCAAGGAGAGAAGCAGCTCGCAGGAAGCAAACGCTGATAGAACCCCTCCACGGGTTCTCCATCGACTTGTTATTATCCCTGCGTCGTCGACATCTTCCATGAGCCATTTGGGTGTGGGTCAAAATATTTCACCGCCAGGGGGTAAGCAGGGGGTTCGTCCTTTCCATTTACCGATCGGGCAACCCATTTTAGGGGTTTCCAAACATTTTGGAGCACCACCGCCATTTGTGCCACGGTCAAAAGACCGGGTTCCTTTACTTGGGGTTAACAGGGATGGTCCACTTGGTAGTCAGGATCCTTAGCCATGATAGTGGTTCCATTTTTGAGAGAACCATGACCCAATCGGCCGGAGTTTTGACCGTGGCTCATTTGTTGACAAAGGTCATACACTCGTTGCCTGTGGACATCCTCGTTTGGTTCCGGTCAGGTGGACCTCCAAAGGGTGGAACCCACCAGTCAACTGCAACTCTTTGAAGGGGACCCCCGGTGGTCCAGCGAGGTGCCCGTTTACCGAAACCTTTTTTGGTTGGGAGATTCGGCTCCCCTACTAAAATAGACCTTCCGAAGAAAGTTGGTACCCTTATTCTATCCTCTCTACTGGAGGACCTAGAAGAAATCCAGTCACGGAAGCCGGGGGACCCAGTTGGCTGAAAAAGAACCACCCCTTTTTGTGGGGTGAGCCCGACATGTCTGAAGAAGGGCCACCTCAAAAACAACCCTCACACTGGGTGTGGCTGTTTTTTGGTGGTACCACTTTTGGGATGGTTTAAAGGGCAACCAACAGGAAGCCATCCATTTTGGGGGTTGCAATTATTATTCTGAAACAAACCTGTTGAATGGCTTTCCTTTCGGAGTGATGCGTGTGACATAAAATGCTTTTGCGATCCCTGGTCCGCGATTCCGCGTCCGCACGCGTCCGCGATTCCGCGCGCGTGTCGCGCGTCTTTTGCTTCGAGGCTGAAGCCAGACATCTACCACTGCATGGACTACCACGCGGCGCTGGCGCCCTTGTACCTCGAGGCCCCGATAGCGAATCGGTGCGAGAGATGCGATCGGGAATGAGAGTTATGGGCTGACCCCGAAAGAAAGACCATCCAGGTGGTTTCCAACACCTGGGTTCGTTCCCAACACCCTAGGTCATTTCCGAAAGAAGACTGAACTACAGTACCACATCTGTTTGCTTTAGGGCCGCTCTACGGGCAACGAACAGACTTGACACTTGGATGTTCTTTCTGCAGGAAAGTTGGCAATTTCGCCCTGCTATATGGGACAACGGGGTTAGTGGACATTTACGCATGGTAATAACCTACTTACTTAACGTGGGTTGACTATCCAAGTGGTGTTTGTTAGAAGATCCCCACACCCTTTAGAACGGATTTCGGGGAATTGGGAGAGCGAGGATTTCGGTCTTTCCATTGCATTGAGACATTTGTTTTCTTTCCTCTTGTGGGAAAGACAGGAACAACTCGTGCTATGGATGTTCAGTTTTGGTCTCCAGCGATCCGGTTCCAGACAGGTTTGTAGGTTTTTACGTTTGGTTGGGTGTCCGACTTAAACCCACAAGTCCGTCATTTTATGCGCCGAGCGCACTCGTTTCGGGTGGTTTCGCCGATAGGCGCATGAGCAGATTCCCATCATCTTGGTGCTGCACAACGCCGACTACATGGGAGCAGCTCGGTGTGTTGGCTTCACGGACCAAGCCGAAAGAAAGTAAATGGAGCGATTTAGGTCGAAAAGGGTTGGGTTGTTTTCCATTTCCAGGGTCAGCAATAGGTCACCTGAGACGGGGGTCTATAAATTCCGTCGTTTCCGCTTTGAGAGTCGTAGCAATTTGCCCAGATAGTTGGCGACAAGGGTTGAGCGGGAAAACAGCGTGAATCAGACCCAACGAGCGAATCGTTAGATTGGGCGATGTTGTCCAGTTCCATTTGATATCCTACCTTTTTTTTTGGGACCCCGCTCCGGTGAGATGGGTCTGTCTAGACCGGATTCCGGTGTGGTTTCTCCCCACTGGTCTTCAGAAACGACAAGCACCCGGCACGATCTCTCGGTGGTTGGTCTAAGGTCCCATTCATGCCGCTTTTTGCCAGGTGATGTTAACTTGAGATGAATCCGGAGGGCCCTAGTCAGAGGAACCCCAAAACTAGATCATGTCTAAATGGAAATGTAGTTCTCTGATAAGTACGGCGTGGATTAATCTGAAGTTAACGTTGCCCTGGCTACTACTGTAATGTGGTATGATGCCCTGTTCGTTCTCTGCAACTAGGATCTGAGAATCAGTGGTAACTCCCCTCAGGTCTAATTACATGACAACCGTCCTGGTATTCGCAGGGGTCATTGTTTTGACGGTTTCTGGGGTTATCAAAGTCAGAAATGGGATTGTGTCCCTGTAACCCACCACTGAGGGGGTGACTTTGACCATGGTAAAATGAGGCCAGATTCGGGCGAAGTGGATTGGGAGGTTCCTCGTCGGGTCATTTGCCAACTGAGACGATTATTTCTTGGGATCCCATACTTTGGGTTGAATCCAGAAATTATCTTGATGGATGATTTCCGTTCGAACCACGAATTGAAACCATGGTTGAAACCATTGCTTGTTGGAATGTACAGGGGAATCGAATCATTCAAGGGTTCTTAGGTGGTGCAGAATTTCGTCCATCCACAGTAGTTTCCCTACTGCCCCATATTCAAAGTAGATGGTGTAATCTGTTGGGTCAGCGGTAGCATCTTCCATCGTTGCCCTTACACACACGATGACGGCAGACAAGGTGAAGACCAAGAGCTCGAATGGCTGTCAAGGGCAATGCGGATTTCCATTCGATGGTGACCGTCAGTGGGGGGGGGGACAATGTAGTTTGTGTGATCCAGTGTTTTTGAGTTTTAGTCCGCATACTTGCTCTGGGTAGACAAAATGGCAGTTTTCGTAAGTATTCATCCATCCCACATGGTTCAGGATTTTGTCCATCTACAGTACCATGAATTCTTCAAAGACAACACCAACAGTGATCACTTTCGAATGAACAAACTGCTTTGGCAGCAAGTGTCATCTCAGGTCATTGACACGGACTTCATCAGCGATCGCTTCTGGCTGCCCGGCGCTTTTAGGTGTGTCTTAAGAATAGCCAACATCGAACGCTGACCAACTGAACGGTGGGGCATGTTCCCAATCCTGAATCCTTGTGTAGGGACAATGAGGCTTAGAATGCAACTTCTCTGACACCAACGGACTGCTCTAAAGTCACAGTAATTATAGAGATGGCCCATTTTGGTATCGCAGAAGGGTACATTCTCCGCGACCGCGCTTTATCCTTGCACGCTTTTGGGGTAGACTCGTTCCAACTAATTTGATACATGCTGGTTTTGACTGAGTCGAACTACTGAAGGTAGACCGGACTGCCACACCCCCAAACTCAAACAACAGGGAACCCAAGTTTCAACAGGGGGTTGTAACCCGAGAGGTGGCACTTTGATCGCTTGGTTTGGTTAATTTTCTGGGTTCCACGGGTGCTAGGTTTATATTGCCCATTTACCTGGCAACTCCATCATAGCAAAAGGACACCTATGAACCGGTTGGTCTTCTTGGGTTTTCCTTACCCGATTTGGTCGATTGGGATCAGAAGGTTTTGGACCGTATCATCAGATACCACCAGAAGCATGTCAAGGCTGTGGTTAACCCTTGCATGAGTCGTGTAGATGCATACATATATATCTACATATATATGTATACATACGCATAAAGCAAAAAAACAACAACCTCACATCTGAAAGTCGCTCGAGACTCTCCCCATGCTGACGGGGTCTGTTGAATGGGGGTTGCAGACTATGCAGGCCTTCGATTTTTCGCCGATCGCCCCCCCGTTGGAACGAGCCTGGCTCGTTACGTTGCAACATGGGTCTGTCTCAAGATAGCTCCCTCTTTTTGCGGGTAAAGCGAACCCACTATATCAGGCCTTCGGAAAAGGGAACCAATCCGGTGACCTCCATGATTATGCAAACGTGGAGGGTATTTGATACTCAACTGACTGGACCAAAGTTCAACTCTGATGTCTCTTGCTTCGGCAGGTCATCCAAAGAGGAAGTTTCAGACGTCATATTCCGGAGGTTGACTTAAAGGAAATCAAGCACGGATTTCAACTGTAGGGATTTCCTACGTAGCTTTCTCAGAGATCCCGCATGGAACCGGCGAACTCAGGAAGACAGTTACTCAGCTGCGGCGGTTGAGCCTCATCTTGAACTTGCAGGCGAGCTGGGCTGGGCTGGGCTTGGGCTGGCTGGCTGGGTGGATGGTTGGTTGTTTGGCCGGCTTGGCAGCGTCCCCAGCATCATGTGGAGTTTGGCACGTTTCAGAAGTGAACTTGCTGCTTGCGCGGGCTTGCTGTGACAAACTGGCTTAAATGATGCTGGGGATGCTGGGGATGCTGCCTTTGCTGGTCTAAAGGGAAGCCAAAAGGACCACCGAAGCCCTGTTTTCTGGTTTTCTTGTGTTTTTTTTTTTTGTTTCTGGGTGGTTCAAAACGTCCCCCCTTCTGGGTGGTCTAAAACTGCCCTTCGAAACTTTGAGAGGACGCGACCCTCGAAGCGTCTTGCACCGTCCAAAGCGCGTCTGATGCTCGACCCTCGGGGGGGAGTTCCCTCGGCTTCTTCTGTGTCAGTTGTTCGGAAGCTCGGGCGCCACCCGCCCTGACTTGCAAGGCCATTGAGTCTGACTGTTCCTCCAATTCTAGCGGGTGGAAGGGGTGAAGCTTGTTTCCTTTGGTTGGAAGCTTGTTTCCTTTGGTTGGTGTGTTGCGTTTCGGTTGGCTTTGATAGATATGGAACCCTCATTGGTGTTTTGTCCATCTTCCTCTGAAGATGGGCTCCCCCAACTCCGCCAACCCACCAACAAGGGTTCCAATTCTTCTCATTTTCACTTGTGGGTTACTGGTTGCAATTCGTGTTGCCACTACTGCTGCTATTGCTTCTGCTATTGCTTCTGCTGGTCCCCCCCCCCCCCCCCGCGCCTGGTTACGCCAGGTGTCGACCATCCGAAAGTATTGCATGTTCGAGGGCCGGTTCAACATGCTCAAGGCCGGTGTCACCTACATCAAGCAGACCCAGGCGCGGGCACTGGCCCAACCCAAACTCCACAGTGGGGCTGGGCTTTGGCTCAACAGAAGAACCGAATAGGACCAAGAAAGCGCCAGAAGATGCGAGTTCTTCTTGCCCCCGGATTCATGACCCGGCGGATTGATAGCGGGGTGTCCCGCGATCTGCGCACAACGTAGAATCCAAAGCTTTTCGGTACTGTCATGGATCAGGGAACCCGTTGACCGAGTTCCAATAAACGGGTTCTACGCCAAGGGACAATCATGCATGTAGCATCCTAGAACTTCATACACCCCATTTAGGGTAACCAAAATAGAAAGCATGGACCATTTTGCATCATCACGCAACTACCCTGGAAGCGCAAGTCTCGTCTTGGGTAACAAACTTGTTTGGGCAGGTTGAGGGTTCCATGTGGCTCTTGCAGCTGGAACAAGCACATTTGGTGCAGGCAGTAGCGCTACACCGCGAGAGGAAATGGTGCGCTTCTTTGCCAGAGCAAGCCATTTCGGGCCGATGCCTATTTTTGAGCCACACCCACGTGGGTATGGGTCAAAAATGAACCACCAGGAATTGGACCGCAGGTTTTACTCCATGTTTCCATTTACCAGGGTGCCATGTTGGGTACATATTTTTGAGCCACACCCATGTGGAGAACAAGATGCGAATGACACATGTGGGTGCATTTGTTTGACGAGTCGGTACCCACTTTTTGGGTGGGTTTAAGGGGACACCAAACAGAAAACCACCAATTTAGTGGGTTCCTCTAGAAAAGACACCCACTTGCACACAAGCAAACTATGAGCCGGATGACAGGTGATGCCATTGAGGCAGAGACGTGAGCATTGCAACTCGAATTGTGGCAACGTCAGGCGAGACAACCGTCTTAGGAAGAGAACGGAAGGACATATTCGTTTAGTGCGCTTAGACGTTCGACACCAAGCTTTCCTGGGGGGCGATTTCGCCATTCGGTGGGCGACTCATAAATTTAGGGATTTCTTGACAAGTAGATTGGGTGCCACGCAGCACCCATAAGTGTTATTCTTCCCAGGAGAGACTAAAGGGCATGATAAGGGGCGTAGTTTGGCAATTTGTCCAAGACCCCCCTCCCGGCGGATCTCAATTCATCAGATGTATGCTATGCCATCGGGTTGTTTCTGCGAAGTTCTTAGACCAAAGAAGGACAAGCGATCACACGCATTACTCTCCAGATTAACATGGAACCCGCAAAACCAGGCAACAGGTGATCATCTGAGAAGTGCCAGGCGGGGTATGGCATTTGCGCTGTGTCGGAGAACTATGCGGCCGGGAAACCCAGCGACCGCGGGTCGGAGTTCCAGCTGATTCCATGGCGAAAAATGTAGGGGATCGCCTTTTGGGGATTTCCAAGGAAAACCACGAGGAACAGTTCATTGTCTTTTTGTTTTGAGCCTCAGGTTCATTCGAAACGCAAAGCATCGTCAGGGTTCATTGAGAGATTTTAACCTCAGCTGTCAAGCAAGCCCGAAAGGGGTGCACTTGGAGTTGTTTGTTCAGAGTTTCGGTTCCCGAAAGTCTTGAGTTTGAGGTGGAGCTGAAGCGTGAGCGCACGCTCTTCGCAGGGCTGCCGTATCTCATCAGCCTGGATAATGCGCCTTGGCCATGTGAGTCACACAGAGAAGTGTTGTTTGGAGGGTAGAGACCTGCGTTTTTGTAGGCAAAAACCGAGCTCACCATGCTAAATGGCAGTTTCCAGGTGTTTATCTGCAGGTGTGCCTATGCTCAAGACAAACAAACCCCACCGGGTTTTCCAGCCACCTCACCAAAATCAAATCATCCGAATTCCCCGCTTCCCCCGCGCAAGCGTCGCTCGCGCCGAGGCCACAGACCCGGCGGAGGACAACAACTGCTCCCTGGACCGGCTGCGGGCGTTGCGCTTCGAGGCCAAGGCCCAGCTGCAGCGCCACTGCGGCGCCTTCGGCGTCGAGGGAAAACGGGGAGACAAGGGTGCGACCGGGAGAAAAAGTGGCTTTACTGCTATGGGGTTGGATCTTTAGACTTTAAGTTTTTTTGGAACTCAAGGGGTTTTCCACCAACCCCTCCCCCAAAAGTCATTCACTTTTTGCGCGGATTTGAGGAGGTCTTTTGGGGTCAGATGGGTTTCCCGAAGCCCCCCCCCAAACTTTGGGGGGAAGCCCGGCGCATTTTTGTCGGTGTTTCTCTTTAAAGCCCAGAGGCACAGTGAGTTGGACATGGGTTTGGTCTCCCCAATAGAGCTACCAACTCCACAAGGAGGAAAGGGCCAATAGAGAAAAAGGGTGCCGCCTTTTAAACACTAGGTCCCCCAGTAGTGCCCTTTCTCACCATGTTTTTTTTGGGGGACGGTTCCACTACTAAAATAGACGTCCAGAGAAAAAAAGTCGGGTACCCTTCTTCTAACCTCAAACTACTGGAGCAAATAGAAACAGGAAAAGCCAAAAACAGGGCCCTACGCTTTTTGACAAACCCCGAGGGTCAGTTCTCACACGCCCAGATCTTTCGCGCCCAGCGGTCGATGAGAGCGACGGCCGATGCGATGCGATTTCCGAGGTTTGGACCCCGACCCGGGCGCGAAGATCCTCATCTTCATCGGGCGCTGGGTGAAGCAGCGCCTCGCTCCGGGGAGAAAAAGCAAAAAGGACGCGAGATGAGGCGATGCCCTTTGAGTCTCCTTTGAACATGGAGGTTTTCTTCGTTCGTTCTTCTATTTCAAAAAGGAAAGCAACTTAAACAAGCAGTTCTTACAACCATGTAAGCATTGGACGTCTTTTGAAGACCTGAAGTCGTACGGGGTTCATATGAAACAGGATCTGGGCTTCACAAGTATACACGAGACTGCGGAATCTGCTCGATCCCTTTTCGTTGGTGTTTCTTGAAAAGATACATCAGCAAATCGTCTTGGTGCTCAGGAAATCTGGGAATGACCCCAGGCGTTGGTCCCCTCAAAGGAAACCACCAGCAAGGGATGGTTTATATTCGGGTCATTCCATAACTCTCATTCCCTGCATCTCTCGCACCGATCGCAAGTCACTAAGTCGACTTCCGAAGCTGGGGGATTGGGGCTCTTAGTGCGCTAGGTCCCCCAGTGCCCTTTCTCACCCTTTGGGGGAGGGTTCCACTACTAGTATAGACTACATAGAAAAAGGGTGCCCTTGTTCTAACCTCTCTACTGGAGGACCTAGTGTGGGGCTCTGGGCGGTGTTGAAAGGAAGGGCGTGGACCACATCGCCATGCTGACCCCCGCCTTCTTGCGGACCCACCCGGAGGCCCGCGTCAGCGAGGGGCAGGGCACGCGATAAGCCGCTGGAACGGCCCACAAGCCCAATATAAGGGTCTAAATAGATACTTAATATGTCACTCCCGCAATCATGACTCAACTTGACTTTGAGTATGCAGTGCACAAAAAGCCCCAATTATTCCAATCGTGCAGGCCCTTGCATGGGAGCCAGACAGAAACCAGTATCTACTTTTGTCCCATCTGGGCTATGGCCGTAAGAATATCTCCCATGATATGTTCAACGCAGATCACCGCTCTATCACCGACACCCAGTTCCACGATCATAGGCGGTTCGACCGCTACAAGAACCCGCAAAAACCCGCCCTTTGGGTTCTTTTCCATAAGCAGACTCCTTGAAATGAGCAACTGGCAGAACCGGTAGTCTATGGCGTGCCCGGGGCTGATTTCGGGCTCGCATCTTTGGGACATTGCTGTCATGTGAGCCGCGCTCGCCATCCTTGCTTGTCCCTATTTCCCTTTTCAGCCAAACCTTTCTCGATGGTGTTGTTTTTTGGTGGAAGGAATCGGACCCTCCAAAATGGCCAAGCGGCTCTCCTTTTTGGTTTCCCTTTAAAACCAACCGAAAAGGGGGTACCCCAAAAAAAGACACAGCCAAGTAGGTGGTTGGCCTTTGGTTTCCCTTTAGACCATCCCATTGTCCGTTTTATTTGTTCGCTTCACCGAAGCGCTATTGGGGATGAGCAACTGAGCAGGGATGCGCCGTGTCACCACAAGTCAACGGCCTCCAAATCTTACATCGCCTCATTGCCAGGCATCTTGTTTTGGCAATTCCCATCTGGGCGTAAGGCAAAATTCAACCACAAAACCGCAGGTCTTAGTCCTTGTTTCCAATTACCAGGGGTCCATTTTGTTTTTCCGGGGGACATATTTTTGACCCACACCCATATCGGGCTAAAAGTTTCCAGACAAAACCCAACGTCAGATCCCATAACAGTGTGGGACGCCTGAACCGCTTTTTCGGTGTGGGAGCGTGTTCCGTCCAAACCTTTCACGAGATGTGATTATCGAACCCGGCATCAAGCCACTACCGTCCCCGGAGATAAGGGGCCTGGACCAATTGACTAACATCCACCTGTCAAGTTATTTGTCAATCAGCAGGCAACGAGGGAATGAGCCAACCACCCAAACCAATGGTTTTCCCAGCTGGTCAGTTGGGGTCATTCCCCTTTTTGGCAAAGCTTTGCCCTGCTTATGGCGAGCTGGGGTAAAGCCAGCTCACCATGAGTAGGTCCTTCAGGGATTTATTGTTTCAGGTCCCCTGTACATGCCAAGCGACGTTATGGTTTCCCAGGGTTTGAAAGGGGTGCGCCCAGGGGTCGGACAAGTCCACAGTATGACCGTGCCTCCCATTCCCATGCTTGAAGACTGAATGGTAAGCTTTCGGCGGACTTGGTCATGACACTCCCGCACATATCACAAAGTGGTTAGTGCTGCAATCATTTCTAGGGCCCCCCCCGTATGGTGGACACTGAACGGGTCTATTTTGCATTATCCTTCTTTTAGGGTATTGGTTTTTTAGGGTATGGTTGCAAAATAAACTCTAGGTGTCCATGGCACACCCCCTGAGAACAAGACGAGCAGGTGCAGATCATTTTGGCCGGCCCGCCGGACGACGCCTGCGGCCTCTACGCGGGCACGCTGCTGGAACAGCTAGGCCCGGCGATGCCCACAGCAGTTCAAAGGGCATGGACGACGCGCTGGGAGACGGAAGGGAGCTGTTTTTTGTTTTGACGAAAGACAAACACCCGAAACTAAGCCAAGCAGGTTTGATATGCCACCCAAAAAAGTGGCACGGTGGGCACAAATCCCCACCATGATGTTCACCAGAGGCGCCCCAATTAAGGGTCATACCCACACAAGACCAACACCAGCGGGCTTTATTCCAACAAACTTTCCTGGCCCTTCAGTTGGACTTTTCGCCTTGGATAGCAACTTGTTTGTTTTTTTTTAACTCTGGGAATTGTTGCAAAGTCTCAAAATAGAAAATAGGGGTTGGACCCCTTTTTGGATGGTTTTAAAAGGACGCCAAGAGGAAACCACCTAGAGGGGTCCCCAATCTGGAGCAACACCCACATGAGTGATGGCCAATGTTTACTTGGGAATGGTTCATGCGGGCACACCCCCTGGCCTTGTACAGAACCAAAGGAAACTGGGTAGGGTCCCCCATCCTCCCCAAAACAACCATAGACTACCACTAATATTATTGTTGTCCGTTGCTCATGTGCAGGAATGATTGCCAAGCAACCTCAAACCTATGAGATGCTAAGCTGGTTTGCAATGCGCTGTCGGGGTTTGCAACTCTCCCCTCTCTTGAGGGTTCCATCCGTTAATCCTTACTCCCTGACCCCTGAGTTCCGTTTCGGACTTTAGTCACTTTTTGGGTTTGGACCCTTTTTGAGCGGTGAAGAAGAAGTTCGCTGGATCGGAAGGGAGGATGGGGTTAGAACTCCTGGGAGCGAGGAAAAGAAAATCCGCGGTCGCAGGTGATGAGTTCAAGGGCCGGCTTTTCGTGTGCACCAAGTTCTTCAGGCGAGTCCGGTGCGGCGCGCCATCTCTCTCCGGGATAGGGTACACCTATGGGCCGGAGTACTACTTTTTGAGGTCTGGTCTTTGCTTTGGAAGGGGTTGGTTTAGGGTTGGCTTCGAAGTTGGTTTCGGGTTGGTTCAGCGACCGGTTTCGAGTTGGGTTCGGGACGGCATTCCCCCGACGGTTCCACGAGAACATTCGGAGGGTCGTGTTTTCCCCGAAATGGGTGGTTTTCCGTTTAGTTGTCCTTTAGCACCACCCAACAAAAAGGGGTGCCCCAAAGCCAGGCCGAGCCATCAGGCTTAATCCCAGCCCCCAGGCACAGGTGGTGTCCCTCGACAAGGGCTCAAGACTTACGGCACCTTTTTCCGCCCTTGCATAGTTGTTGTTGGGAAACATTTTGCATTTTTGCTCATTGTGGTTTAATGGGAAATCCCCACTTGACTGCTAAGATTCGATTTGTTGCTCCCCGTCCACCGTGAATTGAGCTTGTTTCGGAGTTGTTTAAAGGGAAAGACCCAGGCAAGCTGGCACATCCTATTTTGAGACACGCCCATTGAAGAGAGTTCCTGGGTAAGGGAGCTCTCGCGCCTCTGCTCGCGAGAGCTCGGGGACCGGAAGGACAGCCTAAAGGGGAACGCGGTCGAGAGCTTTCGGCGGAAAGAGATCCGAGCGGCGAAAGGGGTCGAAGTTCGGGGAAAGATGGGGCTGGCGTTTTTTAGCCTGAAATGCGCGAAGAAAGCTTCTGACTTCGCCCAAGCAGCCCATTCAACTCAGGTTCGAAGCCACAAGCCACCCCAAAGACCGCGGCCCCAACGCCTTCATTGCAGGAACTCTCCCTGTCGAAACCCAACGTGGCGTTCTCACAAGGCTTTGAATTCAATCCGCATCAGATACGTAGGAGGCTATAAATTTGTAACCATGGTGAGTGGTGGACAATGGACAATGCCCTGCTTCTGGACCAAAACAAACGGCGACATCCCTTACTCGCTTCCCAGACGTGGGCTGAACATCCAAGATGTTTTTTGTTGCAGGTTTTCCGTTCAGACTTGGGAAAATCAAGCTTTCTTGAATGTGCTTGGAGAAAGGCCTGACAGGGTTTCCTCCAAGTCCCCTTTTGGAACCTCAGAAGTGACGATCGTGTCAATGGACATCGCCAACTCGCAACTTTTGATTTGCGGAGATCCACTGGCCCCTGTCTGATCTGATTTTAAGACACACCCAATTGAATGTAGTCCAATTGGACAGTTGGACCCCCCCCTTTGAATGTTGGAGAAAGCAACCCCCCTCCCCCCCCCACACCCCCCCCCACACCCCCCCACACCCCCACACCCCCACACCCCCACCCCCCCACACCCCCACACCCCACACCCCCCCCCCCCGCCTGGGCGATCTCACCCTCTGATGCCGACTTTTTGGACGCGCCAGGCTGCCAGAGGAGCTGCGCCGGGGGGCGCACCTCTGCTTCACCCCGTCCTGTGCCTCGGAGCTTGGAGCGAGCTTCGGTTTCTGGGGGCCGGGGTGAGTTGCAAGGATCCGCAGCGAAAAGGACCCAGAAGACCGACCAAACCCAGAAACCTCTGCTTTCTTTGGTTGCTTTCTTTCTTTGGTTTGGAATTTCTTCCTCTTTTCGTTAGCCAAATTTCTTGAACATGTTTTGAAGCTTCCGTCCACCGGCCTCGCCGGCTTTACTCGCAGTTTAACACATGAACTGGGCTGGAGCCAGCTTGTGCAGAGTCAAGATTTAGCCAACAAGTTTATGCACTGGGGCTGTCTGGACCAGGATGGTCGATGTCTCAGAAATTGGCCAAAAAATCCACAGCTTGCAACCAAAAAGCACGGGGGAAGTTGGCCGATGGGGAGTCCACCCTTGGAACCGACCGGAGCCGGTCGGGGGTGATACATAAAGATCGGGTTGCCCCTGGCAGGGTTCGCCTTTTCGATGTTGGGAGTTCCTTGAAACGTGATCCCCAAAATGTCGGCCCCTGAGTCAATCAGCCACTTGTGAATCCGTGCGCATCTGTGGATGGCAGACCCAAACAAATTCAAACTGCCACCCCCCCCCCGGGTTTTGGATTCGACCTTAGCAGCATTTGAATCTCGGCTCGCATGTAGCAAACCCTTCCGAGGGGCCGGCTCGGTCCAAGTTGATTTGATCGAGCAAATCGGTTCATGAAAAAGGGCATGCATGCCCAGTAGGTATGTGCTAAAGTATGGAGACCCAACAAGTGGTTGTTTTCCTCTTGGTTTCCCTTTACGCCAACCTGAAAAGAGCACTCTCAAAATAAGCGCACACCCGCTCCAGAACTATTTCATGTTTTTAGGGACTAATTATACACCAGTTGAAGCGCTTATCTGAGTCGGGCCCAGAGTTGTCTGTTCTTTTTGAGGGTACCTCTTTTAGGGTTGGTTTAAAGGGAAACTCACAGGACAATTGTGTGTGTCCCCCCAAAAAGCACACACCCAGAGAGAAGCAAGTACGGGGGTCCAACCTAAGACACGCCAAACTGGAGTGCAGAAGTTACGATCGAATGGATAGGATCCCCTTCCAGCAAAACAAACCACAATCCATTTGCTTCCATTTGCAGAAATGCGGCAGTTGGAATCTATATCTTCTTTTTCCAGGGCGAAAAGGAAAATGGAGATGGAATCTACCGCTATTCTCATTCCCTGCAACACTCGACTGGAGAGCAGAAATTACGAACGGACAACTACTTCCCCCAGAAAAACCAAAAGAACAATCCATTTGCGTCCATTTGCAGAAAATCAGATTTTCCATTTTCCCCCTGCTGGTTTTGAGGTTAGAATCTATCACTTAAAGATTTTGTTTTTATATTTTGCAGAGGGCTTTTTATGTTTTTCATCCCCTGTTGGCTGACTGTTTTTGTGATTTCGGGTTGGTAATATTATTTCATCCCCTCCATTTTTCATATTAATTGTATATTATTATTTTTTGATGATGAATCGTTTGCTAGATTACTTAATGTTTGAATTATTTTTACAGAATGTTTATATAAATCAGTTCTATATATTTTTCTCTTTCATGATCAGTCCAACCATACAATGAATAATTTGTTTGTCAAACAATGATGCCTTTCCTGATCCTGTTTCTAACATAAATATTTTATTTATTTTCTCTCCTCCCCTTCCTCGGAAGATTTTCCCATCAGGTTTTTTCATCTGGCTGATTCTTTTCCAGGACACCAAGCAAGTATCATTGGACACATATGTTTTCTCATTTTTGTTCGGGGAAGCCAAACACTTTGCTGCATTGCACTTGGATGTTCGGACTTTCACTTTTCGCCAACTCATGAATTGGTTTTCCATATTAAACCCACCAAAAGTTCTTCACTTTTAGCAGGGCTTCGCAGAAAGCAACCAAGGAGATCGAGCAGGGTGTCTTTTTGCCACCTTGTTGCCACCTTTTTGGCCGAGAAAAGGCCGAAAAAGGAGATGACTCTTCGGCCTTCGCAGACTTCGCCCCCGAGAAAAGCCTAAAAAACCGCCGCCAATGAATCATTGGAGATTTAAAAACAATCCATTAGGTTAGAAATTTTATCATCAGGAAGACAAAAAGCGACTGGAGGGGTGTCTTTTTGCCACCTTGTTGCCACCTTTTTGGCCGAGAAAAGGCCGAAAAAGGAGATGACTCTTCGGCCTTCGCAGACTTCGCCCCCGAGAAAAGCCTAAAAAACCGCCGCCAATGAATCATTGTAGATTTAAAAACAATCCATTAGGTTAGAAATCTTATCATCAGGAAGACAAAAAGCGACTGGAGGGGTGTCTTTTTGCCACCTTGTTGCCACCTTTTTGGCCGAGAAAAGGCCGAA